TTAAAGCCGTAAATACATACAAGACAGATAAATATTAAAGGAGGATCGGTCCATGGCACTGTTTTCGGGCTGTTTGTATATTGCACTTTGTGTAGTAAAAAGTTAATCAGTACATGAGTCAGAGTTCATCTCAGAAGCATTTCCTGAAGATGATCTGCGGTGTTGTTAAATTAATTAAGCGCATCATATCTATAGTCTTGATAACTGCACACAGTGATAAATTATGCTGAGTCAAGGTTCAGGCTTTCTTGCTCAACATTTGATGTAATTTACTTCTGGTTGTGGACGCTTTTTCCAGAAATGTAACTTCCCCTGTCAGTTCCTCGCACAGCAAACATGAATCGGGTAATATCGTTGTTCTCCACACCCTGATCACCTCTGATCCTGAAATATGTGAAGAGGTATTAAAAGATGCAAAATTCTATATTCAGTTATTATTCAGTACATCCAAATTGACTTGTGTGTGTGCAAATCAGACTGCACTATGACTTTTACATACCTTGAGGGCAAACCGTTCTTATCACAGGAGGTCAGGAAGAAAGCGAGGCCAGTAGATGCCCTATTATTGTTGGCAGGTTCTCGGTACATGACCTGGACAAAGATCATAAAAGTACCACGTTAATAATACTATGACTTAAGTCTAAGCATCATTTGTTGAAACGGCTTCATTTAATAGTTTTACATGCAACCATAGAGAAATTATCAATAAACCCGTGCGTCACAAAATACTGTATATTATTTGAATCAATACCTTTCTGGAAAAGCCATCTATGCCCCCAAAAATGACTTTGCTGTATCTATATAGGAGAAAGTCAAATTTAGTATATTGTATGCGTTTGTTACAGATGATTCATTCATTTGACAACTTCATGTGAAAGCAACTTACCTTATGAGTTTGTGGTTAGTATCCACATGCACAAGAGATAGGGGGGCTCTTACAGAGTAGCTTCTTCTCACAACACAGCCTAACTGTGTCAAGCGAGCAAGAATCCCAGCTGCATCTACTCTATGCACAGCTGCTTTCATTCTGTTCCACTGTACCCTGTGGACTAAGGATCTCAGTCTTCCCATTACCAATCTGTAGCCAATATTTGGCATTTCAGCTTTAATGTTAGACACTAAGGTGTCAGGCTCCTGGTCTGACACTGTGCTGTAGGACTCTGTCACAGAAATCCCAAATTCTGCCATTCGCCGGAATAATGTAGCTTGACTGACTCCCAACAGTTTTGAAATTGTTGGTATAGACAACTGAGTATCTATCAAGGCCTGTAACTCTTCTTGCTCAATTATTCATTTTGGTCGTCCCCTTGCCCCTTGCACTGTCTGTATATTGAGAGAAATAAAATGTTGCTCACTGTCTACCTGACTTCTGACCTGGTTTGTGAGTTCTCTAATGACATTGACTATATCTAATGGCAACTCCATCTGCTCTGCCAATGAATCGAGGAGTAATAATTCATGGGTGCACATGAAATGAAGATAATCAAGATCCAAGCCAGGACAGCTAACCACATGTTGCATCTTGCTTCGCAATCTCTCCAAGATTTGACGTTTTAGCAGGTTCTGAAAGAAAGAAGGCAAAAGATAGATAGACCTACACTTCAAATGTCAACATTAAATCATAAAGGGAAATCATTTTTATGGCATAGGCTATTCACGTATAGGCAATAGGCCTAAGTATCTATCAATGAAAATAGTTGTGAAACCATTAGGATATAATAAAGTACAGACTATGACACAGTAAAGATAGCCTACAGTAGGCCATATCGGACCTATTGCACCAACAGGGCTGAACTACGAAGCCTCTGTGTCCACCAAGTATTTTGTCCGAGTAGAAAAGCGCTGGATGTGCACACTGGATACCCAGAGCCTGCACTGGGCTACTGAATAAAAAACATAAATGCTTAGCTAGATTAATAAAGTCATAACTAAGACATCTGCTGAAAAACAATATTTTTCCATTTAGTCTAAAAATGAGCCTATAAGTTCTACTTCCATAAGAGTGACTTTAAGCTGATAACACTGAGTGTCCTTTACAGCTGCTGAGAAATATTCTAATGAACTTCATCATTGAAAAGTCAGAAAGTCGAAATGCATTGAAACAAGATTGATTTTTTTCATTTGCTAAATTAACAACACAGTTTTTTCTAACGACATTTACGTTATTGCCTTTTAAAACATTGTAAATGTGCTCACAATAAAGTTTTCTGTCTGACATTAGGCTACGCAGACAGCTGTGAAGTTGGTTTATGACCCGTATAAACTGTTGAAGCTGTTGAAGCTGACAGGAGTATCCTAAGTCCTGTTGGCGCAACTGAAAAGAGGACAGTGTACTAACATTCAAATTGTGTAGTTAATTTTATTTTCTACTGTAATAGCCTATAAGAGCTCTAGCCTAATTTTTAATTAAAACTTAAGAAGCCTAAAAAACACGGTGACGTCCGTTTTCACAAGCTGCCACAGTGTTCAGTGTTCATGTGGTAAGCCCTGTTAACATTAAAACAGTCTGGCTGACAAGTAGCAATTTAGTTTTCACTGTAGTGGAAATTACATTTCAACATGTCAAAATTAAATGTTGACATGTTGAAATGTTAATCCAAGATATATATAATTACATTCTTTGTCACTAGTAAGAATAGAATTGTTGATATCAAGAATTAACATTTTTACTAGTGAGAATTGAGTTTTAGATATCATGAATTAGAATTGTGACATGTCAAAATGTCATTATGGATATGTCGACTTTGAATTACAACATGTACAAATTGAATTACAGATATCTGTAATTCAATTTGAATAGAAGTCAATGGCACAAGTTGACTAGTTGTAATTAAGTTACAGATATCTACAATGACCATTTCCACTAGTGAAAAATGAATTGTAGATATCTTTAATTAGAATTGTTACTAGTGAAAATTACATTGTGGATATGTCAGCTTGGAATTCTAACATGTCCAAAAGCAATTATTGATATCTACAATTGCTATTACCGCTAATACTTAAATGTTAAAAGGGCTTGCCATAGCGTTCTTCTTTCAAATATTACTTTATCAATTACATTTTTTAGAAACAATTAGCACCATTATCATTCAAATAAAAACTTACTTCATGTCTTTGAAGTTCGTGGTCCATAATTCTTCCATAGGCGATAGGCTACGTCAGAAGCCGCGGGAGCTACGGAGTATTTGCGGTTAAAGAGTAGCCGCCCATACGGGACGCTCTCATCAGTACAGCGAACTCCTCAGCAATAGGGCGGCGTGGACGTGATTGGCCGATCCTGTACCCGTTTTCTATTGGTTGATTCGTCAGACAATCCGAGAGCGCAGAAGAAATCCAAGAGCAGACAAAGACCCGAGCGGGCAGAGAAACAAAGTAGGAGAGCAGAAGTTTGAGCTGCGAGCAGCTGCGGTCTGAAGTGAGAGGAGAAGTTTGAGCATGAGAATCTGAGAGCAAGCAAACATTTCGAGCACAAACAGAGAAAGCAGCAACTATTTGAGTACAAAGAGAGGTTTTTGAGAGAAAGAATGAAAACATCTGAATGTAAAATCAATAAGTACTGCTTTCAAAACTTAAAAACCTGTTCTTCAGAAAAATAACATGCTCTTGAATAAAGATAGTATATTAATCCCATACCATAGATTTAACATTAAACTTGAGGGTTGTTTATTTAAGGACAACTGTGGTTAGACATAGTGTAGAATATATTTATTCTCATTATGTAAGCAGAGACTTTTCACAGCGATTCATGCAAACCCAAAACTAGTCGAAAATAACTACGGAGGAATTAGCACACATGGGACATCAGTTCTGCTTGAATCTCCCCAGAGGAAATCATTATTGACACAAGACGATGGACAGACATACAAACTTGACATAGCAATACCAGCACATATCATTATGCAAATACCCTTTACCATGTAATATGTGCCCCTATAGTCTGTCTACAAACCCCCCAGTGATGAGAAAAGTCCATCATCTCCATCTTTTGCCTGCTCCGCTTTTCAGAAAATGTGTGATGAAACAGGCTGTTTGGAGATTTTCCCTTCATGACATCACAAGGGGCAGTAACCCCTCCCCCAGGTGGGTGACACTCCCACAGCTAGGTGTTTGTTCTGCCCTCTGAGTCTGCCTTCTCACCGTAAACAATTGGAATATGCAACCTTTAACACAAAACATTCACTTTTTTACATTAAAGAGCACATAGTTTTATAGGTTCTTACAGAACTTAAGACCATTTCTTTTCTCATATATGTGGTTACAGCAAAGCTAGTTAGCTAAGCCTTGCCAAAAGACAGAAAAATGGGAAAAACAGCTAGCTTGGCTTTGTCTAAAGTTGAGACTACCAAAATATTTCAGCGCCTTTAAAGACGATGACTAATTTCTGATCAACACTAATTACTAATCTTGTTAATTTAATCTGCAGAGAATGAGGAAGTAGAATGTGTAAAAATCATGTCATGAAATCAGGTGTTGCATTAACATATCATATATTTATGCTAAAAGCTAATTTCCAACTATACTGTAACTGTCTCCTTTTGCTCTCAGACTGCATTGTCCATTTTTGACTCACTCGCCGGGTAAGTGAATGGATAAACGTAAAGAGCTGTTAATAGGATAGTAATGAAGAAAAGGAAAAGGAAGATTTGTGAAAGTGGAACAACACTTGACTTTGGCCTTCATGCTTCATTTATAATCATTTAAAAATAATAGGAGGATTATCTTGTATCTTTTTTCATGCAAACTTCTGTTTTCTATATTTTTTTCATTCTCTATTTTCGAGGATGAAAGAGTTTTTGGAAAGTGTGTCTGCTTTTGGCAAATGTGCACATGTTCTTGACACTCCCTGCATATTTTGAATATTTATGACTGTAGAGAATCAGGTATTCCATCAGTTTTTCATTTTGTTTTTGTGGCACAGCTTTGTGTGGATCCAGGTGTGAGGAAAGTGCTTGCTGGGAAAATAAACAAGATTCAACTAAACTCTGAGAAGTAGACATCTCCTTTCTTAAGGTCTGATCTTTTACTTTGGTTTAGTTTTTAAAGACGAACACGATGGTAGGCCAGCAGATGCAGCTCAAAGGATTGATCATCATCACAGCTTGCAGAATCTGAGAGCAAGCAAACATTTCGAGCACAAACAGAGAAAATTTAAGCACAAGCAGCAACTATTTGAGTACAAAGAGAGGTTTTTGAGAGAAAGAATGAAAACATCTGAATGTAAAATCAATAAGTACTGCTCTCAAAACTTAAAAACATGCTCTTGAATAAAGATAGTATATTAATCCCATATATGGATGTGTTATTTATTTTATAGCAATGTAAAATCAAACAACCAACTGACCTGATGACACGGTCGCTAGAAAAGCTGAAGCATGGTTCTAAGTCCAAATGAAATATATCATAATCATAAGCTAATATGATTTTGTTAGTTAAGCTAAACCATGTTAAAGTCCCTGCTCAGACTGTGTTGTGTTTTTCAGTCTGTGGTTTCTTCCAGCCATCATCTCAACGGGCCAAAGATGTGTTCGGTCCGTGGACAATGCTCCCTCTTGCGTGATGGTTGAGCATTCCTCTCCCGAGGTCATTGCACCGATCAATGATCCTATACAAAAGTGCGCACACACACACACACACACACGCACGCACACACACACACATACACACACACACACACACACACACACACACACACACACACACACACACACACACACACACACACACACACACACACACGAACACAAACACAAACAAGTTGACACTTATCCACAGTTTCGAGGACCTGCTCAAGGGCACTGAGATAAAATAGTTCTTTGTAAATCACTGGTAGAGTTATATATTTAAAATACTTGAAAATCAGGAAAGGTCCTCATGGCTCCAGCAGAACATTCAATTCTCTCTTTTGGTAAGGCAGCTAGGCAACTCACTGTTTCTGGCAGGTATTTCAAAAATAGCGAGCAAAAATAGCAACAGCAAAAAAAAAAAGAACAACCTTTGATCTGCCCTTTGCCTGGATTATGTTGTTTCCAAATGTTATTTTCTCAGAAAAGCACAGAGCCAGACAATTTTCACAGTGTTGTCATGGAAAAAGCTGACAATACTGGAAAATATCTTTGGATATCTATGGATATCTTTTCTATGTGCCATATATATTGAGATATGAAAAAATCGAGAAAAAAAAGATATAGGATATATCTCATATATATATCAGATAGATGCAATCTGCTTTTTTATGTACACATGAGGCTGGCATGGTATCAGAAAAATGTGCGATGTGTGACTGCTGTGTGCAGTTATTCCACAACAAAATGAAGTGTGATAAATACACATTTTAAAGAGTGCATATGATGTTTATCTCAGTTTTTATTTCTATCTTCTGTTCTTCATGCTTCACTGAATGGCTGAGAACATACTTACTTGTCTTATTGTGTCAGTCAAGGTTAGTCTCTAAACAGAACGATCCTGACCTGCTCTGTTTGTTAAGTGTGGTGAGGTAACCTTTGTTTTGATTTATTGCTAAATACTTGAAATTTACTTTATTGATTGATTGTGATGCATTAACATCTTCAAATACTCTAATAAATATCATTATAAAACACATTATCATAAGTATTCCCTGCACTTTATTGAATCTCACCTTCTGGTTTAAGTCAGACTTCCTCTGATTACCATGAGTGTCTCTTCTTCTTGTTACAGCTCCATCAGCCTTTTCTTCTAAAGAAGAAAGGGAAGAGATGAAAAAACAAACAGGTGAAGAAAAAGGTAGAGAAGAATACTGCTGAAACATTCTTGATACTATATTCATTAGTACCTAATACCTAAAGGTCACATCTTATCCTCCTTTTTATCAAGTTTAAATATGACTCAGAAGTCCACAAAACATGTCCATGAAGTTTCTTGTTATAAATCCACTCTGATCCTGTATTTGATCATGTCTATAAACCCCTCTAAGCCCTGATCAGAACAGGCTATTTCTGTGTCTGTAGCTTTAAATGCAAATGAGCTGTGTCTGACCACGCCCCTCTCTGGAAGAGCTTGGGTGGCTCGGGCTTTCTTGCACCATGCCTCATTTACAGTGAGAAGGCAGACTCAGAGGGCAGAACAAACAACTAGCTGTGGGAGTGTCACCCACCTGGGGGAGGGGTTACTGCCCTTTGTGATGTCATGAAGGGGAAATCTTTAAACCGCCCATTTGAGCAGACATTTTCTGAAAAGTGGAGCAGGCAAAAGACGGAGAGAGGATGGACTTTTCTCATAATTGGGGGGTTTGTAGACAGATTATTATATTATTAATTAAAATTGGGGTTAAGGTGTCAGATTAAGGGAATAACAGCACACTGCAGAAACAGCTTTTTATTATATCTAAGACCCACATGTCTTCAAAAGAGCTTTAAAGGTAGAGTCAATTTTTCCCTAAATAAATTTGACTTAAAAAGTAATTCTGCTCAATCATAACTTGTGGGCCTTCATACATGTCTTGGTTTGTTTTGTTAACTTGGGGCGTTTCTTGGCTGGGAGCTTGTGTGTTTTCCCCAGCTTATGACAGTGTGCAGGTGAGTTATAGGATTGGACACAATTCAGCGATAGGATGATTTAAACCGCAAAATATACCACATGCAGAAATAGTGCTAAAAAAGAGAAAATATAATAGTAGTTAGTGGATAAAGCTTGTTCAAACCAGAGTAAACCCTCTTCTTGTTTTTATGCGGGGCATGGGGAGTTGGTCTCCTTTCTGTTGGACAGGCAGGTAACAATCACAGAGAGTTAGCTTGTGCTAGTGCACAGTAACATTTCTACTGACTCCACCTTTAATATGACTATTTTATCATAAAATATATACCTTTGGTGTTGATGGACTTTGTCCGCAGTGAGACCTCAGGATCATCTTGTTGAACATCATCAGACTTCTTATAGTAATATGGCTGATCAGGGGGTCCAAACCGCTACATGCAAACACACACATTAGAAAAGGGACTTCTTTAAGCTGAGCAATCAACCTTCCTTTTGTATTAATTCTGACACACACAGATCTCCATGCACACTTGCATTAACAAGCATACTGTACCTTGTCGGGCCACATGAAGCTAATGAAAAGAATGATGGGAAGACCAACACAGAAGACATAGAGGCCCCAGAGCCAGGGACGCTGGTGGGTCGCCAATAGGAGGCTCTCTATGAAACCCGGCTAGATACACACACACACACACACACACACACACACACACACACACACACACACACACACACACACACACACACACACATGCACGTCGAAACATCTGTGGTTTGTTTTTGTTTTTTCATTTTGTGGCTGCACACCTGCCTTTAACTAAACAGTATAGCTTCTCAGTTCTCCATCCACTCAGTGCCAGATTGTTGTGTAAACTATAACAATTTGACTATTTTATCAGAGTAATTACAGACTTAGTTAACTAAAATTGCAATAAAGGCAGGTCTTACCTGTGCTGCTGCAGACACCGGTGTCACATTTGCTACCAGCATAATGCACAGCAACACAAATCTCCAGTAGATCTCCATGTCTGAAACACACACCTACTGACACATGTGTTCATAAGAGTTTGTGATTCCAGATCACGCATAAAGATGTACTGGTTAACGCAACCAAAGACAACAAAGTGAATGCTGATCTGCACACTATATACATACACATTCAGGTACGAACACACTGAGTGGAACTACAATGATCACGTTTTCATTTGACTTTGAGGTTCAAAAAGTCAGAAATATAGAAGCGAAAGAGGAGGAAAGCTTAACTAGATACATGCACAGAACAAGGCAAAGCAGAGTGGGACAAAAAAACCACAGACGATTAAAGAAAAGAAAGAGAAAGAAGTGTGAGGAAACAGAGGAGAACAGAGGAAGCGATAGAGGACAAAACTATATGTGAATACCTTTCTATAAAACGCAGTGATTCTCCAGAGCTCCTCAGGTTCCACTTCCTGATATCTTGAAGTCATGTGGTGTTGGACTTTGGTCCAAAGGCACTTGTTGACATGGCAGCAGGCATGCAGTTTACACATTAAAGGGTTAAGTCCTGCTTATTAACACACATACTGCACACTGGTAAGGCATTTCATGGTCAGATAGCCGCTGTGTCAAAGGGTGTCATTTATCATGGTGGAAATAAATGCTCAGCATTAGCACAGTATTTAACAGTGTTTTTAATAGTAAACCTTCATAAGAATGTCAAGACTGTGAGTGCTGTTGAAGTCAAAAGCATACAAAAAAGAAACAATTCATGAAACAGACTTTTTTTTAATCAACATTACTGTAAATACACACTGAAAATCCATTTGCAATTGTTATGGCTTTAATAACACATGCAACCATTAGAGGTCAGAGATCTGGAAACAATGACAATAGGTCCACTGGAGGATAGTGTTGTGACTAGACTGGTCTAAAGACCACTTTTTGAAGGTCTTGCCTTGGAAATCCAAAACATTTTATTCAATCTTGTCTCGGCCTTAGACTGTACGGACTCCAGATTGTAAAACAAGACTAGTGTAGATCTCCGCTGATTTTCTTTCCGCAACCTTCCCAATGTTACAGTCCAAGTAAGTGACTCACCTGCTGCACACAAGATGATGATTTTTCAGTGATAATTATGGTCTTGGTCTCGGTCTTGTCTCTGTCTCGCCCTGCCTTGGTCTTGGCCTTGACTCAGTCTCAATCTCTAAATGTCTTGGTCTTGGTTTTGGTTAGTGTTGTCTTGAGTACAACACTACACTGGATTAGCATGCAGTCACAGTGGATTACATGTGAGAGGCATGAGAGAACCAATAACCTCTTTACACCCTCAGCCTCCTAAAAGAATACTTTGACTTTAAGAGTTTGCAGAGTCTGAAGTTCCAAAACTGAACAACTTCTCATAGCTAGAAACTTGTGTGACATTTTAGAGTGTCATTCATGAGAGAAGACGTATATGAGCGCACGTTTATTTAGACGCTGCAGATACCATAGAAAAAAGTCCATTAGAAATGTGTTGTGAAATTAGAGAGGCTCGATGCATTTAAGCGCAGTCAGTACAAACAGAAGGTTGGTAATCACTGGTATTTTAAGGAGTCTTATACCCCCTTGTGGAAAAATACATCATTGATTACATGGCAGTCAAGTGCAAGGGTTAAGATTTTCTGTAAGAATCAGAGTTTAACCGCCACTTGCCCTTAATGGTGCTTAATTATGGTGTGTTCTAATTGATAACTCCTTCGTGTGGACGCGAGTGGAGATGTGTTGGAGGTGTATCCGAGGCTTCAGAATAGCGGAGGTGTCGCCAAACGCCAAGCAGCAGTTTGTTTTGGTTTCATGCTGGTGCTTAAGGGGCGACATCTACTGGATCAACATTGCACGTTCTTCCTTTACAGAATGAAAAATAATGAATTATTCAAACTCAAAGCAACACAGTAGCTTTGTTGTGACAATAACAATGCTCTATGCTTCTCCAGATATTTCCATATTCAGAATATGTCCTTCAGAGCCGGATGTTGATTTCACTGCGAACACCGTCACCACCAGAAACACTCTCGTTGCCATCGGCGTCTGACAGGAAGCCACTTCCTGTCACTGCTGTGGTGGTGCTGTGTTCCAGGGTTGTGAGTCGCTGTTTCAGACGAAGCTGGGAAGAATTAAACTCACTCTGCAGACGGGCCAAACATGTCTAAAAAACAAAAGGTTCACATTGGTTTTTAATATTAATAATGTCATTATTTTATGACAAATAGCAGTAGTACCAACAGCATCAGTAGTAGCAGACTTATAATATGACCTGTAGCCGGTCCAGACTGGTTTCCAGCCTCTCCACCTTCTCTTCCAGCTCCTCCCCTGCAGACACGTTTATTTCCTCCAGAAGCCCCTCCTTCTGCAGGATGTCCCGCCCCCTTTGTTCCAGCTGGGCCCTGGCGTGGGGGAACTCCTGAAGCGCTTCCATCAGGTCTTGTTTGGAAAGGCAGAAGAGGTCTGAATATCCCAGGCTGCGGATATTGGCCGTACGTCGGTTCCCCATCTTACTGCCACTGATGTTCAGGATGCTGATTTCTCCAAAGCAGCTGCCTGAAGTCAGAACTGCAAACTGGGTGACTCCATCCTCCCCCACCACTGCCAGCTGGCCATCTTTGATTATGTACATCTCCTTCCCCACATCTCCCTTTAAAAAAAAAGAGGGAAAAAGTATATATAAACAAGATTTCATAAATCTAACCCTTCAGACAGCAACAACTATGGCTTGTTATCCTCAGGACCAAAGGTTCCCAAGCTTAACCATGCCAAGGACCCGATATAACATTAGTGTTGGGGGCGCTGGTGGCGCAGTGGATGGTGCACGCGCCCCATGTGTGGAGGCTGTGGTCCGGGCGGGCGGGCGGGCGGCCAGCCCAGTTTCGAGTCCGGCCTGTGGCTCCTTTCCTGCATGTCGTTCCCTACTCTCTCTCCCTGACATCCGGCTCTGTCCACTGTCCTATCCCTCCATTTAAGGTACAAAATGCCCAAAAACAAATCTTAAAAAAAACACACCAAAAAAAACAAAAACATTAGTGCTGGCCCCTCTTGAAAAAATTCTTAAATTCCTTTTACATTACAATGGCAAATGTTTTGTGCATCCCTGTTACTATCCCTCTCTGCTCCTCTGGTCTCCTTCCTCCCTCTGCCTGTTTCGCACCTGAGAGCAATCAGGGAGGAGGAGGAGGAGGAGGAGAATTTAAAGGAGCCAGTTGGGAGAGACTGTGCCAGTCACACACAACTCTGAGCAGACTGGTAAGCTTTTTGCTCTCCCATGTTTATTTCCCTTTTTTCCCCCGTTAAGATATTGGATTCACCACACATAAAAACTTTGAATTACCATTAAAAGTAACACTGACCTTTCGACAGATGTAGTCTCCAGGACTGAAGACTTGTGGTCGAAGTTTTAACACCAGTTCTACAAGGAGGCCTGCCTCACAGTCCTGGAAAATACGTACCTATGTCCACACACACACAGACACACACACACACACACACACACACACACACACACACACACACACACACGCACACATAGAAAGAGTTTGACCATTTGACAATACCCTATAGAATATATTAATGCAGTTCAGAGGCTCAAAGATACTGATGGAATGATGTCTTTACCTTCTTCAGTGTGTCCAGGTGAACATTTATAGCGATCTCGGCTCTCAGTTTATTTGGCAGACTCCTCAGCACTTCCTGTTCATCTATTGTCTTCTGATTGGTCCAGAGGTAGTCGAACCAGCGGATGACGCGCTGCTCCAGACCCTTGCTTACATGTCTGAAGTGCATGTAGTGTTTCAGGGTGTCTACACGGCTCTGAAAGGTTACTCTAGTGGCGTTCATATTGGAAATCATGGATCCAACATTTCCAACAATGGAGGCAAAAATCAGAACACCAACCTAGGACAGAAATAATTGTGTCAGCCTGATGATAGAGTAGAACAATCAACACACTGCTGAGGAACTTACCAGGAAGTCAAATATCAGGAACAAATATTCCTCATCTCTAACAGGGGGAGGTGTCTCTCCAATGGTGGTCAGCGTGAGGGTGGACCAGTACAGACAGTATATGTAACTTCTGGTCAGGGAGCCAAACTCAGGATCTGATGCATTGGGATAAACCCAAGAGTCTGAGCCCAGTCCCAGCGCCTTGGAGAAGCTGTAATATACGCAGGCATTCCAGTGGATGATGACTAGGATGTACAGAACCAGTTTACAGATGCGGAAAGCGTTGGGGTAGCCCGTCCGCGTCTCAGTACGTTCAAACAACTCAAACAGGCGAGGCAGGCGCAGGAGCCGGTTGAATCGAAGCAGAGGAGTGTAGCTGATTCCCACAGTCAGGTACAGGAGGTCAGTTGGAAGGATGGAGCAAATGTCAAACTTACACTGAAAGGTTCGAACATAGGTTTCTCTCAGGCGCCGCACATCTTTCACCATCAACCCTTGATCCAAGAAACCTTAAAAGAAGTAAAAAGCAGAGTTGATGTCTCTAACAGTAGTTGATAAGTACTAGTTACATCAAGAAAGGTGGTTACATTGTGATCTTGATTCCCTGAGTAAACCATCTTTCAAATTTGGTACTGACCCCACTATAACAGTAGATGTGGATAACCAAAGCGGCAACCTAAAAAATGAAGCCAATAGGAACCAACTAAAGAAAAATAGTAGCATTTCCCTTTCCCTCCATGCTATCCTCAAATCAACAGCAGTAGACCTTTTGACCCCAAAGACCCGGCTGCAGTCCATTACCCCACAATATCAGCATTACATAAATTCTCAGCTTTCACACAACAACATGTTCATGTTAATGCTTAGAAGGTCAAAATTTAAACAACGTTTTCTTTCACATGGAGAATTCATATGGCAACTATCACAGTGGAAGCCCCCCCCCCCCTTTAAGACCCATTATCCTGGTATGAGTTGTTGCTCATGGAGGAACACTGTCAATGAATAAAATGCAGTGACCTTAACTGAATTATTCCAATGCTGATTTGCTATGTGCAAATGAAGGTTTTCAATTGCTACGAATGGCATGACAAACAGAAGCAAAAGTTTCATGGGAAACATCAGTGAAGTATTTTTAAAAAAATCCAATCTTAATAATAAGTGAATTGTTTTCACCTGTGTGAAGACGGACCGCTATATCGAGAATATAGACTCCATCACAGAGGTAATCCAGAACCAACCACACCAACACGTTCTCCATCTGGAGTTCATCAAAACAGGCTCTGCAGAACATGGGAGAAAAACTTGACATGTGAAGTGACGTTTTATGTTTAATTTGGCACAGCATTGTGGGTGTTCAAATACAACTCAATTCCTGAAAGGATGCATCCAAACCATACTGCACAAAACCCGGAAGTTAGTATCCATGCTGACATGTTCAGTCTACTGAGGTGGACCTAAGAAATGCCTACTGAAAGACCACGAGGGTACAGTCTACTGAAGCCCCCTACTGAAAAGTCTGCACTCCATACTGAACTCTGGCTTTTCTGAAAGGGACTTTTACCTTAGTAAGATTTTGTTTTTGTCTTTTGAACTTTTGTTAGATGTAATCCTTTTTGATCTGCAATTGGGTCCAAATCCTAGTATTTTCCTCATTTGTGACAAATAACTTATTCTTCATTCATCCTTTTCCGTCTCCAGCTGCTTTTTTGTTCATGTAGCGTGTTCTCTGTTTCATGTTGCATCTCAGCTGTGTGGAGCTGTAGTGGTTGTTGTTTTGACATTTCTATTTAGTACCAAAATTATCTAAAGAAAATGGATCCATGGTGATAAAAGAAGTAGAAGGAATAGAACTACCACATTTTTTTTATATTAGAACAATAATAGATCCTAACCTGACGACTAGTAGGGTCCAGTTATAGAAGACTGCAGAACCGATCACCATCAACCAGTGGTAGTATGCATCATCAGAAGGGGACAAGACCACGACGTTAAACTTCTTCCTCCTGAAAGAGTCAGGCAAGCACACATATTTATGAGCAAGTGTCAGTCAGACTATTCATGTGTTCATATTTAGCCTGTTTTTTCTGATGTTCTCACTTGTATCTGGAGCGCCTGATTTCATGATCTACATCAGAGCCAGTGTGGCTGAACCTGCTGGGCGGGGCTTGTTGGTCCGCGTTGGCGGGGCCTCTGAAACGCTCCAAGAAGGAATCAGGCCGCTCCGTCTCCTCTGCCAAACTCTTCTGTGCCCATTCTCTGAGAGTCATCACCATGTTGACGATCCTGAGGACCGGTAGACAGACAAATGGCAATGAGACCTAAAGTCATACTTATATAATAATTAACAAAGTTCTACATTCAAATGGAGGTTAAGTTATATTATTAGCTGTCATACCTGGAGAGAGCACCACGTCCATTCTGGGAGTTAATATCCCTTCTGTCATTGGCCACCATCCTCTGGAGCTCTGATGAAGTGTCATCACACATGGACTGTGCTCTACTCACACACACACACACACACACACACACACACACACACACACAAAATCATAAATACATGAGGAGAAATAATAAGCACAACTGTAAATACAGCACTGACAGAGTATATCTTTGTAATGTGAACTCTATTTAAAGTCATGTTTCTGTACACATGATGAATCCAAAACTAAATATGTTCTCTTCTGTTTTGCCCTCTAATAATAACTTCTTCTTATCTTTAATAGCTAAATACCACTTGAATGTTTATTAGAAAACAGAAAGCAGAAATATCTGGCGTTGAAAAATTAAACTGATGTGGAAGAGGAAAATGCTGCAGTTCGTCGAGTGTCCACTAGAGGCTGACTGCTGAAGCACAGGAAGTCACATACACACCCCATTCAAAAAAGCCAGTTTTTACAGCAGAAATGAACACATTTACAACCTGGCAAAAAAATAAAATAGGTCTGATTAGCTCATGTCTCGATCGGCACACACCGCATGGGGGGAATTTTTGATAACTCTTCCATTTTGATTTTATGAAAGACTAGAGTTATTCACAATAAAGCGTGTAGCTCACCTAATTGACAGGCGGGTGCAATATAACGTTTTTACAGCAGACTTAAAACCAGGATGACTGAAAGTTACATTGAGACAGGCTTGGCATCCACCATCTATGGGACTCCAGAGCTCCCTGTAGTAACAGATGGGTGATGCCACTCAGTCGTCCATAAATACTTGCAGTCAATAGAAACCAGTTTGCTTTGTTTCTTTGTCAATGAGTACCAGGTGAAATATAAAGTGATTTATCTGAGCTTTCTTTGCTGAAAATGCTTCCTACTACGACTGCTGCTATTTGTTAAGAGATGTGAGATTCAACTCATATGAAGGTGCTGCTTTTAAACCAATAGATTTGGTTGTCAGAAGCTGAAATTCCTCATGTTTCTGCTGGGGGAACTGTAATTTAGTCATTTAGTAATTTTACTGATTTGTGTAGCTTTATATAAAAAATGGATTTGATGTTGTCAACAGCAAATACATTTATTTAAGTCAAGGATTCACAAAACATTAAAGCTCATTTGGGGAGTTTTTAGCTGGTTATGAAACAGGCTGAAATGAATGCTGATGCCTCCGAATGAGCCACAAGAGAAAACAAGAACATCAGCGGCAACGTTTACATTTTCCACAATGTGATTTTAATTTCTGAAAACGCTGCCTGGTTGGGGTCAGAAAAGGAGATTAACAGCAACGGGAATATGCTTCTAAACACGATTCTCGATGAGTGAACACTACTTACAGGTTGAGAATAAAATCTGCAAAAAGATCAGAGGTGTCACTTTGTCCACAAGGGGGCGCCATAATCGACACAAGCAGGACGTTTCTCACAGGAGCTTTAATCTTAACATGTAAACAATACCTCTAATCCAATCTCAAAAACCTTACTCTTTACTTTCTGGCAGCCTTACCGTCAAATATCTGACAGATAGACAATAACTGTTACTGCTAAAGCGCTCTCTGATTGGATAAGAGGGTCACAGCACCTTGAGACAGGTTAACATGCAGGTAATGTTGTATGGTTTATGACTAATTGAAAGTGCTATCTTTACTGTTATCTTAAATAAGAACAATTAGGCAAATATCATGCAAATGTTCATATAGAAGATATGCATTAGGGAGCAACGATATAGCTTAGAGGTTATGTCCCGCACCCCAGATGCTATAGTCCTCGTCACAGTGTGTGACGAGGGGCCATTGCTGTGGGCCATTGCTGCATGTCATCCCACACTCTCTCCTCCTTACATTTCCTGTCTTTCTTCAACTGTCCGATCCATTAAAGGCAAAAGGCCCCACAAATAACTTTAAAAGAAAAGATGTATGAAATATGTGTGTGTGTGTGTGTGTGTGTGTGTGTGTGTGTGTGTGTGTGTGTGTGTGTGTGTGTGTGTACCTGCTTGGTGTGCTGTCAGCTCGGTCGCTCTCCTCCTCTGTCCATGTTTTCACAGACAGCCTGTGGGAATCCTGCACTGGACCTGTCATACTAAACACACACACACACACACACACACACACACACACACACACACTAGCAAGATTAGCAGCTTACTTTGTTCATCACAGACAGAATCAAAAGGCAGAACAGCTGGACGATCACAAACAGTTATATAAGAACTAAAACTCACTTTAAAGACACATGCAGACATGGGCTCAGATTGCCATTCTCACATATAAATGAAAAAAAAGGACTGATGGGCACACAGTCAGATGTTGGAAGGTCGAGAATGAGGTCGTCCTTTTTCAGGCATCTCCACGGAAACCAGATGACATGGCAACAAGCTGTACAGTAGTTATGACAACAGCTCATGATAGGCAGAGAAAGAGATTTAAAGCCAACAAACCTGATAAATGTCCTCAAATCTTATTTCATCAATCCAGATCAGTGTGCGTCTTCAGTCGAGCAGCACACCATCTCCGTCAGGTGATCTGGATCCACAACACAGAGGACAAAGACTCGTATGAGGGGACAGATGGACGGTTGGATGGAGTGATCAAATGTAAAAGATGAAAGGGCTCATCACACAGTACTCAACAAAAGCATCATTTCAATTGCAAATCATTTGTGCATGTGCACCTTTTCACCACCACGCTCATCTGAATTCAAGAGCCCTATTTGAAGTGGCCTCAGAGCTGTCTTTGTGAGCTTATTTTCTCCTGATTACTGGAGAGAGAAGTGTTTTGATACACACACCTGCATGTGTGAACCAAGACGTCACAGGACACACACTAACACACACAATGATGTAATGATGATGCAGATGGTGGTGGTGATCGTCTGTCCATTATTGCTTTGGTTTTATGGCCAACAACTGGATTGATTTTGATTGATTGAGCTCTGACAAACCTTCTTCACAAAGCGTGTTCATTTAGTGACTGGCTGGTGAGCACAGCTGCGCTTGTTAGCTGCTTAAAGGTCAAAGGTTTTCAAGCATGTGTGGTTCAGAGATATAACTGAATTATTTGACTTACATTTCTCAGGAGGCCAGGGACAAGCCTTTAAATAAATGCTAATAAATAAATAAAATAAAATAAGTTTCTCTGGTGGATGTACGGGCATCATTAGCTAATGTGACAATATATTGACTTCACAAGTTGGTCAACTGGTTAGAAGAAGATTTACTTCATTGAAATTTCAGTTTTTACACTCTGTAGTCATGAACACACACATAGGCTGAAGTATATATATACAGACATGCACACAAACAGGATCCTATGAACATGCACTAAGGGAGAAATGTCAGAGTGATGGAGTGGCCCACAGTGGGCGCTCCTGAGCTGATGGTGGGGAGGTGTTTTTTTGTGCCTTGCTCAAGGGCACCTTGGCAGTGCTCAGTAGGTGATCTGGCACCTCTCCAGCTACCAGATCAACTTCCATGCTTGGTCTGTACTGGGACTTGAACTGGTGACCCTCTAGTTCCCAACCCAAGTCCCTACAGACTGAGCTACTGCCGCCCCAGTAGCTCTGGGTTACCGTTGCGTTCAGTTTTGCCCTCTAATAACTACTAAATTATGACAACAACTTCTGGGCATTTTAATTCGCAGTGGTGAGAGTTGAGCTGAGCCAGCCTGTGAGCTGTGACTCGACGTAGACGGAGCAAACTATGAGCCTAAATCCTCAAAGAGAAGATGTTCTGGGGTGGATTGTTAAGCAGAATCCATTTTGCTCAGGTGAGACATACAGGTGAATTTTTGTAACATCACCTTTACAAATCTGAGGTTAATTGAGGTCCTTTTTTTTTCGCTTAATCATATTTTTGTATTCCTTTTGGATTTTTCTATTTAAAGTTGATTTCATATTTTCAGATTTAATCTTCTCTCTGATTGTTAACGCTTTGTTTTAGAGATTTTTTTTTAAATCCTCTATTTAAATGTTTCTTTTTCTCTTCATTTTGATAATTTTGATGTGTGTGAACCACTTTGAATTGCCTTGTTGCTGAAATGTGCGACGCAAATAAACTTGACTTGACTCATATAAGGTTCATGGGAAATGCATTGACCATGAATAGTTCATCACAGTTGTAGTTGTCTTGATCATTTCCCTTCTGTCGCTATATTAGCCTGATGTGAACATATCTGCTACTTTGCCTGTCACAGGAAAAATGAAAATATATAAATGAAAGTTTAAGGAATCTTCTTTCCTATCCATATTTTGTGAAAAGTGTTTCTCCTGTCATGTAATGATGATGATTAATATTTCAAACATGGCTGAAGACGGAACAACACTGATGAGAAAAATAAGAGAAGTTCATAGTTAGTGATTCTCCTTTACATACATCATGTGTCTTCTTTTATATGCTTCTATGTTGTTGTTTTATGTTGTTTGTTTCTGTTGGTTGAATGTTAGGATTGTCATGTTTTACATTTTGTGTGTTTGTTGTATGTGGACTCCAGGAAGAGTAGCTGCTGTTTGTCCCTGTAATCAAAAATATTTTCTTCTACTGTAGTGTATATATTTGTTTCTTACATAAAATATTTACAATAATATACAATATTTATAAACAATATATTCTGCACTCTCGCTAGATACTTTTTTTTACTGTGCAATACACATATGTATTACCTGCTGTAAATATTACACACATTGCACATTTCACCTGAATTCAAGTTGTTTGTAGCTGTGGATGCCTGAATGTGTGCACCTTAAGGTGCGTTTTAATGATTTAGTTGTACAATTGTATAATGACAAGATTGGCATTCTATTCTATTCTATCCTGTTGGATAGGACAACTGAAGAGAGAAAGGAGGAGAGCGTGCAGGATGACATGCATCCAAGTGTCATATGCTAAGCCATCCTGCCCCCCACCATTTCATTTTTCAAGCACAGAAAAAGAGCGAAAACCAGCAATAAAAATCTCGTCAAATAGATGGAAAAATTATTTTTATTGAACATTACTGATGTGATTGTACATATCATTGAGTTTGCTGTCAATTAAAACAATCCCTTTTCCTCACAGTGGACTTCAAATGTTCTTAGCAGGGAAACATCAGGGGGTGAAAACATAAAATGTGCAGTATTAAGACTTTAAAAAGAATTCAGCTGAATTAGCTATGGCTGTTTCTATCAGGTTAACCATCTTTTTCAAGTTTGGTGTGTTCAGCTTTCAATGAAACCATATCGAAAAGATACCGCTGCAGAAACTTATAAAGTGTAATCATCATCATTGTTCTTTAAATGGAAGCTTTGACTTCAGATCACTTTAGGGTGCGTTAAGGATTTCTTTTGATTCAAATTCTGTACAAATGAAGTTGACTTGACATTAGTGGTCTGAAATATTTCCAGGTGTTAAAATAAATGAGACACGGAGAGATTTTTATGCGGTTTATTTAAGTGTCTAATACCAGAGAGTTGAGTTATGATAGTTGACAGGGACATGCTTCAGGTTTTCTGCACAAATCAAGTCTTTCTTAGGAGTAAAAGAAATCCTCAGAAAGGGGGAAAAAACATTTTGTGATTAAAAGACCTTTGAAATGAAACTGCACATCTGATTGATTAATGGATAAATAGGAATCTCTCAGATATGAATGGATTCATGTCAGATTTATGGAGTACATGCATGATTTAAGACAATGAAGAATTACCAGTTTTATGAGCTAATGTTAATAGTAAGACATTTCCATTTGATGGTGTTGATGCTGCTGAGTCAGTTTTACGGGATGTTTGCCACCTTGAAAGTCCTTCGAGATGATCCACTACATATACTCAAACATATCCCTTATGTTAAATCCTCAATAATTTTCCTCATAATAGTCCCTTAACATCTCATTATGATTCCTTTCTGATGAGCACAAATGCACAAGTTAATCAACTAAAAAGATTGGAAAATTAAGGTATTTAGTTAAATGGTTTCAAGTACAAAGCCATAAAATGCCTTTGACCTAGCACAGCTTTGGTCATATATTTAAGAAAGGCGTAAAGGTATTCGTGAAGATAATCGTTTTATTGCTTAAGGGAAATAAGCACTCATACAGTACACAGGTGGGCACAGGTAGGATAGAGCAGACATGAGTGTATCATCAGGAAGAGAGCTTTAGGGAAGCCTGAGGGGATAATGTGAGAACACAGAAGCAAGACTTCAGAAATATTGGACCAAATACTAGAAAAAATAACTTAAATGTTTGTAAAGAACTGTAAATGTCACCACGTAAAGGTTTTGTTTGATATTAAAGGTCACATACATTCTCCTTTTTCAACCAGTTTAAATAAGTCTCAGAGCTCCCCCACAACATGTCTGTGAAGTTTCTTGTTATAGATCAACTCTGATGCTGTATTTGATTTTGTCTATAAACCCCTCCATTTTAGCCCTGCTCAGAACAGTCTGTTTCTGTGCCTGTAGCTTTAAATGTAAATGAGCTGTGTTTGACCACGCCCCTCTCTGGACAGGCTTGGGCTTTTCGCACCATGTCCTTTGGTTTACACTAAAAAGGCAGACTCAGAGGGCAAGAACAAACACCCAGTTGTGTCACCCACCTGGGGGAGGGGTTACTGCCCTTTGTGATGTCATGAAGGTAAAATCGACAAACGGCCTGTTTGAACACATTTTCCACACAAGTAAGAGAAGGCAAAACATTAAATGTCATAATTAGAGGGGTTTGTAGAAAAGCTAAATAACACATTTGAGTGTTACATAGCCATTGTAAAGTGTATTTTGCACAATATGTGACCTTTAAGGGGGCATTATTAAGTTTCTCCATTCAAAATAAACAGAATACACTTAGGGTCACAGGCAGGAAGAAGTCAATCCCAGAATGCACTGGGCAGACCCTGGACTATCGCTTAACCAGTATGGAGAGCTGAGGCTTTGTTGTTGTGACACTGTCATTCACTCAAGCTCAGAAGTTTCCTGATGTAAAACTGTAAAACCAAAAACCCCTGAGGTAAGACTTATGTCCCACTTCAATGCTAACTGTCTAATCGTCTGCAAAACACAAGCTCCATGAACTAAAGCTTGTGTATGTACCAACAAATGTTTATTGCCGTTTCTAAAAGTTAAATGTGTTATAGATGCAATAAAGCGACACTTCTGTGTATCCCGAACCAGAAAAGCTGCAACACAACTATGTTGTACAGCTATGTTCACTCTCTTCATGTGTCATCCAATCAAACGGGCAGGGGGAGAGGGGGGTGGGGGTGGGGGGGTTACGCTCGCTTCATGCCTCTCCCCATCAAGCAGGCGAAGATGGTCATCACCATTTTCTGGTTGATCTCCACCAAGTCTTCAGGGAGAGCGTAGACTTTTGCCCCAATCTTCCTCGCCATGGAAACAGCATACCTGGAGAAGAACAGGGTCATCATTAGGGTGCCATTTAAAAGACACGAGAAATACCCCTGATCTTCTTCCTCCATTTGTCTGGTTTCCCTCCACTTTTGATTGGCCTCACCAGTTTCCCCTGTATCTTGTTTGTTACACCTGTTTTCAATCCCTCCTAGTCTATTTAGTGCCTGTGTGCTTTCTCGTCATATGTTAAACGTCCCTCGTGTTCAGTACTTTTTTAGGTTAAAGTTTTGTTAGACATTTAAGGATTCTTTTTTAGACTCCTGAACAAGTGAGCTTTTTTTTGCCTTTAGTTTCATTAAACCTTTTTTTGAGTTCTGTATTTGAGATCTTTTCCTTTGTTGAAATATTCAGAACTTTGCCAGTAATAGCTGTAACCAATGTCAATATTAGAGCCCGACCATTATGTGATTTTTAAGACCAAAAACAGATACTGGGAGTGACTCTGGGAGGGAGGTGGTTATGTATATGGGGGCTAATTTTCAAAAATTTAAGCTTGAATTAAAACATAATTTAGAAAAACGAATGATAATTAAAATAATATTATCAGCAGTTAAACTTCAAGTTTGCTATGAGACATTTTGAAACATCTAAATATATTTTTCAGTTTATTATCATCTTTGAGCATGTAGTAAGAGAGAAGTTTGTAGGTGATTACTTGGCATTGTCCAGTTTGTCTTCGTCCGACAGATTTTCTGTTTTAACCAGCTCGAAGTTCACACTCTTTGGCTGAATGGCATCGATCAAGTCGAGCACAGGCATGCTGGTACCGATGGATTTGTCCTGAGAGGAGACACAGACACAAACATTATACATGTATACAATGAGGCTGTTAACATTTTTAATACTTTAAATACTTTGACACTCAGTTTTAAAATGATACAATCTCTGTTGTTCTTCTTAAAAGATAGAATCTAAAAGTAACACAGCTTTAAATTAAAACACAAATGTAGTCTATTTTCAACTCAAAACAAGATGTACATGTATTTGTCCAATTTCAATAAAGGCATAAAAAGCCCAAACACAAACCTTAAAAAAGTTTATTAGTTTTTAAGGCACTACATGGCCTTCCACCATGTGCACCACATCTCAGAGATGCTTTTAGTTTATGAACCAGACAGCCCCTCAGATCCTCCTTACTATGTGATGTGCATCCTAGAATATCTTGGTTATGTATTTACTGTCTTGTTTATTACTGATGTCCTTAAACTGTGTTTCTCATCTTGCCCTCTTTGTGTCATTACTCAATGAGACCACACGAGGGTGTCAGCGTGCCAGCGCTCATCTTTGTCATGTACTGAATGGTTTTGTGGTCTCTGACATCCTCCGTCTGTTGATTGTAAATGTTTGTATGGTCTGGGTGGGATGAATCAAGTCTAACTACTCTTTGTGCAGTCTGAGGTAAATGAGCAAACACTTGACTTGGATTAAGACATGCATAATTAAAAATCATTTCAGTATTTCATCAAAATGTTCTTCTTTTAATACTCAAGTGTATCAATACTTTCATAAGACCCCTGATAGACGTCAAACATTTATGACGGAGGATGGAATTTATTTTGATATAAGGAAAGGCTGACAATTTATAAAAGTATGATACAGCACTTGTGTTGTTGTACTCAAGATTGATCTGAAGGTCTGGATCTCGTCTTGGAAACGAAAGCATTTTTACTCGGTCTTGTCTCGGTCACAGACTGGGTGGACTCCAGATTTTAAATACAGACCGGTCAAGACCACCACTGAGAGGCTATCCACAGCATTACTGTGAAAAGAAGGAAAGCATCCCTTTCTAAAACAACGTATAACTTTAATTCAATTGGACTTTTATCGCCTGGTTTCGTCCACAACCTTCCCGATGTTACAGTCATAGTGAGTGACACGCCCGCTGCACACAAGATGATGATTTTCAGTGACATTTATGGTCTTGGTCTTGTCTCGGAGCACTCTGGTCTCGGGTATGTCTTGGCCTCGGTTAGGGTGGTCTTCACCACAACACTGTATAGCACAAAGGAAGTGTTGTGTTTTGAACTCTATTAAACTCACCTTAAAGCTTCTGATTGAGGAACTCTTGCCGCTCTCAGACAGAGTTTTGTTGACCCAGGAAATGATCAGATCATCTCCTGCAGCATCTCCCAGGTCTTCAAGAATATTTAGAGTGTACCTGCATGCAGATTATAAGACAAGCATTAGGAATATAACCAATTCAATCTTTTGTATAAACAGTATGTATACATTAAACAGCCTATACTTCTTGTGAAAGTGACTTCAGCTTGAAATTCCTCTGGACACGACAATGTGTAGCTTTTTATCTAACATTTGGGAACAGCGCCCTCTTTCTGCAATCTGCTGTACACTAACTCAACTTTAAAGGACTGTAGCTAGATGCTGGGTGGATTCAAATTGTCCCTCCTATTCCCTTTCACTATCCACTTTACCTTAACCCCAGGGAAAACATCATGAGGTTAAGGAAAGATGTTAGGAGAATTCCTAAAGGACACTAGGCGACGTAATTATGAGACGGCGGAGGTTAATGACGTGGGTCTGACGCGGTGAAACTACAATGTTCCGAAAATGGACTACTAAAAGCGCATGTAAGAAACGCTCCCCCCCTGTGCCTGCTTACCGGTGAAATAATCCTAATTACCACAATGAATTAAAATAAAAGGAATAAAGGTTACCAGGCTACTTCACTTTGATTGTTTTACAACATCAGCATTACGTTCACAGTTCACCTATTGGTTTAAGATTGCTGAAAGTTGTTCAAGGTATATTATTGAGACGATAACTTACATGATCTGCGTCCCTTTTCGGTCATTGTTAGTTTTCTTTTCTTTTTTTTATTAACAAAGTTTTATATTAAAATTTCTCGAAGGAATCAACATCAAATAACAGCAAGGCACCTACACTAAACATACAAGAATATTTAAAAGCAATGTTCACCTTCTTTACTAACACAAAATAAAAATAAAGAAAGAAAATAAATACAAAGGCAGTAACAAATTATAAGTCGAATCAATAAATAAACCAAATGCAGATTGTCTCCGCGTTGCTCCTCCAACAGATCTCAGTCCGTACTGAAATATTTACAGTCTGTGGTCCTTACATGGTCATCGCTAGTTTTCGTGAACGATCTAATCAAGGTAATTTTTCTAAATTAGGGCCTACATTACCTCCTCATCAGCTGCCACACCAGCGCCAAAGTTAGAGTTGCATTTCCATCATAGAGATCCTGTCCAGCTATTCCCACCAGCGAGAAACCAGCCTCTTCCTTACCCAGCTTCACGGCATAGTTACAGTTCTCTATCTGTTGTGCACACAAACAGACAAAGTTAGAAGACTTCACAGTGGGAAGAGTCAGGTTTTTTTTTTTTTTTTTAACACACTGATAGCAGAGGTTTCTATCAGTCAAGTCCATCAGAAGTAACTAATCCCATTCATACACATTCAAATGTTAATGTTTTATTTTTATTCTACCTTTTTTAAATGCCCCACTACAGGTTTGAATGGAGGTTGGTTGACTGCCTCCCAGTTCACTGGCACCTTGATCCTTTCATACAGCTGGAGAATAACCATGGCATCCTGCAGATCACTACAAAAACACACAAATTCAGACAGGTTTTTTAAAACAGAATCATGCACCAGTAAACATAACGACACTATTAGAGCTTTCACACTTAAAAGTAAACTGCTAAAAAAGTCCTGACATTCCCAGGAGGAGCTGTATGTGCGAACGCAAACCGCTGATTTTTTTCCCCTCGGGCTTCACTCAGAGTTTCTCCTGACAGGGCCCAAGATTTCTTTCTGCAGCAAGTGCGAGTGAGCCAATGTGAGAACGCAGCAGGATATTCACCTTGAGCAACTGGGAAGGGAGAGTGACGTTTATTTACTGTGAGTGGAGTGCATAGAGCGTCTGCATGTGACCGCTATGGCCTCCAAACACGTAATGAATCAGCTGCATCATGTTTCCTGTATTACTGTATGTTTGCCTCCGCTCTTTTGCTGATATTGTGATTCCATTGACAGGGATAGTCTCCCACTGTGAGGAGCATGTGTGAACAGCCAGGTCGGGAGAATCTCTGGAGCGGTCCTCCTGAAATTATCTAGAGGTTTTCAGGAGTGCATATGTGAAAACCACTTTTGTGAGAGATACTGACCCGTAGATACGGTGAACAAATGGATTGACTCCAAGAGAGTTCATCCAGTTCCTGAAGGTTCTCTCCTCCCGGGTCTCACCTTCACAAAACAACACAATAACAGAGATTTAACCACTTAAGAAAAACATATTTCTTCACATATTATGGATGTAATTTAAGTACGTCTAAAAAAGGGGGGAAATTCCTCTGTTCTTACTCTCCAGATTCCAGTCTTGGTTCTCTGGTTTGGTGAGAGCTGGGTGTTTGTTGAAGAGTGTGGCTACAAAGGCCATGTTCAGCTTTGAGTTTCCACCCACTACATCAGTAGCAGTTACGAACTGGCGGCAGCCGAGGCGGTCAGCCTGCTTGAGCATGCACTCTGCTCTCTTTGAGAGATCCTTCTCCTGATGGCACACAGGGACAAAAAATAAATAAAAAAACATGTTGGTAGAAAAACAGGCTCTGCTGTGTTGGATAATACATTCTCTGACAACAACAAAAATATCCCTCATTGATTTCAGTGGAACTACTCGTGTGAAAAGTGTTATAACCAAAGTTGAAGAGCCTAAGTATTTTAAACACTTGTATCATTAGTGGGACCAACAGCTGGTTTAAATACAAAACATATCTACGGTGTAATGTCTTTCTAAGAGAATTCTAATGAAATAGAAAATTAAAAAGACCAGAGGAATCAAGCAAGTGCATGAAACTAAAATGTATAGCTGCATATTACAGGTGTAACTATTGATAAATCAACATACGTAAAGACCAGTCATGTCGATCTCAACCCGTGGAGCATCCTCTTTGCTTCCATCTGGTGCAATCTGCTCGAGCAGGTGGAAGTACGCCTTGGAGTCCTGCACAGACAGACAGACAGACAGACAGAGAGAGAGAGAGAGACAACAATGATGACTACACTGCATCAGAAATGTCAAGTTCATTCTCCAACAGATTGATTTAAAGCTATTACATCAGGGGTTAAATATGTAGTTAATAAATCATATTGAATACAGTAGATACTGTAAATGACACTTCAAATGAACAAGCAAAGAGCACTCTGCTAACTAACAGAGACATGATCTTTTAATCAAAGTAAGGGGTTAGAAGTGAATTTGTTTCGCAGTGGTTTTAGAGTGAAAGGCATCACACTCCCATTTTCTCACCTTAACATCTCCAGAAAAGTTTGTTAAGGTCATGCCCACTTTCTTCAGATGGAAATTTGCCCAACGCAGCAGCAGCTCCTCAGGACTGAGCTTCATCAAGTCCTCCAGAGTCTCCCCTTCCTCCAACAACGCTGCTAAAGCTGAAGACAGAAACACGAGCCAGAGTCCAGTTTGTGAGCACAGAACTGAGATTTCTTCTGTCATGTGTTTGATGAAACCACCTAACATGCTATGGTTTTCTGCTCTGTGTGTCAGGTGAGATTCGGTTGGTTCATACCTTCATTACGGCTCAGCTCGATATCCGCAAACAGTCCGATCTTAATGATCTGCCAGAGGAGGCCGAGCACCAGGTGAGGTTTTCCCTCCTTCAGATCTTGAGCTCCAATATTAACAACTTGGCAGCCGATGGCCGAAGCTGAATTCAGGGCCAAGTTCAGATTCTCCTGTTGAGGGACAATAAGGTAGGACGTGCAAGAAGAAATCATTAAGTTAAGTCTTCAAATTCTTGACAAAGGCTAATATGGCCAAATTCATGCACTATAATGGTTATATGTATCTGAGATCAGGGCTTCTTCATGTTTACATTTCTTTTCAGACTAATTGTGAGACACTTCAGACTATATTTTACATCAGAGAACAACAGGCGAGTAGTTGTTCAAAATCTGTAAACATGTGGGTCCAATTTGACCTTTGTTAGATGCTAAAGCTAACCGAGCTTTATATTTGATGCAAGCCTTGAACACTTGCACCCAGCTTTTGTGGGTGTTAAGTCCATGCTCCTAACAGAAAGCTGTACTACGTTCTACATCTGTGATTATGTCAACTCACACTAGAGGAAAAAACAACAGGACATGGGGAGTGACAAAACACATGTAAATACATATGACATAAAATAAATAAATACGTGACAATTTTTGCTTTTAAAATGGACTATCACAAGATGAGACAGCAGGCCCCTAGGATATGATTTAAATCAATGTCTACAGATTCAATCAGTACTGTTAGCGCTAGCCTCCTGGCTAACAGGAGCTTCTGTCAGCCTTTGGAGCCGACTGAAATAAGTTTGTTAGCATAATCTTGTTGAGGTCAAATGTCCTGCTTCCTCCTTTTTTTCCCCCGCTTTCTCTTCCGGCATCCTCACTGTGCAGCTCCTGGAGTGGCTACACTGATTCCCACATAACTGGCGTAATGGTTCACGTCGGTAACATTGAAAAAAAAAAAAAAGAGGCTCATATCACTTTAAGAGGACGGAGTTTACACTTTGAAAAAGGCTACATTTTAGTGACGCAACAAAACGCAAATAAAATGTGCTTTTGAGGTTGTCGTGAGTATTTAGGTGTAAAATTAAATATGTGGTCATCGTCGCTTGAACCTCCAATGGCCCTCAAACCCTCTCTTGTGCAGCAGCTTCTTCTCACGCTGATCGTTACATCATCACGTGAAGAGCCTTAATTAGTGATTGGATGCGCCTGGGGAGGTCACCACATGTAGAGAAACTAAACATGCATGTCTCACTTTGCACTGAATAATGTCAGAGATGGATTGAAATGTCAGCATAACTAGTTTTTTTCTCTTCAGCCTGACTATTATTCAGTAATATTCTTCATGTAGTGTTTGTGGAACAATTTTCTCCTCAGTGTTACACCTTAGAAGATCTCATAAGGGCTAAGACTCTTTGTGAATAACTTTCACCGTCACTAGATCAAGGATCTAGTCCTAACTTTGAGGGGAAATTCTTAATTCCACTATATTTCACTGGGGAAATGTTAAATCACTCTACTCATGGCATATTGAACTGTTTTACTAGTTCACTTCCTCTCAACTACCTGCTAATTTAACCAGCAGCTTTCTAACCTGAGTGGTGAAAGCCGTGAGTTTCTTCTTATTGATGGTTCTCTCGTCGATGGTGTCAGGAACTGAGAGGTTGATGAGTTTGCTGCAAAAAACATGAGACAAATATATCAGCACAATAAATGAATTCAAGGCTTTAAAAACAGACCGAAACAATCGAGCTGAAGACGAAAGTATAGATGTATAAAGAATATATGAATGATACATTAACTGGTAAAAATACTTCTTATACACTTTGCTGTTACGTTGAAGAGCTTCTTCTGATTTGTGCTGTAAGCGTTTACCAAAGTACGATGCCGTCGGCCACTGCTGTGAACAGAGCTTTAGTGTTGGGGTCGATAGGCAGGATGTTTTGACAGTCTGGATCCTTCTCCAGAGAAGAGCTGATGTAGTTTGCGAAGGCATAGCGCTCCTGCTCTGAAGAACAGAGTCGAGTCACATCGTCAGATTCCTTCGGTCATGAATATAACCACAGCTGATCCTGATTTAGTGCCAGTAGAGCTTTACTAACCAGATATTGAATGTTGGGTTCCTTCACTGGAGATCTCACTTGTGCCCCCGATGGCGACAATGCCTTCTTTCTTGTTGAGAGCTTTTCTGAATTCCTTGGCCTTGGAGTCGTTCTTCAAATCCTTGAAGATCTGAAAGTGCATAAAGTAAATTGTAAATTTGTAAATTGAGCTATTACATTTTTTGGTTTAACAGGTCATAGGTTAGGTTAGGCGTCAGCACAGCACAGGGCAAATGGGCCTAGTGTGAGTGCACCCTTACTCACCAAATGAGTTAGTTTAAAAATCAAGAAGTTTCACTGATGGTACACTAACATTTAATTATTCTTAATAACCTAGTCAGTGAGTAAACCAGCTAATTTGGACATTGAACATCAGTCAGCAATTAAGTTGTGACAGTACTCAGAACACATTAAATGGATAGTAAGTAAACTGTTAGTAAAGTTGTGAACTAGTGAAGTTGTTAGTTAGTCAGTTAGTGTTACCTACAGTCGTGAACTCTTCAAGGTCGATGTGGCTGTCGTTGTTTTTGTCCAGCTTCTGGATGAGTTCTCGGATCTGGTATCCAGGCATAGAACAGCCCACCTCACTGAACAGATTTCCGAGTTCAGAGGCGCAGATGTACCCATTACCATCCAAATCTAGAGATGTGTTGTGGAAGCGAGCGAGAGAGGGGGAGAAGGGTTAGGGGAAAGGTCAAATTAAAGCAATGATATACTGGATTTATCAAAGGCTTCATTTATTTCATAGATCACAAGAAAAACATCTGTCTGTCAGATGGTTCACACATGTAGACTCTCTCACACACACACACACAGTAGCAGTCACCGTGCATATGAACATGTGTCGGTCAGCTGCTTCGCTGCACTTCAAACATGACGTTCATTTATAATTTTCTGAAATGTGTCTTAAATCTCAGCTCATTCTTACTCACCCACTTTCTGGAATCCCTCCCTGATCTCCTCCATCTCCTCGGCGCTGACGATCATTGACATTCTGAATTCTATGAGACACAACAGAAGGAAACAAATGAAAATGCTGCTTTAAGGTACTGTTAAGCAATTACAGAAATCAGATATCTTTCTATTTTTAATGTTTAGGTGACTTCACAATTACTTAAATTATTAGAAGTGATCAAGTTTTTAAAAGTACTACATGTATCATTTTTAACAATGATAATGAACCATCAAATAACCTTTACCACAATTGATGGTAATAAATGGTAAATGGACTTGAGTTTGCATAACACTTTTCTAATCTGAGACCACTCAAGGCACTTTTACATCGCATGTCACACCTACACATTCACACACTGACGGTGGAGGTTTCTATGTAAAGTGACCATCTGAAATAACTAATCCCATTCACACATATTCATACACCGCAGATGAAGCAGAAGGAGCAACTTCGGGTTGCGTGTCTTACCCATGGACACATATGACATGTGGCTGCAGGAGCTGGGGATTGAACCCCAAGCCTTCCGATTGAGAGATAACAGACTCTACCACACATAGCCACAGCTAAAAGGCTTTAACTTTATAAAGTAAGTAAAACTTGTAATATTTAATATTTTTTTAAACACAAGTTACGCATCGCTTTCCCTACAAAATACTGCATAAACACCAAGCACAAAACAACAAACACAGAAGGTTTACACACCTACAGGACTAAAAAATATGTGCACATTTTAAAAGGACTAAGGAATGAGCCCTGAGGTACTTCATATAAATGTGATGGACACAGCCACACAATAAAAGGTTGCACAACTCAGCACAATACTCACATGTTTTTATTTGCATTTAAAAGAATAACACAGGCTAGTTGTTTGGTTTGGCATTTGTTTATTATAACTTTAAGTACACACAGTGGATTAATTTTGTCATTGTTTGTTTACTAAGTAAAGTAATAATAATTAATTGATCTTTTCTTTTGAGTTACCTGGCTCATGTGCTCTATTTCCTGGTTTGAAAAAGGGTGAGGCTGAGGGTGGAGCTTGGCTTTGTGGAAGAGGATCATACCAAGTGCTCAGACAGCATGGGGAGATCTGGGTTCCTTGGTGTTAACTTTTAGTTATTATGTGTGTAGGCCTCCCCTGTGTGTTGGTTTTGGTTTGGTCAACTGGTTTAAATATCCCCCTCAGTTCTCGTTTTGTTAGGTCTGTTAGTTGAGTTCAAATCCTGTTCAGTAACAACAAATTGTCACAGTGATGCTATTTTGACCACTTTTGTGTCATGAAGTTACACTATTTAGTGGAAACTGTGTCTATTTCTAACATTTCTAACTATTTACCAAACATAGCTCCACCTTAAATTGCCCTTCTGTGCTGTAATTGGCTTGTATATGCATGCTTTGATTTTCTGGTACCTGTTGCCAGATGGTTTCCTGTATTTATCCAAAGTGCAAATATCTGACAACATTAACCATGTAATGGTGAAGTTAACAACAATTTTCTACAATTCGTTTAGCAGAAGCTTTTATCCAAATCGATGAAAATCAGCACAGACGAGAAGTCTGGTTATAGTCTTAGGACCCTGTTGTGAAGGTCGGATTAGACACCTTTCATTGTCAGAGCGTACTGGGCAGGAAGGAGTATAGACCTGGATGACATAGGGAAGGAGGAGCTGTTCTTTATCGCTGTTTGTTAAGCGAGCAGCAGAGTTTTAAAGTTGATATTGAGAAGTAACTGGGAGCCAGTGTAAGGAGATAAACAGCAGAGTGACATTCTCTTTTTGGGGAGGTTGAAGACCAGTTTGATCATCAGGTTCAGGCACCAAAACAACTTGCTTAAGTTGAATAAGATTGTGAATTACGTTAATATATTAAGGAAGCATTGACTTCTGGTTTCACATTTTACATGATGAGAGATCTTCAGGTTGGAGGTCTTGTATTTGACCTGCTTGCTTTCCTAATCACTCAAACCAAAATATTACAAACAAATCACATAGCAGGAGTGTTGAATTTAGTGGGGCTCCATTAAAGAAAAACGACACATGCAACAAAAAAAGGTTTGTTACCTTAAGCTAACATTATCCAACATCAAAACCCCATATTAAACTGAGAAGTGTCTTACTGCCTACAAAAGTATGTATTCATTCATCCATGTAAAAACTTTAAAAGTATCTGTAACATTTTAGACATATACATAATTTCTTGAAAGTTTCTAGTTTAGCTTGAAAATCTTTTTTTTAAGTTCAGCACCCGTCTTACCACAGCAAAGCTGCACATATTTTGATCCTTATTCATAACTTCAGCATCTACGTGTTCAACACAGATTTGTAACATTGTATGGCCTGAGGCTCTTGAAGCCTGGTCCATGAGATACAAAAGTACAGCATGTTCAGTAATTCTCTGCTAAATGGCTGGTCAGCCTGGAGCCAATCTAAAATGTTCTGTCTGCACAGCTCAATTCACTGACGCAGGAAACTAAATATCTTGATCTAAATGGTAAATGGACTGAGCTTGTATAGCACTTTTGTAGTCTTCTGACTACTCAAAGCACTTTTACACCGTAGGTCACACCTACACATTCACACCCTAATGGTGGAGACTGCTATGTAACGTGACCTTGTCTTGCCCAAGGGCGTATCGAACATGTGGCTGCAGGAGCTGGACATCAAACCTGGTTGAGAGACGACCGACTCCACTAACAGAGCCACAGCCGCCTTGTGATGATAGCAACAATCTATCACAGAGCCTTTTAGTCTGACAACAAACAAGCCTGGAGACCCTTACATAACATCTCCAATGTTTTTGTGTATTTCCCTCTGGTACTATATGATAATGGGTTTTTGTTTTTGGCTGTTTATATCATTCACTTGCATAAACAATATAAATCATCCATCCATTATCAATACTGTTTTACCAGTCCAGGGTTGCGGGGGGGCTGGAGCCGATCCCAGCTGTCATTGGTCGAGAGGAAGGGTACACCCTGGACTTTTCGCCAGTCAGTCAAATGGGCTGACATAAAGATACAACCACCAATTTAGAGTCACCAATTACCCACGAGGACAACATGCAAACTCCACACAGAGAGGCTCCTGTCCGATGGGGATTCAAACCAGGAACCTCCTCACTGTGAGGCAACAGCACTAACCACTGCACCAAAGTTCTGTACAGCCCAATGAAGATTCAACATTGCAAAACATTTGATCTGGTCTTTAGTTTGAAATATACAGCAGGGCAAACTATTCATACAGATGTATCACTGTCTTCTTGACCCTCAGGGCTTCCATAGACATCTCTCTAAATAGTCAATGATTTTCTGCTTTAGTATTTTCACGACGTTGGTCTCATCTTTCTACACTTTAGGTCAATTTTGGTTTGTCAGATTGACTGAAGACATTCTGTATTTTAGAAAAAAATTGGATTTAGGGAAAGCTTATTGTTTAAATCCACCAAATACTTGAATGAGGAAGTCATCGGTTTTAGCATGCAGATCAGTTTAATGACAGATAAATCCTCTTATGTCTGGAGTTAGGATGATGCTTTTAGGAGCAAACAGCAGAACGCTAAGCTAGGCAGCTTAATGTATCACACCAGATAACGTTATAGAAAATATTGGCCTAGATACACAGTTCCAGTAATAAGAGGTTGAGAGGATTCGTCTGTGCTGTGCATGATTTAGTCCGGAAGCTTTCTGAGAGCTCTAACGTCTCAAGATATGGCAACTTGATGTATTATACCAACAGATAATTGATCCTATTCTAGGAAGCTGAAGCCATTCGGACTAATCTTAGCTCTTACCATCATATAGAAAGAGAGAGCTCCTGTCTTGGCCGCTGAAACTGACAAAATCCCCTTTTTCCCCTAATAAGCCATCTAGTAAAATCTGATTCAATCAGGAGAACCAAATTCTCACCAAATCAGATCCAAGGAGATTAAAGATGCTTTTCATTCTTTAACCTGTGACCCGTTTTAACTCTCAGCTGTGCCATGATCGAGTTACAGCATAGTCATAAACAAATAGGCTACTCTTTGGCACCAGCATGCAAACAAACAGGTAGCACGAACAGCCAGACACGGATATACAGGTACATGAAGACAACCACAGGGACACTAATGGATCCAAACAGACACATTTGTTTGAGAAAATGAGGCATGACATACTGATCTGTTTTATGTGTTTCTATTGAGACGCCTTTCTTATAACACAAAACAGACTTAAATACACAGTTAAGACATTATCATCCTCATGATTACCACTTATAAAGGTACAAACCCCCCAAAATCTTTAGTTTTCAGGAAACTACAGGGCCCGACCGGTATGAATATGCTGCTTATTAGTCGTTATTGATTGCTCATTAGTACCTTAGTCACTTGACTTATGACTTCCGGGGCGCGGCCTGCTGCTCTCCATTTGTTTGTCTGTTTGAATTGTTTCTTAACTTTCCATCTTCCTGTCAGGTACATTCACCTGAGCTGAGGATTTACAAATAAACTCTCTAAGATTGTGTCATCAGCAGGCAAAATAGTGGTCAAACCACAAAAACCTCTGTCTGACCTATTTACTGATAAGACAATAAAGAAAGCAAGGAGTATGTTAATCTTACAACATGACAACCATGGAATGAACTTTTTTACTACTTTTTTACTTCTACCTTATAAGGGTCACACTCAGCAAAGTATTTTAAGATCATCATTTATGTTCAACAACTTCCTTGTCTGAAACTTACTTTCAATTAGCAGTAATTAGGAGGGAAAACTCCTCTCAGTTAATCGCCTAATAATGATTAGCATGCTAACAAGCGACATGGTGAATATTGCGACCTTAATTTAAAGTGTTACCAAATATTTTTTATACCACCGTCAATTTCATAGGCACGTGGAGGAAGCTTTTTGTCAATGACATAAAGAAATGATAAAAAAGAACGTGCTTCTGAACGGCATTGGAATTTTTAAAAAGCTTTTAAAACAGCAACAGGAGTATATTCATATAGAACAGGAATTACACATCGATAGAAGAATTCAATGGTTGAACATAGACATGTGTGTGTGTGTGTGTGTGTGTGTGTGTGTGTGTGTGTGTGTGTGTGTGTGTCTGTGTGTGTCTGTTTGTGTTTCTTGATAAAGGCAGACTGACACAGGAGGAGTGATGGAGGGCAGACGGACTTATTCATTTACCCGGGATGGTGTTCATATCTTTTATAGATAAAGTAATTACAGTCAAAGGGCCATGACATTGTTGCAGGGGCGTCCAAAATTCTTGTGGGGCTAAGTTAGAGGGGGGTCTAGTTGTCCTTTAGCTGAATGGGCATTATTTCTCGACCAGTCCGGTAGTCTGAGGAAACCTCAGTTTGATTGTGAAATATTCCTAATTGCTGATTTTTTCCGATCTCTTCCATACTTAACATATTATTTATCATTGCTACATATATACAATAATATTTTTTTAATACTAAGATATGAGAAAAATCCTGTTCGATGAGGCCCCCCCACCCCTCCCAGTTTGAATGGGTGTGACGCCTCTGAGTCATGTTTTCATCATGTTAAGATCGCTATACTCTGGACAGGTGTATGGTCACTGATGAATGACGTCAGAAAAATGAATCAGTGTCAAAATGAAGGAGTTATTCTTTCTGTAGCCTAACTAATGAATTAATCAAATGAACACTGCCCTATTTTCTTTTGTGAATTTTGAATTTGAATATGAATTTTATTATTGTGTCATGCATTAGCATGCCCAGCCCACAAGGGCTTACAAGACACCAATATAAACACACAAACAGACAAATAGATGCCAAACAATACTAACAATATAAACCATCCTGGCGTTTCCTCCAGGCTTTAGTGACAAAAGAGGCCAACTTATAAACATTGAAAGTAAACATTCCATCCTGACATCGTCATTACTCCAAAACACTTGAGGGTCTCGAGCAAACATTTCATCAAAAAGAGGTACTCTCAGGTCCTCATAAAAGGGACAATACAAAAGAAAATGAGATTCACTCTCCACTTCTCCTAAATCACAAAGTTCACAAATTCTCTGTTCCTCTGGGATATTTTTAAATCTACCAACTTCAAGTGCCAAGGGAAGGATTCCTGTCCTTAATTGAGCAACCAAAGATCTTTGATTTCTTGGTAAGTTTGCTTTAACATATAATTCGGTTCATAATTATGCTTTATTTGGACATATGTTTGTAATTTAGGTTTTAACAATATTTCATTTAACCATTTTTCATTGAATACAACAAGTAAGTATGTGTTAAGACATGATAGCAAATACATTGTTTAATAACTATATTTTTAGAGAACTGTTGGATAAAGGAAAGAAAAGTATTTTACTGCCACCAGGTGTCACTGCTCAAAGGAGAATAGACCTTGATTTTGATTTTGAGGGTTTTTACTTTGGTGTGTCCATGTTACAAATCTCTTTCAGGAGAGGTTGAGTCAAAGTCTGTTTAAGCCTTCATAATGAATATTAAACAATAGCAGAAAAAAAACGTCATAAAATTATGGCTTTATTGCATTACAATAAATTTGTCAGTTAAGGAAATGCAAGGTTAAAAATGAACAAATATTGTTTATCCTCTCGCCAATCAGGGTTAGCTTTAGGGGTCAACCCAATTCAACCCTAACATCCAATTGAAACGCAGTCCCTCCTGCCTGGAATGGCTGGATACTGACAATAACACTGACTTTGTCTGAATGCCTTTGTTCTCCAGATTTAGATTCTGAGGATTCATTCATACAGCAATTCACGTGCAGAAAACTGAAGAGGTGTGTCCAGAACCTGGACCCCCGCGCGCGCGTGACGAGGCAATTAATTGTACCATTCATCCCGACACACACATGGCTGCTGTTCCCCTTTCATCACCATTGTTATTAAATGTGTCTGTCCATTGAGAAACAAAGCCAGCCCTCATACATGTGCTTGTTTCGAACAGTAAACGTAAACGAGACTTGATTTAGAACAGAGTGTGAGAATATAAGATACTTTATACCGTAGACTAATATGAAAAATAAATCTATTGTCTAATGGTACAAACAATCACTAAAAACTGTGCTCTCAATGCCCAAATCCAGAGTAAATGCCACTGTTTGCATAATTTTGTTGACCCATTTCTCTACAAATACCCTTAGTGGGGCTGTATAAATGTTTTATTTGCTGTATGGAGGAACAGCAGATGTGCCGCAGTGAATAATAAATTTCTTTTCTTTGGTTCAGTTTAACGCATGTCTGTCTCCCCTGAGAAAACGCCCCATACACTCCTTCTTCCTCTTACCTGAAGTCCGCTGGTGCAATTCAGTAAAATCTCCCGGGGAAAATAAATGAACCCCTGTGTCGGCCTCTCACTACACCTCTGTCCCGTTTTCTTCAGCAGACACCGCCCGGTAAGAAGAACCACCCCGCCCCTCTGCGCCACCCCTTCCCTAAACCAACCCTCCTCCGTCTTCCTCCCATCAGCAGCAGTCATGTCTGACTCACTGACCACTTAAGCTGGCAAGATAACATTAACATAATGAACAATACATGCTGCACAAATAAAGAGAGTGATTTAAAACATTCACTACAAATGCTCTTGTTTGAGCCTATTGTTATGATAATGATAACCAATCAGAATGCAGAAAAATATTATATCCAAATAGCTTCATTTTATTGTTTGCAAATGTTGAGACAATTAGAAAATGGAGAATTTCAACAGAAAATGTCATATGACTTTACTATTTTTTGCAATCAAAAAATAGGGGGGGGGGTGTACCTGAATAAAACAAATGTCTATATTTTCATCTAGCCTATATGGCTACTTCCTGGCCAAGGTCCTGCCCTTTGCATAGCCTAAATAAAAAAGAGGGGATGCAGTTTGAAGACACATGACTCCGTTTTTTTTTAAACAATTGAGGTATTAGTACGGGATAAATATAGAACAATCATGGCAAATAAGCAGTTCAGCACATAGTTGTAGGCCTAGATCACATAGATGATCAGATGTGAGAAGTCAACCTCAACATGATCTGCTGACATACTGTGTACGCTTTAGTGACTCAATTCTATATATCAGCTTTTCCAAATCTTTGTATACCAAAGCCCCCTAAATTTCCCAGAATTAGACCACAGACAGACTCTCATTTTGACAGTATTTAATCCCAGTATCCTCCATTTGGTCTTTACATTAGATTAGATGACAGAACATCTGAATACATGACATACTCCTTCATCTGTCATATTCTTACTTATGGATGGACTGAAGCCAAAATACACTTCTGATGATCTAACTATGGAAACCATCCGTCTATATAACCTGTTAATTTGAAAATGTTTACTATTGTGAAAACGTGCTTCATCAGTGAGTGTGACTGTGCATGAGCTGTCAGAGCTCTGCTACCAGTCTCTACATGCAGGAATTCCTCCTGTGTCCCTCCTCCTCGTCTCATTCCTCCTCTTCTCAGACTTTTCCTTCCCATTCCTACCCCCTTTTACTCACTCCTCTCTTTTACATATCCCTCTTTCTCTAGGGTGATGTGCTGAATCTTGTCCGGATAAATTCCTTCTCTGTGGCAGAAACCCAGGAAACAAATCTTTCCAGAAGGCCTTGACTTCTCTGTTTGACACCCACTTTTTCAGACACACAGCACCAGGTTTCTTATTTAGCGGTTGTGTCTTGCACCAACTTGTTCAATGTCTTCTGATTTTTTGTTACTTTTCACAATACTGAAATTGTAACATTAGTCATCAGCCGTGATGTTTCTGGGAATAAAAGAGTGTTATCATTACATATAAGGAGCATAAATAGAAACATGTAACCTACGCTTATGACCAAATCAACGTTTCTTAAAAGGCCTTGTAATAATTGTAACACACTGAGCCACAGTGGTCGGTCGTCTCTCAACCGGAAGCTCAGGAGTTCAATCCCTAGCACCTGCAGCCACAAGTCCAATGTCTCCTTGGAAAAGACACTTAAGCCCAAATTGCATCATCCCAGATGATACAGCAAAAGGCAACCAGTCACGCTTACATTCACACCTACGGTCAATTAAGAGTCAACAGTTAACCTAACCAGCATGTCTTTGGACCTTGGGATGAAGCTGGAGTACCCGGAGAGAACCCATGCATGCAAAGGGAGAACAAGCATGCTAACTCCTGTCAGATGGGGATTCAAACCAAGAACCTTCTCACTATGAAGCAACAGCCCTAACCACTGCACCACTGTGCAGCCCATGCCTATCTTATATTCAAGACAAAAGGGTATCAGTATATTCAAGTTCTGTGAGTACAAGTTTCAAGATATCACAAACAAATAGTTGAATAACTAAGTCAAATGAAGTCCAATGTAAAAGTGAAAAAAAAAGCTTTAGTTGATGATTTGTGATCCCATGTGAACACAGAAACAGAAGGACCTTGGATTTAGTGGTTAACCATGCAGGCCTGGAAGCTGACTGGCTCATGTGATAACACTGATGTGTCAACAAGCCCAATAAACTCCTCAGTGACTTCAATTCACCATTGTTGGCTCCCCTCTCTCCTTCTCAGTAATGTGTGTGTGTGTGTGTGTGTGTGTGTGTGTGTGTGTGTGTGTGTGTGTGTGTGTGTGAGAGAGAGAGAAAGAGAGAGAGAGACATGGACAGGACAGACTGAGAGAGTGAGACCGACACACAGTGAAAGACTGACCATTGTGCGTTTAGCAGGATGCGGTGAATGTTTTAAACACATGTTTATATGACTCACACACACACAGACACATACACACACACACACACACACAAACAGAACAGAGCACTGACACAGTTTATAATTCTTTGGAACAGCATAAGTGTTTGAAATGGGTTAATTATTCAGAAACATCACACAATAATTAGTCTTTTACGATCCATGATGACAATTTCCAAATTGTATTTACTCCAAATGACACGACTCCACTTCCACAGGAGGTTTGCGGCAGCAGACCTGAGAGTGCCAGTGGGAGTGTTCCGGTGGTGGAGTTGAGACAGGTAGGAGGAAGCCAGGTTGTGGAGGGCTTTGTAGTTGATAATAAGGACTTTAAAGTGGATATGCTAGGGAATGGGGAGCCAGTGGAGACTCTCCACTGGGGGTGATCTCGGGTGAGGGAGTGTGTGAGAAGACGAACAGCAGAATTCTGGATATATTGTAGTTTCTTGGGTGTTTTGGATGATGAACTGTAGATAAGACTGTTGCAGTAGTCCACCAGGGGGCACTGACTTATGCAATGGTGGCATGATGTTTGTGGAAATGCAAATTAACTTTCTATCCTACTAGAATGTACTAGTATGTAACACAATTAGGATACAAATCTTCTTAGCTTGATTTTTTAGGGACTCAAAAACAAAGATGTCCAAGGTCAACATTTAAAATACTTGTAAACATGCAAACAGTAACATGCAAACTCTTGTGAGCTGTCTTACATGCAGAAATACATTTATTGGCATTTAAATCCATTGCAAGTTAGACAGTGTTTTTTTATGGAAAGAGCAAAGTATTTGTTTACAACTGAAAGAATTACCATTAGCCTGTTCAAAACAGCCAGAATAGTTGATATGTACTTAAGTTCCGCCTCTTATTAGGAAATTTGCTCATCATAGATTTGGATTTTGGGGTGGCAAATCAGATTTCAAGGGGGGCCCATACCACCTCTGGCTGCCCTTCTGTACACGCCCCTGCTTACTGACTATGTTTTTGAAAGCGGTTAGTTGGACTGAAAGCTCCAGTTTGAAATTATGAGTGACTTGACCCAAAGCACAAGAATTTGATCTTTCCAGTGTGTGGGATTGGCAGTGCTGACTGCGATAGCTAGCTGTCCATCACCCTGAACTATAGCTGTGGATAGATATCCTCTGCTTGTCCTGGGTTATCTTTTTGTCCTCAGAGACCTCTGTTGAAATTGTGAGAGCTAAGCAGTTCTAAAGTTAACAGTTTCATTAATGCCCCACATTCCTCCCACCTCCTACCACTGGCACTTGTTTATCGTCTTACCTCATCCTCCCTCCATTTCCTCTGGAGGAAGTCGTTTTTTCACTGCAGAGAGAAAAATATCTAACCATAAAAATCCAGCATACAAACCTTATGCCAAATAAGACATTGAAAGAAACGAGTCAGAACTATTAAAGGCGTTCGAGGATGTACCATCACATCCTGTGTTTGTGAACAGGTTTGACCTCCACTCTGGTACAGCACATTCATGTTGGAGAGAGGAGTGGGAGAAATGGAATGCTTGTCCTCCACTGTTGATGTTTTTTTGCAATCTTTCAGAACACAAGTGACGTCTTTGCCTTTCATCCAGGCAAATCAAGCTCCCTCATTGTTATAGATCACCTCACACTCCTCACATAACTCTACATTCCGGGGCGTTTTGAAATCCTGAACAGTATCTGTGGCATTTATCATCAGAGGGAAGGCTGCATATCATCTCCCAAATCACACTGTCTATTAGAAAGCCATGACTTTGTTTATAAAAAATCTGAGTACTACAACAGATTTAGATAATATCATCCTTATTAGAAAAGAATGACATTCATGAAGTTCATAAAAAACCCTTACTTTCTCAGTTGCTGCATGTAATGGGTCTATGGGTGTATGAGGAAAGGTGTGCAAAGGCTTAAAGCTCAGCAGTAAGTGTGTGCATTAAGTAAGAAAGGCAACACGTTTGTATAACTTTGTGTGTCGGTGTGAGTGTCCTCAGGCAGGTCCTTCAGAAAACAATGCACTCCCTCTATAGACCACACCCATCTAAAAGCCCCCCCCCCAACCCTGCGCACGTTGGCCCATTTGACCTTATTTGGTCGTGTCTGCAGCTCAGCTGATGATTGGTTGAGGAGCAGAAACATGGTGATGTAGACACTCACCTGTGCAGGTTTGCACCATCTCACAAGGGCGCAGCCGATGAAAACAACAGACAGGAAATAGGAACAAAAAGTTACAACCATAGATGTTGGAGATCAATCATATTTCTACAGATTTAACTGTTTGTTAGAATGATGTTGAAATATAGAGATAGCTTACCACTGTAATATTCATACACTGTGTGTGACAAAATACAAATCAGAAACAATTAGAAGAAAGTGGACCATGGTCATTTGGCTGGACCTTCATAAGAACTCTAATTATAAACACATTTCCTCTTTATGCATTGACCTAAGTGGGACTTTTGTATAAAAATGTCATTAGAATTGATGCAATGCCTCATTATGTATCCTAATGAAACATTTTTCCAGATCTCAGGCACCCAACTTTGACCAGACATGCTGACCATAAAATCCCAGTTCTGCAAAAGCACACATAATATAAGAACAAATAACACCATGTGTGTACCTGTGTTTCTTCTGTAGCTAGGTCTGTAAACAATACAAAACTAATGACTCAAGACAATTTAAAAGGGAAATACATGCAGGAAGTAGCTTATCAGTCATTTGAGGAAGTCAGACCGTATCACCTAGAAAAACATGTATTTGCGTCTTCTCCGCCTAAGCCACAAGCTTTATGGTCATGCAGACAATACTTCATGACCATAAACACCTCAGTGGTTATAATGGTACATTTCATTCATGCAGCAATTATCACATTTTTTTATGGGTTTTATGATGCACTTCTCTTTTTCGTGTGGTTTTGGGCTTCATTGTGGTTATGAACAGCTTGGTTTCCACAAAAGGAGATCTGACATAATCATGTGGTGTATAAATAGAAGAAAGCAAACATTAACTTTTGACATATCGTAGTATAATTAGTGCTCAATTGAACTATTCCAACAACACAGAGAAAGAGCACCCTCTGGCTTACACGCAACACAAAGCATGAGAAGGAGAGGTTAAGATTTTATTTATGTGACAAATATGTTTATTACACAGACACAGTACACTTTCTACTCATGCATCATGGATTGGTATCACAGCGGTTTAACTATCTCCTCCTTCACTCTAAGGACTCTCCTGCTGACTCCAGGTCCAAAAGTATGGCTCTACAAGGAACAGAAAAACAAGAGTAAGAGGTTAATATACCTGACACATTGCCTTAAACAAACGTCACACTTGAACCTTTCCTCAGATCTCAGCAGGGTAAATTGACTAAAAACTAAACATCCTAATCACTTGAGTCTTTTCTCTGTGTTTAAAAAGGACAGGACACTACAAGGAGCTGTAATAAAACTTGTTTTCAAGCTCCAAATAAAACGGCTCACTTTCATTTTCTTTTCTCCTTTGGTAAACTGTTAATCTGTTATCTCCAAAAATGGGATTCTGGTGAGTCCTGAGGAGTGCCTCAGAGCTTTTTGCAGTGTGCTTACACTGCACCAAGGCTTAAGGGTCAGTTCTTTTGTTTGTCCTTTTCATGCCCAGAATAAAAGTTTTTTTTACTGAATGCCGGTCAATCCCTCCCATTTTCACTACCATCAATTTTCACGTGCCACACCAAACAGTAAGTTGCAAACAACATGTTGCTTTGTCTTTCTGAGGATGATTTGTTGTTCATTTGGTGCATAAAGGGATGGAAAGTACGATCGTGAGTCTGTGTACTGTGTTTTATTTTGAAATTGACAGGACGCTCTGTGCGTTTCCTTGTCTGACTTCTTGTCCAGTTTGTTCTTTTCTGTCCAGCTTGACGCATGCTGGCACTGATGGAGTATGTGGAAATTGGGGGTATAGTTTATATGTTTCCTGTCTTTTCTTAATGATGATGTTCTATCAATGTTCTAGTCCATTGGGTCTGGGTCGGAGGTTTTTCTCCAAGACGACATGATGGTAAATGATTGTCCCACCTCAAAACATGTCCCATGCTCTCCTTAGATCATTCTCAGCTGCTCACCTTTGTTCCTCCGTCAGATCAAACTCAGACAGTGTTCGCTTTGCGAGTGTGGGTGTTGCAGACAGACAGAAGGCTGCAGACAGCTGAACCAGCGCCACGGCCCTATTCGTGGAGCCCTCACTGTGACACGCTGACAGGAATTCCTCCAACAGGCCCGTTCTGAAGAATCAAACATCAGGAAACACACAGTTACAGGCAGCTTGATTAAAATGAGCATTCATGCTGAATTTAAGATTCATTCTGCTGCAACTATAGCATCAAGAGGCACCGTCCCATTTGTGAAAATGTGACCGAATGTGCTTTTATTTTCTAGCACCAGGGACATGATAACTGTTAAGTTTTGAAGACTCTTGTCAGGACAGGTTGGAGTAGCTGGAGCCAAAAAAAACATCAACAATTTAACTTTTACTACTTGTAATAACCAGTTAGAGAATCTAGGTCATGGGATATTCCTCCAGATGGTGTCCACTTTAAGTGATATTTGGATTCCTTTGTGTGTTAAATTGTTAACATGTCAAAAAGCAGAGCTCCTTAGTCACTTTAAGTCCTATAATGTGATAAATGTTAAATATTTAATCCAGGAAACTGATCAATTTCTTTTGTTTGTAGGTTGGGCAGACTTACGCTGGAACTCTGTTCTTGGATTTGAAGAGCTGCAGCATCTCCCTGCAGAACAAAACAGAGAGGAGGAGAATTCAGATGCATTACATTTAAACGTCATTTGGCAGTGAGCACTCGTGGAGTCGGACTGCAGTAAAAGCTCTCCTGTTAATGGACTGGCAGACACACAGATGTAGGACTGTCTCTCGTACCAGGCCTGTTGGGTCTTGTTGGCTCGCAGCAGCAGGGAGGTGATGTTTGAGAGAGAGGAGGGGCTCCACTCCAGGCTTTTGTTTCCTCTATCTCCAGCAAACACACTTTTTACATCCAGAGCACACGCTGCATAAGACTCCTGAACCTGCAGACGCACACAAACGCACACATACTGTAAACTCCATCTATGCTTTACCATCTCCAAATGGCAGTGAGCTGATAAAATTCCCTGAGGATTGTGATAGCAAGCATCATGCACAGTCTTTACTGACCTCAGGACTGTGTGTGTCTCTGGCCATCAGGTTGAGCAGCTCCTCCACAAGATCAGATTTATTATCATGACCCAGAGAGCGGATATCTGCAAAAACAGAGGGGGGGGGGAGTACAACACTCTTCAGTGTCTGTGTTTGAGGAAAAAGCTCTGACATTTTCCCAGTGTGATCATTATGAGATATACTGTAGCTTATGTTGCATTTGTTTTCAGAGTTGATCTACATTTTGTATTGATTGTGATTCACCACACAGGACATGTACTGCTGTCATTAGATTCTTATCACACTATCTATAAACTCACCTTTCCATATAACAGGCAGCAAGTCCAGACGGCTGTCAGTGTCCAGAGCCTGCATCAAGTCCCTAAATCCCTGAGTGTTCGGGTAATACACCTACAAACACAGGACGTAAAAGGAAAGTGAATTTTTTTTTTTTTAGAAATTTAAAGTTCACCATCATTTGGGGAGAATTATTGACTGAAAAATCTAAAATGTTAGAGCAAGATTGTGCAATCTATTGCAAGGGAACTAAGAGAATCATTGTGAAAAATCATTACAGTCCAAGAGCTAACTTATATATATATATATATTTTTTTTTAAAGAGCTAAATGAAAGGAGCAATATGTAACTCTGACACCTAGTGTTTAAAATGGGTACTGCAGTCCAAGTTCACTGCAACACCTGTTGGCTTGCCCTGATAACTGGTCTTGTATCTGGAAAACCGAGGGGGTGTCCAAAACGGCCATGTGGGGTTGCCTCAAAACTCTTACTTCTCCCATTGGCTCGAGGTGAATTCTCTGGATAATATCCTGCTGAGTTCTCACATCAGCTCACTCAGACTTGCTGCGTAAAAAATACTAGGGGGCTGACAGGAGAAACTCCGGGTGACGTCCAGGTGAAAGATTTGGCTGTTTGCGTTCACACATACTGCTCCAATCAGGACTTTTTCAGGAGTTTTCTGCAAGTGTGAAAGCCCTTTAAGGGAATATCTGTCTACCAGAAAATGACCCTCGATGAAGTGTTCTTTATTACAGCATGATGTTACTAAGAGTAAAGCAAAGGTATACTTGAGGGCGTAACTTCCGTGTGATGGAAAGGTCTCCACCATGGTGACCTGAAAAATACCTTGTTTAGTGTTGAGAGCTGTACGGAAAGACACTTTTTGATGATGACTCCTTTAGGTATGCACTTTGCTGATCAAGCTAGCCCTCACTCCCCTCCATCTCTATCACATGCTTGTTTAAAAGATTTGTTGCTCCATAGAGAAAAAACAAAACAAGAAGTCGATGGCCATTAAGCCAAACTTTAACAGTAAGAGGTTGCTATGTTCACTTCTTATATGCAGTCGATGAATAGACGCTCCACTTTTCTACAATGTCTGTTATTGCTTCATTATTAGAAGATGTCTCAGTACTAGCTTTATTGATTTATGATATCAGACAGCACTGACCGAGGGAACGAGCTGTCTGTACCACTTCATCACCACGTCGACGTGCTCCATCATACACAGCAGACTGAAGAAGCTACCACTGTGGAGGAGAGCAAATAACTCCAGTTAAAAAGAGCAAAACATGTTGTATTTCATCCACATAATCAAATCAAAGCACCAGATTTCAGAAGTCAGTTCAAGTTGAGGCTCATCAACAAAACACTCAACATTCCCCCATGATTTCAGAATTGTTTTCAGCCACCTCGCATGTGTTTTTAGCTTGCGTTATGTCTGTACTTACTAGAAATAACTTCTGTAGGGATCTCGCAAGAGCCTCCAGTTCTCACCCACTTCCAGCAGACTCTGGACCTTATAAGCCAGCTCCAGATCTTTGATTTCCACACACTGTAACAGGAAGAGAGAAAAACACATGTAAACCTGCTCCAAATTCACTATGAAACATTCTAAATACAATTATCCTGTGATAAATATTTATAGCAAACAAGTCTCTTAAAACACTTACTATTCTCATTGCATTTGAGAAGAAATGAGCTAGAAGGGGAAAAAAAAGACGAAGTCAGTGTTAAAAGCCAAATCTCATTGGATCACTTTGTTATTCTGAAAATAATAATACTGATTTAGTGAAAAGTGTCTTTTTATTGATATGGCAGGTTATACAATGAATTAAAAAAGACCCTTTTAAAAAGACTAATGTGGATGGTACCCTGCTCAAGCACGTTAGCGCCCCAAAGTCCAGCTTGTATGACTATGTGAGTGTTTCCTTGGCCATTGCCATTTGGAAGAGGTTTGCTTCGGCACGATACAGTTGCTCATTCACGAGCACAAGCAGGGGAATGCAACCAGGACATTACGTATAATCGATCCCTGTTTTGCATAGTCAAGAAATCCATATTTTCAAAAAAATAAGAGGGTCGTCTCTGACAAAATGACTAAAAATAAGCCACAAAGTTAATAAAGTTGCAGTCATGTTCTCTGCGTTGTTTGTACGTGGTTAGAGAAAACAATCTGGGGCACATTGTGCTGCAGCAATTTACAGGATAACTGGACCTAGTGTGAAAGCGCCCTAAGAGCTTTCTAAAAGTTTTCTAAAAGTTGTAGTGGGAGCCAAACAATGAGATAACAGCATTGCTACATCACACCACGCATTGTTTTCTGCTTGACTTGTTCAGTTTTCATATCAGCAAACATATTCGTGGCACTGTAAAACACATAAAGCACAACATACTGTCATCAGGGTCCCGGCAGGTGAAGCTGGTTCCTGCCAGCTCTGACATCACTTCCTGGAAAATGTCACTGTTGGCCTGGCGAGAGGCTAGAGCGAAAAAGAAAACCACTTAACACAGCTCCGAATACAAAGGACAGCAGCAAACACCACACCTGTACTGATCTAATGTGATATGACACTAAAAGGCTGTGTACCTCCTTTGAAAAAGACTGCAAGGATGTGGTCAAAGGAGGCCAGGCTGGGGGCTGAAGACACAAAAACACACCCAGGGGTTTTAAACAGAACAATATCATCATCCACAAACTTGACAGTCGTGTCAGTCAATGTCAACAGTCATGTGTGTGTGAAGATGTGTGTGTGTGTGTTTCACCTATGCCCAAAGCTTTCATCTCATTTAGAGTGTGTATTGATTGTGTTTTGGCCAAAAAGCCACATCGTCTCAGAGCTTTGAGAACACTGTTGAAGGTCAGCAGGTTGGGCTGAACTTTCTGTTGACTCATCTGGTTCAAGAGCTCCTGCAGAAGAAGAAAGAACCACAGTCAACCAACCAACATTTATGAAAAACTATTTTCCTCTGTCGCCCCCCAGCGGTGGAAGGAACTATCAAACTCTGTTCGAGTCCCTTTGCACCTTTAAGAAAAAGCTAAAGACGCAGCTGTGACCTTCATGATATTAAGGTCTACAACGTAGATAAAACCCCAAAGTGTTCTACAATAATCAAATCATTTCTTTAACAGTCTGTTCAGTTCTGTATTCATTGTGTGATTAAATCTTCTATTTTATTTTGTGCATATTGGGGCCCATAAACATGAACATGAGAAGGATACTGAAGTTAAAATATGACATTTTAAAATCAAACATTGTACAGCATCGATAACTAATTCCTGAAAACATGAAAAGGTTTCTTTTTATGATTAAATGAATCACTACGTCCTTCAGAACTGATCTAAAGTACAATGAGCGAAACATTGAAAGCGGGCTTACAATGATGACATCCCATCTCTCGTTGTATTTATCTCGGACCTCTGGAGCTGCTGAGATCAGGGCGTTGAAGATGTGGACGTCGGCTGCAGAGAGAAAGAGGGCTGATAAGTCATTGGCTCCCACTACACTCACACACATATCAACAAGAATGCTTAAAGAGCCAGTTGTATAAAGATGGGTTGTTACACTCTGGCAACCTCTTGTGATAATATAAAGTTAACAATGAGTTTGAGAGCAACATAAAAGTTAAATCACAAAAGGCACAATGTTAATAAAATATAAAATACAATGATTTACTGCTCTGCTTTGTCACAGCATCAGTCTCTCTGTCTTTTGATTCTGTACCGCACAATCTTTGTGACTTAAAATTAATTTTGAATCCTGATCAAATGAAGCTCATGATGATTACTAAATCAAAGGAAAAGCCACTAATCCTGCCTTCTAGTATCCCGTCTCAGGTTGATGTGATTGAGTTTCATATTCAGCAACTTGTACAGAAGTTAAAGCTGCAGTTGGGTGCTTATTTTAAAAATAAGTCTTGTATGTGCATAATAATCTTCTTAATGCCTTAAAGGTCACATATTATGCAAAATGCACTTTACCAATGGTTTTTTAACACTAATGTGTCTCTAGTCTGTCTACAAACCCCCCAATTATGAGAAAAGTCCATCCTCTCCGTCTTTTGCCTGCTCCACTTTTCAGAAAATGTGTGCTCAAACAGGCCGTTTGGAGATTTTCCTTTCATGACATCACAAAGGGGCAGTGACCCCTCCCCCAGGTGGGTGACACTCCCACAGCTAGGTATTTGTTCTGCCCTCTGAGTCTGCCTTTCCAACATAAACAATTGAGCATGGAGCAAGAAAGCCCAAGTCGCATACTTTTTCAGAGAGGGGCGTGGTCAGACACAGCTCATTTACATTTAAAGGTACAGACACAGAAACAGCCTGAAATAGAGGGGTGTATAGGATTGATCAAATACGGGATCAGAGTAGATTTATAAGAAGAAACTTCACAGACATGTTTTGGGGAGATCTGAGACTTAGGAGCCAAAGACATTAATAATGATCACATTCATTATTATTCTTTATTATTACTATAACTTGTGAAATAGGGTCTGCATCCTATAACTAATGAGCTATTTATTTTTCCCAGTTGTGTGTTTGACCTCACCTGTGAGTCTGTTGTTCAGCATGTCTGTGTATGCACTGAAGGCCTTTGTGTAGGCTCCATGCTGAGGAGAGACAAACAAAGGTGTGAATAAATGGTCAAACGAAGGACACGTCTTTTTTTTAACTGCAATTCATAAACAATGCAAGAAGCATCCAGCTGTTGTGCTGCGTCATTCGTACCTTCACCATGCCTCTGATCAGAGCAGAGTAACACTGTGTGTCTCTCTCTGGCAGAAGGTTAAAGAGTCTCTCTGCATTGTTGTTTTCTCTCCAGATTGACTTCAGGATGTTTGACGCTCGACGGGCCCCGGCTTTATTTCTCTTAGCGTCCTCTGCCCCCTCCTAAAAAAAACACACAAAGACATAAAAAGTTAAAAAAAACACACGGGCATATGTTAAAGCTGATAGATGATGAAGGTCTACCTGCGGCCCTCTTTTGTGTGACTCACCACGTCCTCCGTCTCTGGTCCTTCGTCCTCGACAGGATCTTTGTCACAGTAAAGACAGATCAGGTCTAACAGGTCATGGGTCGTTTCCATGGACACCGACACGCCTGAATAAAATTTAACAAAAAAGAGACTCGACTGATGAAGCAGGATCAGAGAAAAGTCCTGAACTACGATCCTTGTGCTTGTTTGTGAGTGAGCTCTCACCAGCTTGCAGGATTTGATCGTACATGTCCACAGCAGCCTTAACTTTCCTCAGGTTGATTCGTTCCTTTAGAGCTTCCTCACTCACTTCCTCCAGACGCAGTGACACAGTCTCTGGCATCAGACACTACAATCACGTGCAATGAAAAGTTTGGTTTGCAAGAAGAATAAAGCTGCAATTGATTTCAACGTGACTGTATATTCTCCAGATTCCTGTACAGCCTTGCTCAGTATATTTTGTGTGTGGGTTTTCTTACTGGTATGTGTGGTTCTGCAAAGTCTTTGGTGAAGAACTTGGGATTACTGTTGACAAAGTATTTGGCTGCAGATCTGCCGGACTCCTGAGCGAGAGTGTACAGCCTCTGAAATATGGGAGAAACAATAATGTGTCAGTTATGAGTTATCCCACAGAGAAGCAAACACTAACATAACTATAAATTAACACTGTTTTGAACAATACAAAACAAAGGGCCACACAAAGCACACAACTCTTTGCCATCAGCAAACAGAGTGAGCATAAATTAAAACATCTTCAAATCAGCGGTGTCATGTTGGCAGAAATATTCCTTGGAACAATTGAATTTGAGCCTTTTATTGGCTGATACTGACTACATGCACACATGACATGTGCATCCTTTGACATGCTGAATAACAGGCATGTTTAGTTTCAGGGTAGAAATAGTGAACAGAATGAATGAATAGATAAGCAGCTAAGGGTTATGTTTTAATTGTTGTCTTCTTACAAGCTCTGGGGCGGTCCTGGGAGTGAGGTAAGGATCATCCTGGAACTGATAGGAGTAGGCTGTTGGATCCTGGAATGAGAAAAGAAAAGATGGAGGCACATCCGCATCGACAAATCCAAATGTAAACTGATGATGAGATGAAAAGATGTGAAGAAGCTCTCACCCTGCTGACAGTTGCAGCCAGAGCCTCCAGAACTGCCTCCTTGCTCCTGTTCAATAGGAAATCATTTTACTGTCTCTTTTATGCAAACTTCATCAACTTAATCAAAGTTTTACATGCACTGCATGCAACTTCAGGACTCATTGTTACAGTGCTAATGTACACCTACCATGTTTTCTTCCTGGGGATGACAATAGTGTCTGTGGATTCTATAAAATTTAGAGAAAGAAAATGTGAATATAAGATTAAAGGTAACATATTATGCAAAATACACTTTACCATGTGTTTCTAACATTAATATGTGTCCCTAATCCGCCTACAAACCCCCCAATTATGAGAAAAGTCCATCCTCTTTGTCTTTTGCCTTCTCCACTTTTCAGAAAATGACTACTTAAACAGGCCGTTTGGAGATTTTCCCTTCATGACATCACAAAGGGCAGTAACTCCTCCCCCAGGTGGGTGACACCCCCACAGCTAGGTGTTTGTTCTGCCCTCTGAGTCTGCCTTCTCACCATAAACAATAGGACACGGAGCGAGAAAGACCGAGTACACCCGAGTCCTTCCAGAGAGGGGGCATGGTCAGACACTGCTCATTAACATTTAAAGCTACAGACACAGAAACAGCCTGTTCTGAGCAGGGCTGAGATAGAGGGGTTTATAGACATGATCAAATACAGAATCAGAGTGGGTTTATAACAAGAGACCAAACAGACATGTTTTGGGGAGCAGAATATTTGACCTTTAACACTCGCATACTGTACATTTGAGATGACATGTTGCATCTGATGTCAAACACATCTGCAGTTTTAAGTATCTAACAGCAGGGGTATAGTTTTCCCCAAAAAGTAATCAGATTTCCAAAGACGCCAAAATAAATCAAATCATCTGAAGCAGTGGTTCTCAAGTGGTGGGTCGGGACCCAAAAGTGTGCCGTGGACTGGTATTAGTAGGTTGTTAATGTGTGCCTTGAAGAAAATGGTGACAAGAAGTTAATAAGGGGCTTATAAAACTGTTTCTTTGTTGTGTCACATGTTTTGTAATGTCTGAGGTCCAAACTGCACAATTTCTAATTAAATTACTCTGACTTGTTGAAAATGATCAGAAATGGTAATTGGACTTGAGTTTATATAGCACTTTGCGAGTCTTCTGACTACTCAAAGCGCTTTTACACCACATGTCACACCTACATGTTCACACACTGATGGTAGTGAGCGCTATGTAGTATCATTCATCAGAAGTAACTAATCCATTCATACACTGCCACTGAAGCAGCGGGAGCAGTGCAGGGTTAAGTGTCTTGCCCAAGTACACATCGGACATGTTGCCCAGCTGGGGATTGAACCCTTAACCTTCCGGTTGAGAGGCGACAACTCTACCAACTGAGCCACAGCCGCCCGAAATGTGGGTTTCAGTTATTGATAAAGGATCTAGTTATTTATGCTAAGAAATACAACTTTAAATCTGCTTGTCAATCTTTCATTTTTGTCAAACACTTTTATTTTAAAGGCGAAGAAGGTTCAAATTTCTTCTTTGAACATCTGGATACTGTTAGGCTTCCCTCCTACTTAAAGTGTCTACTCCATAATTACCTGTAATAGTTTCTGCAGCGTGTTGTCGCAGAGCTGAAGTCCAACCAAAAGTCCTGGAAATAAAGATGTTATGTGATTAGCACAGCTCAATTTAACCCAACAGTATAGCTTTACTGTCTGCAACTTACTGCTGCCAATTTTCGTTCAGTATCTTTTAGCCTCAAGTGTGCGATTTCCTCTTTTTTGTCCGAGAAATGTAATTTGATTTCTAGTTATTGCTGCAGCTTCAACAACACATGGTGGTATTCTGCTGTGTTATTCTGTGTCTATACAGGCATATTTATGAGTTCAGATGTTTTTAGTCTGTCTCAGTATCACACATTGTATCACATTACAGCCTAACATTGTGTGGATAACTTTGGGTTTACATGACCTCCTGTCAAATGATGCTCCCTGCAGCTCTGAGACTCATGCCTGTATAAAAACAACATAAAAGCGAACATAATAACACGCAGGTGTAAAAAACACACGTGTCTTAAACATGTCTTACCTGTTAACCCACAGCTGGTCCAGGTTATTGAGCAAAAATCGGCTGTTTCTTTGGATATAATGCCCTACATGTCTACCGGGGGTCGCCATGTTGTTGAACACTGAGGCTCATGGGAGGGAGAAACCATTAGCGCACAGAAAACAGGGGGAGAATATAATTCTTTCTTTTGCTTTTTTAAGAAATACAACACTTTAATCACACTTTGCAGCATAAACATCTCACATTCAAAAACATTTATTTTAAATATATGACATTCATGTAGTTTTTGTTTTTAAAATATCTACCCATCGTTATTTCGCCCCCCCCCCCCACTTCCCCTGTAATCCTGAACATGATTTGATGGTCCCACGTGTGACACAGGAGCAACTTCGGTGTGCATGTGGTTCAACTTTAACGCCATGAATTTATTAAGATAAACATCGTAAACAAGCCTTCGTAATCCTCCAACATGTTGTTTGGAAAAGATGTGCCATGGCGGCATTTGGAGGGCATGTCGTTTGGCATGTACTCTGCCGAGGAGATAAGGTGAGAGAGAAATGTCTCGTTAGCTTTCGCCTCAAATGCTAAGCACGAGTTATAAACAAGCTGCCTACCACTGCTGTTTACTGTAACTAACTCCTTATAGTTTTACTCAGAGTGTCTGTACATAATAATATCTCTTATGTGTTGCTGAACCGTGATTGACTTGTAGCAGCAGTCTGTTTATTCTAGTCAAGCTTTACAATCCAAAGAGGTAACTTGGCAAAACAAAGAGACATATCCTGAGATATAATCAAAAGTATTTCACTCAGGATCTGGGATGCTCACTTGTCTGACACCAGAGACATAAAGATAACATATGTATAATTTAAAATACTGTACAAAATACTGTACAAAATACTGTACTCTCATGATGTAAATCTACGAGCAATTCGCTTCACTTGATATATGTAAAAACGACTACTTAAATATTGACTAGTCTGTATTGACTAGTCTGCAATGACTAGTCTGCAATGACTAGTCTGTATTGACTAGTCTGTATTGACTAGTCTGCAATGACTAGTCTGCAATGACTAGTCTGTATTGACTAGTCTGTATTGACTAGTCTGCAATGACTAGTCTGCATTGACTAGTCTGCATTGACTAGTCTGTATTGACTAGTCTGTATTGACTAGTTTGTATTGACTAGTCTGCATTGACTAGTCTGTATTGACTAGTCTGTATTGACTAGTCTGTATTGACTAGTCTGTATTGACTAGTCTGCAATGACTAGTCTGCAATGACTAGTATGTATTGACTAGCCTGCATTGACTAGTCACATTTTAGAAGCAGTTAAATCCTAATCACAATTATTTTTGAATGATACTGAAAACATCAATCATGATTACTCATTGATTTTAAACCACCTGCACCAAATGCATTCATCAAACTTACACATGCTGAACACTGAATAATGAAAATGATATACAACAACAAACACTTTGAACCAATTACCTCAAACGATAAAAACCTACGGACAGAACGAGTGCAACATTGCAGCACAATAGTCGTTTATTCTCCATAAAATAACTTTTTAAGATAATTGTTTTTGTTGTGTCACATGTTTTGTACCGTCTGCACAGTTTTTCATTGTTTTTAAAATGAAGAGGTTGATGGTGGGTTTTGAGAATCACTGTCGATGCTGCTCGTCGATCTTTCAAAACTTTCAACTGGGTCAAATACTTTTATTTTAAAGGCGAATAACGTACAAATTTCTTCATCGAATAACTGCATACTGATCATTTAATCTCTGCTCTCGAGCTCAACCGTTAAGATTTCCTCCTACTTAAAGTGTATACTACATAATTACCTGACATTTACAACAATTATAATTACCTCTTGGAAACCAAAATACGTAATTGGAATTGAAACTTAATTAATAGCCCGTCCCTAGTTAGTATGCTAATCCTTTTTTTCCTCCTCATCTCTTGTTCAGGAAGTTGAGCGTGAAGACGATCACTAGTTCCAGGTTCCTGGATGCTGTGGGGAACGTGGCCCCTAACAGCCTGTACGATCTGGCCCTCGGCCCAGTAGACAGCAAAGAGGTACATCTGAGATAACATTACATATAATCTTTGTGATCTAAAGTAGAGTAAGGATACATCTAAAATGATTCTGTTCTCGACTTGTAACTGTACATTTGTCAACAAGTATTTGCTGAGTTGTACTTATTTCCTTTTTGTGATTTTGTTCATCAGGTGTGTTCAACATGCTGCCAGGACTTCAACAACTGTCCAGGACACTTCGGACATGTCGAGCTACCTCTTCCTGTGTACAACCCGCTGTTGTTTGATGTAAGCATGGCCACAAATACACCACATTATGTCAGTTTATTTTAGGGCTGGGAGGGTTGAAGGGGGAGGGGCTAGCCAGTTAGGGCACGATCACACTAGCAAAGTTTTCCCGTACAGTGCTTCAGCACGATTGTCCCCCCTCCCCATTCCCCCGCTGGCCTGCTCCCACACTGCTCCAGGACTAACCGGGCCTGAGGACGGCTACCTCTTGTACATAACATCATAATACAAAACATGCATGGCTTTACAGAATTATGAAGCATGCTCAGTTAACAGGATGGGTGGACTGGAAAATAAAAAAGATGTGCGGTCGAGTCCGCGTCCTCACATCGGAGAACAACACAGAGAACATGACAGCTATTTTACTGACTTTGTGGCTTTTTTTGAGTCATTTTAGTCAGATATACAGCCATAAAACTCCAAGTTTTCTGGATAATGAAGGCTGTCAACAATGTGTACCTGTGATTGTGCTCGTGCATGAGCTGTACCATGTTGAAGCACACTTCTTCCAAGCATGCCAGGGCCAAAGAAGTGTACCGATCAGAGCTCTCACACTAGTCAAACAAACTGGACTTTAGGGGTGAAGCGTGCTTGGGCATGGTACGGATTGCCTCGTGTGAGTGCGCCCTTAGTGGCTAAGTTGAACACATACATTTTGCCCATTATCACATGATTGTTTTTTTTTGTTGTTGCTATAATTATTATTAGTGATAATTACCTATGTGACGTGGATTTGAGGGGTTGTCACGGATACGACAAAGTCTTACAAATCGTCACTGACTGAATCTTTCTGCTTGAATCCATTTTGATGTGTATTTATCAGTTTCCCTTCATCTCCTTCACTAGAAACTCTACCTGTTGATTCGTGGTTCCTGTCTCTCGTGTCACATGTTGACCTGCACCCGAGCTGCCATCCACCTGCTGCTGCAGCAGCTCAAGTTGTTGGACCATGGAGCCATGCAGGAGGTCTACCGAATAGAACAAGTTCTCAACCAGGTGGGTTCACACTCTCTGTGGTAACAAGAGTAAGATAGAGCATGTGTTTTTACAAAGTGAACTACTACACCTGCTCCATCTGAAAAGGGTCATGGCATAAAAAAAAATTGGGGGAGGCGGGGTTGTGAATTTGGTTGATAGATTTATATTTAGTGTGACTATATTATTGAGTCTGACCCATTTGTAGTTTACTCTTCTCAATATGTCAGCTCCATGGTGGGTTTGTAACAACTTTAGATGTTTAATGTAGACAGTTTAATGTTTAATCATGTTTATTTACGTGTGTGTGTGTGTGTGTGTGTGTGTGTGTGTGTGTGTGTGTGTGTGTGTGTGTGTGTGTGTGTGTGTGTGTTAGCATCTGGAGGAGAATCCGAAGGCAACTGGTGACGAGATTGAGCAGGTACTCAGAGATTTTACGGACAAGATCGTTGGAGGCTCTGCTGGAGGCTCCAATAACTTAAAACCGGTGAGTACAAAGAGATGGAAGTCAACTATGAACATGAACACACACACACACACACACACACACACACACACACACACACACACACACACACACACACACACACACACACACACACACACACACACACACACACACACACACACACACACACACACACACAAAATTCACTCCAACGTCTCATGCAATATTTTCACATCACAAGATTTTCCATAAACTACGACCTCATGACCTGATACTATGTGTAATAATATATGGAACCTAATTTGAGAAATATTATGTTCTACTGTATGTTCACTGTGTGTGCATGATTTTTTTGAATGTTCAGACTACATTTGTAACAACTGCAGCTCTGTTTTTGGCTACTCGTCTATTTTGATTGATATTGATTTATTTATTGTCCACTGTGTGCTCTTTGCTGCTGTAAAAACGTACATTTCTCCATTGTGGGATGATTAGAGGTTTCATCTCATCTTGAAATATAGAAACCATGTCGTGATGCATGTTATTTTCATCTGGACCTTGTTTTAGGCAAACTAACCTGATTTTGTGTTTGTGTGTTTTTTTTCAGATTAAACATCTTGTTGAAAAGAAGAGCAGTCTGATAAATGACTTCTGGAGGGTCCATATGAAAACCAGGAAGTGCCCTTACTGCAGGTAACAGGATACAAATGATATTGCAGTGTATATTTATAGTATGGGGTTTTAAAGCAGGCACACAGGAGAACATGTGCAATTTTCCACTCCATTCATGTCATAATATACTGAAAAAGAAATTAACCCTACTGATGCAAACCGTTATGAACCAATAAAAATCAGAGCAGGAGGTAAACTAGTGATGAAATGTAGGCGGTATAAATATTTAGTTCTTGATTGCTCAGTGGGTGATTTAAAAAGCCTCTTTAAATGCCTTGATGATGTTCCCCATGTGTGTGTAGGACTGGAAAGTTTACCTTGCGGCGGGAACACAACAGTAAGCTGATTGTTACAATGCCATCAGGACCAAAGACCGCTGGCAAAACTGACGGTAAGTGTTATTTATATTTCAAAATCAGCATTCTGTTGACCTCTAAATGACGTGTGTATTAATGTAGGTGGAAGTGGTGAGAATCCCCTAACCCTGTATTTACATGATTCCTGGTTGTGCATTCTGCTTGTCATACACACCAAACAGGTGATACCTGCTCTTTCTCTTTGTCTCTGTGCAGAGGATCTAATGGCTGGGAAGAGAGTCTACCTGACGGCTAGTACTGCGAGAGAACACACCAACAAACTGTGGGAGAAAGAAGGTAGGGACATTAAAAACAACCTCCCGCTACCATGTGCCTCCGGGCCATCCATCCCTCGCTCACGGCTCAAGCTCAAAGGTGACACTGTGCCTACACTGTGGGAAAGTTGAAAATGGCGCTGGCGTTGTCAGCCCTTGGTCATTTAGTGGAAAAAGAAAAGAAGAGGCGGAGGCGACAAATAAGGAGAAACCACACTAATGGGTGACAGCATGGATACTACAGCGGCATGCTCAAGGGGCTTTCCTGAACCTGTGTCGAGAGCTGGAGATAAATCAAGCCTCTGAACAGCCAATCAGAGAGCGTCCTCTCACCGACCGCCAGTTCAACATGCCGAATCAGCCGAAAAAAGGCAGACAGGTAGTGACGGAGCCGGACACACCGCAAAACTAGGTAGATGACCGCTCACAGACGATCCAACTAGGGCCGACGTCCGGGGATCTCCTTGGTGTGTCAGGGACTTAAGTTAGCGTTGGAGTCCTCTGGTCTTGAATAGACCGTTTCTGTCAGGTTTCCTTGATCGCAGGACCCAAAGTTTCTCCTGCCAGACCCCTAGTATTTTTTATCCACAGCAGCAGATTATTATCCACATCAGTCACCTCGGAGAGCCAGTAGGAGAGGGTGGTGACATTTATATACTGTGACTGCTGCACGGTGCATAGAGTGTATACACGCAACCACTACGATCTCCTTTCACGTAATTAAACGGCTGCTGATATATTGTGTCAATATCAAAAGTGCTAATTTCAAGAGACATTGAGATTTTTATGTCGTGGTGAAAGGCCTTGTGTTTTCATGTAGTCCCTCCCTCTTTCCTATGAAGATGACTTCACAGGGACAAGCTTGGAGGAACGCTTGAAGGGAATTCCTCCACAATTTGTTTCAATTATCCAATCAAGCTCAAAGATGGAACGGAAAAGTTGTTGATGTTCAAAGGTCAAAGTTTTTGTAAAAATCACCTCCCGCCCACTCTTTAAACATGTAAATGTAATCTAAAAGTCCTTCTTCACCATCTCTCCTCTGCCTTACAGGTTACTTCTTGAAGTGTCTCTTCTCTGGGCTGGAGGAGGGGATGGTATCTCAGGAGGGGGGGGCAAACTTCCTATACAGACCTCTTCTTTCTCGAGCTACTGGTAGTCCCACCAGCCAGGTAACGCGTGAACAAACACTCTTACATAGAACACCTGTGTGCAACTCACAGAGTGCCCCGCAGCAGCATAAAGCCTGCAAATATACAAAGTTTATATTGCAGCCATTGTTTTGTATGATGATGACGCCTCATAGCAGACGTACTGATGTCAGCAGAAGTTTTTAGACCGTAACGCTCCTCCTCTCTCTCTCAGGTACCGTCCCATCAATCGGCTGGGCGACCAGATGTTTACAAACGGTCAGACGGTCAACATGCAGGCCACCATGAAGGACTGCGAGATCATAAGGAAACTTCTGGCTCTCATAGCACAGGAGACAACTACTCAGGAGGAAGAGGTACGAAGCAGAGCACTCCAAAGGTTTATATCTCTGTGCTGCACTCAGCCATGTGGTGATTGTGACCGAGCGTGCACACTTGTCGTTTTTTTTAAAGGCTCCAGAACAAACAGACCAGACGTTTCTGACTGGTATTCCCGGAGTGACGTTAACAGATAAACTCTACAACATCTGGATCCGCCTACAGACCCACGTCAACATCGTGTTCGACAGCGACATGGACAAAATGATAACAGAGAAATACCCCGGAATCAGACAGGTATCCTGTACACACATGATCAGGAAACGTAATAAGAATGTATTTCTTTTGGTTCACTTGTGAAGACATAAGTGCTGATTTATTGACCCTTCCTCTTCCTGCCAGATCTTGGAAAAGAAGGATGGGTTGTTCCGGAAACACATGATGGGAAAACGAGTGGACTTCGCTGCTCGTTCGGTCATCTGTCCAGACATGTACATAGGGACGAATGAAATCGGAATACCGATGGTACATCTGACTGGTTGTTGTTGAACAATCTTTATTAAACTTACACCTGATGTTTAAGTTTGGTCTCAAAGGACTCCTCTTCTCCTGATGTTTGTCCAGGTGTTTGCCACCAAGCTGACCTACCCTCAGCCTGTCACCCCATGGAACGTGAAGGAGCTCCGTCAGGCCATTATCAACGGGCCTAACGTCCACCCCGGTGCTTGCATGGTGATAAATGAGGATGGCAGAAGAACAATCCTATCAGCCAGCAGTCTTGCACAGAGGGAGGCTGTTGCTAAGCAACTGCTGACACCCTGCCCTGGTCCCCAAAAGATGCCCATGAAGATTGTAAGTCAGATTTTGATGTTGTTATTGTATTAATTTAAAGACTTGGACGTTTGTACACTGTGCAGTATGGATGCACACGTCACTGCCACACAACTTTTCTTGTCCTTACTTTGTCCAGGTGAATCGTCACATAAAGAACGGAGATGTTCTTTTGTTAAACAGACAACCGACTCTGCACAGACCCTCCATTCAAGCCCACTGTGCACGCATCTTACCGGGAGAAAAGGTCAGATCTTATTGGTCCAGGCTATACTGATCAATTACAGAAGCAAGTTTTAAAAAAAACGTGCAACAAAAATGAATCCCATATAACACAAACTGTTCGTGATATGAATCTGATGTTACAGGTACTACGGCTCCACTATGCCAACTGTAAGGCGTACAACGCTGACTTTGATGGAGATGAAATGAACGCACACTTCCCTCAGAGCGAGCTGGGCCGAGCCGAGGCCTACACCTTAGTCAGCACTGACCAGCAGTACCTCGTCCCCAAGGTGAGCACTCGCATGCCGCTTATACTCAGAAGAATATACATCAGTCCTGAACTATAAGTCCGTTATAAAGCTACAAAACCCTGTTTGCGTGTTGTTGTTTTGAATGAATGGAAACAGTAAGGGGGGAGCGGGGGGAGGATCACATGTACTCATTCTTATAAACACACCCAGAGCAGCACTAAAGTTTATTTTTCTGTCATAAGGATGGAAAACCTTTAGCGGGGCTGATCCAGGACCACATGGTATCAGGTACAAGGATGACAATCCGAGGCTGCTTCTTCACCAGAGTCCAGTACACTGAGCTGGTGTACAGAGGACTGACTGACAAACCAGGCAGAGTCAAACTGCTGCCTCCGGCCATCCTCAAACCACAGCCGCTGTGGACGGGGAAGCAGGTAATTGACTATGTGACCTCCATTCCCGCTTTGCACTTTTACATATTTAAAGCTGATATAAACATCAAAAGCAATGATGAGTCATGTTTAGTAATTCGTTTGAGTGACTCTGCAACCTCAGTTGAGTCATTTTGTGCACATTTTGTGTTTCTTGCAGGTTGTGTCTACGCTGCTGTTGAACGTCATCCCACAGAATGCCGTGCCTCTCAATCTGGTCGGCAAATCCAAAATCCCCAGCAAAGCCTGGATTCAAGTCCCACCCCGAGCCGCCCCAGGATACAAACCTGACAGCATGTGTGACTCACAGGTACACACACACACACACACACACACACACACACACACACACACACACACACACACACACACACACACACACACACACACACACACACACACACACACGCAGGGGAAATCTTGTTAATGCAAATCAAATAATTTTACTTTGTCAAACTGGAACATGTCTATGGATCAGCAGGGGTGTGATGCTTTCTGATTCATTCTGGATTTTCAGACATGAAGGTCAATCTCAGATCTGTAAAGACACATATTAAAACATATAATATGAAACATAATATGTTGTCCAATGACATTCACATCGCTGGCACAGGGTTTAAAGGTCACATATTCAGCAAAATATACTTTACCCTGTGTTTCTAACACTCATGTGTCCCTAGTCTGTCTACAAACCCCCCAATTCTGATGAAAGTCCATCCTCTCCGCCTTTTGCCTGCTTCACTTTTCAGAAAATGTGTGCTCAAACAGGCTGTTTAAAAATGTTCCATTCATGATATCACAAAGGGCAGTAACCCCTCCCCCAGGTGGGTGACACTCCCACAGCTAGGTGTTTGTTCTGCCCTCTGAGTCTGTCTTTTTAGCGTTAACAAAAGAGCATAGTGCAAGAATACCCAAACCACCCAAGCCCTTCCAGAGAGGGGGCGTGGTCAGACACAGCTCATTTACATTTAAAGCTACAGACACAGAAACAGCCTGTTCTGAGCAGGGCTGAAATAGAGGGGTTTATAGACATGATCAAATACAACTTTAAACAGCGGTTAAGATCGTGACAGAGCCTCTGCTACATGACGACTAGTTCACAGTCTACAGTAGATTAGTGTTTAGAAACAAACTGCAGCCTTGTCAAATTCAGTGCTTCCTCCTCAGTGGATGCCACTGGCCAAAACGGCTGCCACAGTGAAGGTGTAGTTCATGGGCCCCGTGGTGCTCTAACATCGCCACAGGGGATAAAAATGTACTACACACAAGCATTAGCAGGAGAGCTGAACTAGTGAACAGAAGTGATATCCTGCAGCTGCTGAGACTTGAACACAAATGTTTCAGCAGCGGTTGTTTGAGTTACAGCTCGCCCCGTTGTTTATTTGAATGTGTCAGTAATAAATCTAATAAATAACACTTTCATATGATCCCACTTTGGCAGATGAAGATATTGATAACATTTCTACAGCATGTGTTAGTGACATACACATAGTACTGAATCTCTGAGCCTATCATTTGAACCATGCAGTAGCCTACATTTCCTCTCAACAGTAACCACCGTGGTGTTTTCATGAAGCACGTATACCACGTACACGAGATCAAACCGTGACTCTGGGTTTCCGTGTTTTGTTAACACTAAAATTTAAATAAAAATAAAATAAAATAAAAATGTTTTTAAAGATTTATTTATGGGAGTTTTGTGCCTTTAATGGAGAGATAGGACAGTGGATAGAGTTAGAAATCAAGGAGAGAGAGTGGGGAATGACATGCGGGAAAGGAGCCACAGGCCGGACTCAAACCCGGGCCGCCCGCACAGAAGACCACATCCCGAGGAGCAGAGTGGATTTTTAACAACAAACTTCAAAGACATGTTTTGGGGAGCTCTGAGACTTATTTAAAGAACCCATATTTTGCCCTTTTTCCGGTTCGTATATTTAATCTATGTACCTACTTTTGTACGTTCACAATAGATAAAGTTTGAAAAAAGTGTCTGTTTTCATGTACTGCTCCTCCTTGCTCCCTCTAGGCTCTGAGTCCGTCAGCTGCACTCTGTTGAGCCCACACTGTTAGACCCCACGTGGGCCAAGTCTGCTCTGATTGGTCTGCCGATCCGCTCTGTCGTTATTGGTCAGTTGCTCAGCACGGTTCTCGGAAATTTCAACATGAGCTGCAGGGCTTGCCACAACGAGCCAATGTGCTTAGATCAGTGATCTCACACTGACAATGACGTCGCACTGACAATTTTTTATCGAGGGGGGCTAGAACTGAGCGTTATATGCAGCTAATGCTACAGCTAACAGGAGGAGGTAGGAGAATCTGCATTTCCGCAGACTTTGAATTTCTGCACATAGATGTGCCTAAACATGCACAGGACACTTGGAAAACACACCAGAAAAAAACAGAAAAAGCATAATATGGGACCTTTAAATTCGCCTTTATAACAGAGACCAATTTTTCGATTTTATTAAACTTGACTTTGTCTTTGTTTTCCAGGTGGTGATCCGTCACGGGGAGCTGCTGGTGGGGGTCCTGGACAAAGCTCACTACGGCTCCTCAGCCTACGGCCTGGTGCACTGCTGTTATGAGCTGTACGGAGGACAGACCAGCGGCAAACTGCTCAGCTGCCTGGCTCGACTCTTCACCGCCTACCTGCAGCTTTACAGAGGCTTCACTCTGGGTAAGAACATCACGTACAGTAGAGAAAACGCAAAGACTTTTATTTTGACATCTGACAAACAGACATTAGTTTATATTGTTTGGGTTTTTTTTTTGTGAGTGGGATGTCTCAAACTTTGTTTTGATGTTTGTGTGAAGGTGTTGAAGACATTTTAGTGAAGCCAGGTGCCAACAAGAAGAGGACGAAAATCATCCAAGAATCGCTGAAGATCGGCACCAAAGTAAGTAACCTGTCCGATCATGTTTTTATCATTGATGTGGTCTGTTTAATAAATCAAATAGATTACACTTGATAAATATATTAACTATGAGGAGAAGGTTGCTCTGACCATTGATTGCTATGTGCCACAGTGTTTTTATTGAAACTGCCACTGGGGGGCGCCAGAGGCTGACCTATTTTTGGATAGCACCGAAAACTGATCATAACTGATATTTTTGCCACATGGGGAGAACTAGAAACAATTCTAGGAAACATCATGGAAAAATCATCAACTGACCATTTGAAGTCACAAACAGAATCTTATTTTCACATGAAGTCGTAACAAAGACACAATAATAATAATAATAATGATAATAATAATGATAATAATAATAATGATGATAATTATAATAATGATAATAATAATATGGTTCATCATCCAAAACGCTCAAGAAACTGCAAGATATCCAGAGTTCTGCTGCTCATCTTCTCACACACTCCCTCATCCGCGATCAGAACTGACCCGGCTTTCAGAACCTCCACTGGCTCTCCTAGCCCAGCTTATCTACTTTAAACTCCTCATTATCACCTACAAAGCTCTCCATAACCTGGCTCCCCCCTACCTGTCTGAGCTCACATGTGAGAACAGCTTTAGTTTGACACCTACCCTCTGGCTGAGGCTAAAAGCATTAAATCTGGGCTGCGGCTCCTTACCCACATGTCAGTATGGATGCACACGTCACTGCCACACAACATGCGTTTACATTTATTCCAACATAGGCTAAGTGTCTTTAATTTATTATATTAAATTAATTATTTGGAGGCAACAGGTAAATCTAGATCAAATGAAACATTAAACACCCCCATATAGCTGGAAGGGATTGATCGTCGACTGGCAGGCGACTGAGGCTCTTTCAAACCAACGGGCTCACCCCTAAAATGACTCTATAGAAATGATGAATCTTATCTCTGATGGACTTGTTTGCTTTTCCAGGTCATAAAAAGTCATCAGTTTTCATTTCAGTATGTTTCATATCCAGCTACAAACCTTCTCACTGCAGCTTCAACTATGACTCATAACTGTCTGTATATATCAACCTGGTGAAAAGGGTTAGATGTGTTCTCATGTGTTCAACTAAATGTTTTCCTTCCTGTCTCTTAGGCCCTACAGGCAGCCTTCAACCTGCCGCCAAATGTGGATCAAGCTGAGGCTCGGAGCCGCTGGCAGGATGCTCACCTCAACCCAGACCAGAGAGACTTCAGCATGGCTGATCACAAGTTCAAGGAAGTGGCTAACCAAGTGAACAACGACATAAACAAGGTATCCTATCACAACCGCAGGAGGTAACACAATTAGTGGCACTACTGAAAGCTGGTTCAACAAACAATGATGAACGTGGTCTCTGAAGAAACCTTCATATACATTTCTTCTGCAACATGCAATAAAGACTGTGTTGGTTTTATATGTGTTACACTGCAACACAGTAAGTCATATACACACCTACTGTGTGTACATTTTGACTTAGGGTTGGACTTCATGGTTTCTGAGGAGCTAAAGTCACTGTTCTTTACCCAGAAATGTAACCGAGTGCTTTTGTAATATACTTACAAAGAAGGATATTATGCCAGTCATTATTTTTTTTTATGATAACAGTGATCATGAGGATGAAAATGTTTCTTTTGTGTCCACAGGTGTGCATGCCCATCGGACTCCACACCTCTTTCCCAGACAACAACCTACAGCTGATGGTCCAATCAGGAGCCAAGGGGTCTACTGTAAACACCATGCAGGTAACACACACATGCACATTTTAAAGACTGCTCACTAATACGCTACGGCAACTTGGATGCATATCATGAGCAGAATTTCTAAACAAGACATTAACGGGAAAACCATGACAGTTTCAACCAAAGTACAGTGTTGAGTAAAAGAAGACATGCTGTTTGTTTCAGATACAGAAACCTGACTTCACCTTAAACAGGAGTTAAGATCGTGACAGAGCCTCTGCTACATGACGACTAGTTCACAGTCTACAGTAGATTAGTGTTTAGAAACAAACTGCAGCCTTGTCAAATTCAGTGCTTCCTCTTCAGTGGATGCCACTGGCCAAAACGGCTGCCACAGTGAAGGTGTAGTTCATGGGCCCCGTGGTGCTCTAACATCGCCACAGGGGATAAAAATGTACTACACACAAGCATTAGCAGGAGAGCTGAACTAGTGAACAGAAGTGATATCCTGCAGCTGCTGAGACTTGAACACAAATGTTTCAGCAGCTTTTTTGCCTTTAAGTATCTTCTGTTGTTGATCACTGAGTCTTTGAAGGGTTTGAGGTTCACATAAATACACGATTGATTTCATTTTGTTATTGTGTCATGCATAAACAATATGCCCAGCCCAAAGCAGGCTTACAAGACACCATTATTAATACAAAAAGACCAAAGACCAAGGGAGCACAAGGCAGTCTGTGTCAGGCACACTTCACCACTAAAGTCCAGTTCGTTTGACTAGTGTGAGTGCTCCGGTCCATGCTCAAGCACGGTACACTTCCTTGGCCCTGGCATGCTTAGAGGTGTGCTTCAGCATGGTACACTTAATGCACGAGCACAAGCATGGGGACTAAAAGTGGACAGCCTTCATTATGGAGAAATCCCGCTTTATTGTCATTAAGTTGTACATACAACGGTAGTGCAAGCAAAATCGTTAGGGACCCTTCCACAAGCTGTCTGACTAAAATGACTTAAAATAAGCCTCTGAGTTACTAAAGTAGCTGCCCTGTTCTCCCTGTTGTTCTCCCATGAGAGGATGCAGACTCGAGCGCGTGTCCCTTAGCACGCATCGTGATGACGTAAAGCCATTTGTGTTGTATTACTTATTATGTATAAGAGGTAACCGCGCTCAGGCCCGGTTAGTCCTGGAGCAGTGTGAGTGCAGGCCAGCGGGGGAATGGGGCCTAGTGTGAGTGTACCCCATAAGCAGACACTTTGTAATAATGAAACTAACCAAACAAACCGTCCTGACGCGTCTTCCAGACTTTAGAGACAAAAGTAGACGACTTGGAAACATTGAACTCAAACAACCTCTCCATCCTGTCAAAGGTGGTCTTAACTCATCATAAGAAGGACAATACAAAATGAAATGAGATGTGTGTGTGTGTGTGTTTTAGATTTCATGTCTACTGGGGCAGATTGAGTTGGAGGGTCGTAGGCCTCCACTGATGCCCTCTGGGAAGTCCTTGCCATGCTTCCAGCCATATGACCCTTCACCTGGTGCAGGGGGCTTCGTTTCTGGAAGGTTCCTCACGGGCATCAAACCACAGGTACTTTGAGAAAACTCTGCTTGTGTTGAAACTATTACAATAATTAAATCAGAAATTCTCATTTGTATATTTTTTTTCTCCTCTGTTTTCAGGAGTTTTTCTTCCATTGTATGGCCGGCAGAGAGGGTCTGGTCGACACAGCTGTGAAAACCTCCAGATCAGGATACTTGCAGAGGTAACGTAAAGCTCCCGTTTCAGTGGCTCAGGCAAGGCGGCGTTCTTTAAATAGTCGTGTTTGGCAGAAGCACACCATAGTCCAAACTGAAGATAGGACTCTGAAAACATCACAGACAGTGGGACTCGGGTGTTACACCCATTGTAGACAGTCATGACTCACAGAGTTATTTTCAGAGGATATATTTGATTTCTATTATATTTAAGTGTGAAAAATCACATATAAAGCCTTTAAGGTGAAAGTTATGAAGTTAGCATACAGACCCACAGCCAGCGAGTCGTTCTGCCCACCTTATATATACACCATTGTTTTCTTCAGATGCAAGATTATGGAGGGAGAAAAGATGTTAAAAAGTAACATTCTGGTCTGTGTTGCTATGTATCCCAGCACAGCTTGCACTACGCAATGAATGGTCATGAATTTCCAATCGCGTCATGTGTCTTGCAGTGGGTGATGGTGGCGGCTGCACTCGTGGTAATGAAGGCATGTTTGTCAGCATTTTATACTTGCATATTGGTCGCACTTTTATATAAGACGCAGCTCACTTTTTAGATCAAAATATAAGTATTAAAAGTGAGTCTTATACTCTGGAATTTACAGTAAATAAAAAAGAGGGAAATGGAAAGGTAGGGATGCAACGATTATGGATTTTGAAATCCTGATTATAGTCTGAGAATAATCCAGACTATTTTGCATTAATTTCACAACATTACTATAAAATGGTATAAAATGACATGAACATTCTTACTTAATTGTGTGCTGAGCGCATTTTCAGCTCCTTCCACTTATCCTGCCCCTCTTCTTCTCACACTCTCCTCTGCAGATGTGTCATAAAGCATCTGGAGGGTTTGGTAGTGCAGTATGATCTGACGGTCAGGGACAGTGATGGATCTGTGGTCCAGTTCCTGTACGGTGAAGACGGCTTGGACATCCCCAAGACTCCGTTCCTGCAGCCGAAACAGTTCCCGTTCCTAGAGGACAACTATGAGGTGAAGCTGAGCACAAGACCAGCACAGTGCTGCTCTCATAAATAATGAAATGTGCAAATCTAAAGCTGATTGAAATAACACAATAATAATACAATAATTCAAATAACAAACAGAAAATCAGATGTTCTCAAAACATCACTTAAACCATGTTAAGTGGAGAACTTATTGATTTGATAAGTGCTCCTAAATTCTTTTTCTCTTAGCATCTAACAAGTGTAGCTTACCAAACAGGAATTTAAACAAAGGTTAAACGTTCACCTGCATGCTATATTGGAGCGGATCCAAGGCTGAGCAAACACAGACTGAACTGCTCTGCATCTTGTTCACACATCCTGAAACAAATGCAATAGTGTGTTTTCAGTTTAGGTAGCACAATCCAGAGCTTTAGCGAGCTTTTACTCTTCAGTTAACCCGAAATATGTTTGAATGAACCAATCCCTTCTTCATCTAGTGTCTCACACAATACACACAGTGAAGCTGCGTTGATATACAATTCTTCAGTTCAGCTCAACAGCATAATGAAAGCTACCCCCTGCCCTCACTATGCTCGCCCGTCCTTTGAAGTTTGACATCATGGAGGCCTAAAAGTTGAGCTCTTCATCTATATATTTGAATGCTGAATGATCCTGGCTCCTGAACTGAAGAACAGGTGTTTTCTGTCTCTGCAGAAACATGCCAAGGCTGAGGTCTTAAACACACAGTGTGTAAAGATGCTAAAGGAAACCAAGTGACAAAGTGTTATTGTACATCAATTTCTTTTGAATTACTATTTCATATATTCATTAAGATAAGTTTATTAAATCAGTTTTAAGGTGTACCAGCCCTGATGTGTGATGAAGTTACCTTTAAAGGTCATAAGTAAATGAAGGTTCCTGTTTGCATGATACCCATGACTGTACACACAATTGTCCCTTGATAACTTTTATACTAGAAAGCGGTGTCTAAAGCAGAACTAAATTTTAAACAGCGGTTAAGATCGTGACAGAGCCTCAGCTACATGACGACTAGTTCACAGTCTACAGTAGATTAGTGTTTAGAAACAAACTGCAGCCTTGTCAAATTCAGTGCTTCCTCCTCAGTGGATGCCACTGGCCAAAACGGCTGCCACAGTGAAGGTGTAGTTCATGGGCCCCGTGGTGCTCTAACATCGCCACAGGGAATAAAAATGTACTACACACAAGCATTAGCAGGAGAGCTGAACTAGTGAACAGAAGTGATATCCTGTGTGAAGCACAGTGTCTGTATTGATTTTCTTTTCTCGATCTTCACACATCAAGTCTAATGCCAAAATGCCATTGAACAAATCATCTCTGTGACATCTCTGTCACTTATGTGACTCTTTTATGTGTCACTTCCTGGTTTGAACACAGTTCGCTCTCTTCCTTAGAAACATAACAAGGCCGATCTTTCTGCGTTATTCAATGTCCATGTCTGGTGAGATGGAAAATGTTTAAAACAGCTGTCACCACACATCTTCCTTCAACAAGTCTTTCTTTCTTTACTTCCTGTTAGGTCATCAACGGGTCACAGGGCCTGGACAGTGTGTTGGCTCGTTTGGATCCTCAGACTGCCAGTCAGCACTTTGCAGCCATCCAGCGCTGGAAAGCAAAGAGAGAGACGGCATGTCCACGGAGAGGTAGATAACAAAGTCTGACATGGTAGATAAATAATCCTACGTCATAGCTGCCCACTGACTGTTGTCTGTTGTATGTCGTGCATGTGAAAGTCTGTCATTGCAGTGTTTATGGATCTTTGTGTTTCTTTTTTTTTGTTTGTTTCAGGAGCATTCTTGCTGTTTTCACAGAAGAAGTTGGCCAAAGTGAAAGAGGCCGAGCCGACAGCAGAGCCAGATGTTAACGGCAGAAAAGCGACCACACAGCAGGTATTCCTCCTGCAAATAAGAGCTGAGAGTCTTTGAAGTGAACATGCCAAACCAAACATTAATTGAAACCCTGACCCTCATGCAGCTCATACAGCAGTGGAACTCTCTGGATGAATCCAGCAGATCCAAGTACAGCAGGAGGACCTCCCGCTGCCCCGAGCCCTCCCTGGGCGTGTTAAGGCCAGACGTCAGCTTCGGATCGGTATCTGAAAACTTTCACAGCATCACGGACAAATACATGCAGAACAGAGACGGAGCAAGACAAGACAGCCTGGATGCCAACAGGTACTGAACAGAAAAAGAAATACAAATGCATGACATTCAAATATGTTAAAAATATACATTTTCTTCAGCTTTTAATCCACCTCTGTTGTGCTCCTGGTAAATGTATTCATATTCAACACACGTCAGTATTAATACCATCGAATGCTCTGAGCTAATTTTCCCCATTTGCTCTGCTTCCCTCTGATCGGGAAACAAACGATTTAAAATATAAAACATACAGTAAAAAGTAACGGAGCAGTGTCTGTCATACAGCGGCTGTTGTCGACAGAATGTTGTCATGGAGACAGGACGGGTTTGCAGCACTCTGTGGCTCGTGTGGTCTGATCAAACACAAGAGCCACTGTTGCTCAAATTGCTGAAAAAGTTCATGCAGTCAATCCTCGGCCCCTTGCTGCATGTCATCACTCACACTCTCCTACCAGCAGTTCCTGACTCTCTTCAGATGTGCTATCCAATAAAGGCAAAAAGGTCCAAAAAAGAACTTAAAAAAAAAGAAAGGTGTCAAAATGAAGTGCCCACTGCCCATGCTGAGCCCTGCAGGTTTTTTTGTTTTTTGTTTTTTGTTCCTACTTCAGCATTGATGTTGGATCACAGTGTAGTCATACCACTGAGTTCACAGTAAAAAGCATTTCTATAACAATAAAGAAAGCCAAGAAAAAATCAAGGGTAAGCGTTATTTATCAAGACAAAAGTACTAAAGCCACCCCCTTAAACACATGAATGCACACTGGCTCAGGTACGTCAGAGAGAAGTGCAGTCTTTAACTGGAAACCAGAGGTAACAGATGTCTATTCTTCTACTTTCACACAATTTGATTCATTGATTGCATTTAGGATCTGAAGAGAATTACAACACGTTAAACACAGAATGTTCCTAAAATGAAATGCCGACTCTAGCTTTGCTCTGAATCTGTGTATTCACAAACAGCAACCAAATCCAAAGGACTGTGAAAGAAAAATGAAAATGAACTGTAGTTAAAAAGAAACGCTTCTTTCTTGTGTCTTTCTGTGTGCGTGGTGTGTGTGCGTGGTGTGTGTGCGTGGTGTGTGTGGTGTCTGTAGCCTTCGCCAGCTGTTGTACTATAAGTGGCAGCGATCGCTGTGTGATCCCGGGGAAGCAGTGGGTCTGCTGGCAGCTCAGTCCATAGGCGAGCCCTCCACACAGATGACCCTCAACACCTTCCACTTTGCTGGCAGAGGAGAGATGAACGTCACTTTGGGAATACCTCGGTAATGTCATCTTACACCTAGCTCAGTACACACAAACACATGGTGGGATCACCCAGAACTACCATATGAGCTATTTCATGTTTTTCAGTACCAGAAAATGCAGAGAAACGACTGCACACTGTCTAAACTGCACAACTACAGTGGCAACATCTCAGTATTAAAATTATGACAAAACATAACGCCAGAGGCCTAGTGGTTACTTTTTGTGTCGCATGTTCAGAGGCTGTAGTTCTCGAGCCGGGTGGACCAGTTTTAGAATTTTGCATTTCTTTCCTTCTTCTTTCCTGCATGTGCTTCCCCTCTCTCTCTAGCTGATTTCTGACTCTATCCACTGTCCTGTCTCTCCAATAAAAAGCCCAAAAAAGACATCCTAAAAAAATGTTCAATTGAGACAGTGCTCTGTGTTTCTCATAGCAACTTTTAGTAAAAAAAAAAAGACTGAAAATCTGCAGTCTCTTACAAGCTTCAAAACTTTTTTCATATATTTTGCAAAATACACATTGGCATGTTTTTTTGAACACCCAATTAGCGCGTTTGTAGACAGTCACCTTGCTTGTCCACAAACACCCCCCCCCCCCAATTATGAGAAAAGACCACCCTTTCCACTTTTCAGGAAAAAAAAGTGGAGCATGAAGTTTCTCTTCATGACATCACGAAGTGCAGTAACTCCTGTGGGTGACACTCCCACAGCTAGGTGTTTGTTCTGTCCTCTGGGTCTGCCTTCTAAGCATCAACAATAGGTCATAGTGCAAGAATACCTAAACCATCAAAGCCCTTCCAGAGAGGGGGCGTGGTCAGACTCGGCTCATTTACATTTAAAGCTACAGACACAGAAACAGCCTGTTCTGAGCAGGGCTGAAATAGAGGGGTTTATAGACATGATCAAATAAAACTTTTAACAGCGGTTAAGATCGTGACAGAGCCTCTGCTACATGACGACTAGTTCACAGTCTACAGTAGATTAGTGTTTAGAAACAAACTGCAGCCTTGTCAAATTCAGTGCTTCCTCTTCAGTGGATGCCACTGGCCAAAACGGCTGCCACAGTGAAGGTGTAGTTCATGGGCCCCGTGGTGCTCTAACATCGCCACAGGGGATAAAAATGTACTACACACAAGCATTAGCAGGAGAGCTGAACTAGTGAACAGAAGTGATATCCTGCAGCTGCTGAGACTTGAACACAAATGTTTCAGCAGCGGTTGTTTGAGTTACAGCTCGCCCCGTTGTTTATTTGAATGTGTCAGTAATAAATCTAATAAATAACACTTTCATATGATCCCACTTTGGCAGATGAAGATATTGATAACATTTCTACAGCATGTGTTAGTGACATACACATAGTACTGAATCTCTGAGCCTATCATTTGAACCATGCAGTAGCCTACATTTCCTCTCAACAGTAACCACCGTGGTGTTTTCATGAAGCACGTATACCAAGTAATAAGACACACTTATAAAGCATCAGGACACCCTGTGATCTCAACTAGCGAAGGTCGGGGGTTTGATCCCCAGCTCCTGCATGCTATGTTAAGAATCCATCTGTATTGACAAATCTCATTCATAGACGTCCACACGCCCCTGACGCAGCAGCGGGAGCAACTCAGGGTTAAGAGTCTTGCCCTAGCACACATGACATGTGGCTGCAGGAGCTGGGGATCGAACCCCCAACACTCAGGTTGAGAGACCACTGAGCCACAGTCCTCCAAGCCTTTCTCCCTTCTTTTCCTCCATGTCTCACTCTCTCTTCATTGGTCTGTTTGGTCTGCAGATTGAGAGAGATCCTGATGGTGGCCAGCTCCAACATTAAAACTCCCATGATGAGCGTTCCAGTGCTGAACAACAAGAAAGCCTTGAAGAGGGCCAAGACGCTACGAAAGCAGCTCACCAGAGTCTGTCTGTCTGAGGTAAACTCTATGTCCTCCATTATCTCTACTGGCTTGATTCTGCTCCCTCCTGCCTCTAACCCTTTCTGTGTGGCTTGTCGGTTGTTTCGTTCCTTGTTTCATCATGCTCGTACTTGTTTCCATCGTCCTGGTTTGAGCTATTCTTTTATTTCCTTATTAATGTTTGATGTAGCATTCCCCATGCTGGCCTGGCTCTCAAGCTGATGTTTCAGACTTTTATTTGAAGTTCCTTACTTTATGTTTTTAATGGAAACACTGTAAGAACTAAAAGAGAGTAATAAAGAAAATATTACTAAAGTGTATACCTACACAGTATATCAAATTAAACCTTTAAATGTTCTTATGTGTAAAATGATGACCTTAATATTGTTATTTAAAACCTAATGAGTGAATATGAAATAACCTTATTTATGCACACACACATACACACACACACACACACACATGTTAACATGACCGAATTGCGGTTCCAAGATGCAGCATCCTTGCTAGCCCACACACATTGTAAAACTTTCAAAATTAGAGCGTCTGTCTTTCCGAGGTAACTAACAGGAAGTTATCACAAAACCTTAAGAAATACATTTCAAATTCAAATACACACTAACAACAGACTACTGTGTCATTTACATTTGACTTTGTCTGATGTGTGTGCAGGTGCTGCAGAAGGTGGATGTGGTCGAGACTCTGCAGATTGAGAACCATTTCAAATCGCGAAAGTTTAAAGTCACTTTCCACTTCCTGCCTCCTGAGCGTTACAGTGAAGATAAGCTGCTGTCCCCCGAACAAATTCTGCACTACATGGAAACCAGGTGCGTGTGGGCGTGTGTTAGTGTGTGTAAGTGTGTGCTGCTTCCTCCTCTTTTGCCAGAGTCCAATAAAATATATGTCCAGCTTCTAACTTACTTTTCTCCTTTTGTAGGTTTTTCCGTCTCCTCCTTGAAGCCATTAAGAAGCGTAGTGCCAAGCTGGCTTCCATCGCCGTGGAAACAAGGAAGGCCACCCTCAGAGATAAGGACCAGGATGGTGATGCAACAGCTGACACAGCAGGGGTCTGTTGTTGTTTTATTTATTGACCTAATCTCACTATAGAGTCCCTTACAGGACATGTTATTATCAGAGTTGTCACTCATCTTGGTGAACATTTGATCTACCATAAAAAAAAGACTGAACTTTCTTTATCGTGGGGACATTCTTTAGTTGGATGACGCGGAAGAGGAGAGAGAGATCGTGGATGACCAGGGGAACGAGGGAGATGCTGATGCTTCAGATGCCAAGAGAAAAGACAAACAGGAAGAGGAGGTAGGAAAATGAACAAAGCATTTTTTTTATTGAACACGTCGGAGGTTCGATCCCCAGGGTGTAACCCCGCCTCCTGCCCAGTGACTGCTGGGATTGGCTCCAAACGGGAAAAAGCAGTATAGGTAATGGATGATTGGATAAAGCAAGGCAGTGTGCAGGAGCCTTTCTCTTCGCCTTAGGGTTTATTTTGATGCCAGATTTGAAAAAATTGTAAAAAAAAAAAAAAAGGAGTTTCAATGTTTATAATACAATTCTAAGGCAAGGGCAACAGAAAAAAAACCCTCATGCTTAACTGCTCCAGACCTCTCCACAGATGTCGATGACGAGGTTGAATATGTTGTTGAATATGTTTTCTATACAAAATGTGAGATTGAATCATCCTCAGAATGTTTCATAAATGTACTCATTTGGAATATCTTGCATTTCTGTTTTCATGCATTATATTTCATTTGCTCATGCACCCAAGATCGACAGAAAAGTAATCAGCTCATTGAACACTTGAATCCAAGAATGGAAGTTCTCTCTCTCTCTCTCTCTCTCTCTCTGTCTCTTTATCTCTCTCTCTCTCTCTCTCTCTCTCTCTCTCTCTCTCTCTCTCTCTCTCTCTCTCTCTCTCTCTCTCTCTCTCTAAACCATTTTAGTAAGACTCAACATGTAAAGGACAGGGCAGCTTTACAAATATAGATCCACTGATGTCAGTCTCTGCTTTCCGTCTGCAGGTAGACTACGACAGTGAGGAGGAGGTTGGAGGCGATGAAGGCGAGGATAAAGACGAACAGGAGGAGGACGAGAAGGAGGAGGAGAATGAAGAGAACACTCCTGAGGAGTCCCAGCCTCAGTCCGCAGGGGGGAGAGTGACGAGGAAGAAGAAGCGATCAAAAAGAGCAGAAGGAGAGGCAGAGGACAGTTTGAATGAGATGAGAGTGAACTCTGTGCTGCAGTCCAACCCAGCGATAGAGAGATACTGTTATGATATCCGGCATGAACTCTGGTGTGAGGTGAGAGGGCTTTGAGGTTTTACACCATCAGATTACAAAGATTTTCACGCATTGTGAAAGCTCTTGAGCTTTCATGTTTAGATTTCTGATGACACTTGGCTTGGCCGTGCTCTGTCGGGCTTCTGCAACGCCGCGAGGCCATTCAAATTCACAGACTGGGGCACAAACATATGTAATTTTGCAAAATCATTATGAATGTGGTAAACCCTAATGACAGCGGCGCTGTAGCGGAATCACACTAAAAAATGAAGTTGAGATTATCATGTACAAGCCTGCTCGATTAATCCCTTGGCTGATAAAGCCAATAGAGGCCTTTTTAATGCGCCCAGCCACCACCATCGGACTGTGTCGTCCCCACAACCACTGCCGTTCACGGCCTGCTCTTACCTCCACCAACATTACCTCAAAACATAGTTTATTTATTTATTATTATAATATCCATCCATTCATTTTATTCCACTCATCTGAGGAAGGGTCGTCGGGGCAGCAAGGACGGCAGTAATTCAACCCAGTCTTCCCTTTCCCCCCCAAGCATTTTCCAGCTCCACCTGGGGGATTCCACGGCATTCCCAGGCCAGACGAGGATATATAATCCCTCCAGCGAACTCTGGTTCTACCCCGGGATCTCCTTATATATTTTTTTTTTCATGTATTTCCTCTTTCCAGAGTCTCCAGAACATTAATGTGCTAAGAGGTTCAAATATCATATTAATCGTGATTAGGATTTTTGCCATAATGGAGCAGCCTTACTCCATTGTTAACTATACTGTCATCACCGTTTGCAGAACACACAGCAGCAATTCACAGCTGAGCAGATAGAGGTCCCAGCAGTTCATCAATAATTACAATGAAAATATATTCCTCTGTAAATATATTTGTTCAAGTAAGCAGCCTAATGAGTGCCGGCACACAGTCAGATGCAGTGCTCAGATGTATATGGAGAAGTTAAATCCTTATGAAGGCTCTGCGCTCAGCGTCGTATCACGTATTAGGTGAACTGTGTTATTGTTTGCTCACGCCTCACCTGGTCTCTGTATTCATTCACTCTATTGGTGCGACTCTCTTTGTTCATTCATTAACTGATGAAACCTGATATATGATGCTGTTTCTCAGGAGTTGTACAGCGATTTATGCACTTTGAACCTCAAAGCATAACTGCAAGCATAACTGCAGATCACGTGACACCAACAGACACCTCTCTTTGAACCCGAGAGATATAAAAAAGTGGATAGCATGAAGTTGCATCCTCATTTAGTAGAATATCAAGATTGTGTTTCCAGCGGAGAATCACTTTGGACTCTACATCGACGTAATTTAAAGCTTGTTCTCAGTTTATTTATATTTTTTATATAGTTTTGACCACCTGTCCACCCTGCAGCATGACTCTTTCATGTGAATGTAGACGTTTTAGCCCGCTTGAACTGCAGTTATTAGGTGTCTTTAAAGTATAAAGATAAAGATGAACTTTATTGATCCCCCATGGGGGAATTTTTTTTGTTACAACAGCTCCAGTAACAGGAATATAATTATCAAAAATAACAAAAAGTTAAAAATCAAACATATGTACATCAGTTAAATCAAGGGAGAAAAACATACAATAATAGAATAATACAAGATATGTACACTTCCACTTGTGCAAAGAGTGTGTAGCATTATAGATATGAGTCATGAGGTGGTGATGTTGTTAAACAGTCTGACTACAGATGGAATGAACGACCTGCGGTAGTCTTTCTCTGTCTCTGTCTTGCAGGGTGGGTGTCTCAGTCTGCTGCTCTATTTGAGTTTTTGTGAGGTTATCGTTTAGCCCTTTGAGACCTTCACTCAGCCTTTGTCTCTCTGTTCATAGGTTGACCTGGTGTTGCCAGTGAGCAAGGTGCACTTCGACTTGACCTCGGTCCTCTCAGCGCTGGCCCAGAACGCAGTCATTATGGAGACCAAAGGCCTGACGCGCTGCCTCCTGAGCGAAGTCACAACAAAGACGGGAGAGAAAGAGACGGTTCTCAACACGGAGGGGATCAACATGCACGAGTTGTTCAGGCACAGTGATGTATGTAGGCCAGACGTCTCGACTTCTGCTTCACGCTTTTAAACACGAGACTACAACATGGTCCAAGGGTCAAGGGAAAACTGCACACAGCACTCCTAAGAAATTCAAAACATTTAGCTAAATAATGGTGCAATTCAGGACAACTCAGAAGTAGAACTAATGAACATGGAAGAGAGTTGTATTGATATGTAAATCTAACAGCCAAACAGATACACCACTTCATTTAGTACTCCTTTATAGTAGCTGCATCCACAAAATTCATCAACATACATTGTGAGAAAAACCTCCTTCAAGAAATCATAAATAATAAAGTGTTACCTTTGTTTCACAGAGTCGATGCTGTATAGAAACACAGCATTTTCTTTATCCAGACCACACACAGAACTGACAGCTAGCCCAGTATGAGGAGATGTGAGGCTGAAATTAAGCCAAAAAAAAGTGTCACACATCCAGTCTTTTGATAGGAGAATGATTGAAGCCTTGTTCACAACAAGCTGAAGTTTTCAGATTGAGCAGCATGTGTGAACGCAGACAACCAAGCACAGACTGTATGCACGCGACCATTGTGATCTCTTTGCATGTATTTAACTGTTGAATGTTTTGTGTTTGTCAGTATGTTCTTGATATAGCATTGTATAGCGGACTCTGTTGTCTGTCGTTCTTTTAACATCACATCTTGCCCCGTCCCCGATAACATTTGACACAGATGATCTCCCTCTGAGGGATCGTTATAGATTATAATTAGACAGTTTGATTGCTGAAAAAGTGCCATGACTTCAAAGAGTTTGTTTTAATTTCTCAAATAATGTTCTTGTTTAAGAGATCACATATTTTCACTCATGCTTGCGTTGCATTCAACACAAATACTGAGACTGTTTTTTCGTCTTTAGATCTTAGACATCAACAGATTGTACTCCAACGAGGTCCATGCCATGGCTAAGACCTACGGGATAGAAGTGGCTCTGAAGGTCATCGAGAAGGAGATCAAAGATGTCTTCGCTGTCTACGGTACGCAAAAAAAAAAAAATCACAACCCCCCCCCTTTAAAAAGAAAAAAAGCACCAAAAGGCTGTCAAGATTACTAATTCTATTCCGTGTCTGTATTTCTGTCTGTAGGTATCGAAGTGGACCCCAGACATTTGTCACTGGTCGCAGACTACATGTGTTTTGAAGGTGTCTACAAGCCATTAAACAGGCACGCCATTCAGTCCAACTCCTCCCCTCTGCAGCAGATGACCTTTGAGACCAGCTACAAATTCCTCAAACAGGCAACAATGTTGGGTGAGAAATGGATGATAGAAATGCTCTAAAACAAAATACACTATGCGAAGCGACATCTGTATTAAAGATGACTTTCTAGTTATTGTCTGCATGGCTTTTAAGCAGAGAGAAAGTCACTCTGAATGTACTTTATTGAAAATATTCCTTTTCAAGATTAATTTCAATAACATTACAAGACAATAGAAACAACCGTTTCTTTTTAGCAGAATGTTAAACTTAAAGCTAAACTTTTGAGGGACAAAAAATGACTAGTATAAATAAATAAATGTTAGGAGAAATGCATACAATAATGTATAAATAGTTAAATAAATGCATCAATATAATATATAAATAAATATATTCATATATTTATTTATGTATTTCTGTGTCCATGTTGTACAAGGAAAAGTAAATATGTAAATTAGGATGTGTAAATGTAAAAATACTGAAATAAATTAATAGATCAATTAATGTGGGAATTATGCATTGATAAATATATAACTGTAGAAATACGCTAATAAATGAATAAATACATGTAAAAATATATAAATAGCCTTTTTCATTAACAAAATGTATTTATTATTTATTCATTGATGTATTGTTTTCAGCATTTATATATTTATTTTTATTGATGCATTTATTTAAATATTTATACATTATTGTATGCATTTGTCTCAACATTTATTCATTTATACTTTAGTCATTGTTTGTCCCTCATAAAACCTAGAGACACTCCTGTCTTTATCTTTCTGTCTTGGCTCATGGCTCCTTTTTCTCACTTCATTTTTCAGGCTCACATGACCAGCTGGTGTCCCCCTCAGCCTGTCTTGTGGTTGGAAAGGTCGTCAAAGGTGGAACTGGAATTTTTGAACTGAAGCAACCTCTCCAGTAGTCAGCTGTAATTACTGGTTGCTTTCCATCCTTAGAGTTTGGATATATGACATGGACTAATATAATGACGGAGCAGGAGTGTGACACACTTTCAACTTAATCCTGTGGATATGAAATTCTTTAAAACAGTAGTGGAATATATTTTGCTCCTGAATTTAAAAACTTTACAATTATTTTGACCGAATCTGTGTAAAATAAAGTTCACCCCACTTGAGATGAATGCAATCACCAAAGCAGTCATTGTATTACTTTATGAAGACTGTGGGAGTTTACAACACAAAGAATTATAGCAGCATAAAGCCTGGTAAACAACAAACACTGTTTGTCTTGTTTGTATTTTATAATAAAGTTAAAATTATGTTTACATATTTAATCTCTCTTTTTGTTCTGTCGAGTCTTTTTTTTTTTAACCTAAAATCATGTTCTTTCAGTTTTAACATAGTTAAATAATGAATATTAAAAAATATAAATATAGACAAAAATAGATGTATATCTTTGATGTGATATATTATATATACTTTTTGTGGGAAACTGCTTAAAAGCTAAACCTATACCCGAACACATGCTGTTATATCTATGCTTCGCGTTTTCATGCTATATTATATTATTATCATTATGATATTTGTATATTTTCTGTGGTTTGCACACGGGTTGTTAATCTTTGGGGAAGGGGCTTTTATTACGAAAGAGCGGAAACGATGGGGGGGTTACTTCCGGCTACAGACTAACTGGTCATCATTTGGAGGCTGACATCGTGAAGACGTGAAGCTGGGATGAAGACCTACTGGATAAATACTTGATCTTCAAACATGTCTGCGGGACAGGCCATGACAAAGCTGTGGGAGCAGTGGAAGGGTAGATAAATGTGAGTAAATAAATACATTACGTGAAGTGTTGTGAGGGATGTAGTTTGGTGCAGAATGGCGTAAACGCGATCATTGATGTGGTCAACGTAGCCGCTAACTGTTTACGTTAACCACCTTGTCAGATGTAACCTTAAAGACAAACGGAAATACCCGGTAAATACCCGGTAAAGCTGTGTTTGTAATCACCGTAATGTTGTTCTTTTCTTAATGTTAATGTTGTTCTTTTGTGGCGGTCTGCTCGGGTAACGTTACTCCTCTAACAGACGTTAAAATGCGCATTTCTGAAGCTGTTTTATTATTATTATTATTATTATCTGTTTTATTATTATTGTTATTATTATCTGTTTTATTATTATTGTTATTATTATTATCTGTTTTATTATTATTATTATTATTATCTGTTTTATTATTATTATTATTATCTGTTTTTGTATTATTTATTATCTGTTTTATTTTAGAGTTTTCAGCAAACGATACAGTAATTATTTCGTAGACAAAACTTCAGCAAAGTGATCATTTTTGTTGGAAACTGATTAAAAGCTAAACCTATACCCACTACGACATTGAACGAACACATGTTGTTATATCTATGCTTATATCTATATATATAAGATATAAGAATATATCTATGCTTCGCGTTTTTATGCAACAATAATACAAATATTCTAAAAATGTAAATAAATGTCAATCACTAAACAGATATTTTTAGAAATTAGTATTTTTACATTTTAAACGTTTATTATATTTTACTATTTTGATTTGTTGACAGTTTTTCACTAGTAACATTTTAAATACCGGCATTAATATTTATAATAATAATAATAATTATTATTATTTAAAAGAAAAGTGCACTCATTAAAACAAAATTTACGGAGCCCCTGAAGTCCCAAAACGTTAGTTAGTTATCTTAGTTAGTTGTTCCCCAAGTGTGGGAGTCAAGATGCCTTTGATTTGTTTTTAAATTATTTTCCCCATTTTCATCAATATACAGAAAATAGTCAAATGCAAAATAAAACCACATCATAAAGTGAAATGACAATACAATTAATATGTTAAAAATATTAAAAGTGAAAGTAATGACAGTAATGTATGGTGTCTGCTGCTCTTTACACATGAACACACCTGTGTGTGTATTTATTAAGTTCTGTTTGTCCACTCAGTGCTAAAGTCTATACATGGACATTTTTTATATTCTGCTTCTAGTCAAATTCAAATGAACTTTACGGGAAAGTAGTTTGGGTTATGCTGTGACTTACGGAGATGTGAGCGTGTACCCTAAAGCATAAGCTGTAACGTGTTGTTGTTCCTGAAATATGTTCCTGTAAACTGCCAACTTAATGAGCTCAAAAGTAGTGTTCATGAAGTATATAAGAACCCACGACATGCCGTCGTATAAGAGAAATAACATAAGGCTATTTAGTCTGTTTAATAAAGGGATGAGGTATAGACCTGTTCTATTGGAAAGGTATCCTTATGACTTCTGTTGTGATCTGGCGAAATCTGTGAAAATAAAGTTTTGGTGCATTTATAAACATTATACAGGGAAATAAGTGTGGTTGAACTGGTCAGTAACTTGAAAATAAGAATCATGATAAAATCCTGATCATGATTTTGCCATAAAGAAATCGTGATATGATAGTTTTTTCGTATCGCCCACCATTCAGGCCGTTGTTTTCTTTTGTGTTCTTTCTTTAGTAGTAGCAGTGCTTCGATAAGCCTATTAGTGCGTGTGTGTGGCTGTGTGCTAAGTTTTATGCCATAACCAGCGTCAGAGACCGCTGGGTCCACGGTCTCTGGCAGCCTTACTTTGAGGAACGTGAGCTGAAAAGTTTGGGAACCCCTGATCTAAAGTCAATTTAGTAAGATGCTTTTAGCAATAACCAAATGACTTAAACGTACAATATGTACAATTTTTAAACTAAAATATCTGAATTTATAATAAATTGCCTCACCCTATGTTATAACTGTTTGAGTACTTACATTACCTCAAATATTTTATATTTTAACAGTTTTCAAAGCTAGAGAAATCCTTCATTTTTATAGTTCTAACGGGATGTGTCTTGTCATGGCAGCCGCCATGACAGATATGACATGTTTATTCGTTACCATGGAAACGCAGGATGTTACGTTAAAGACCGCTGCATTAGGAAGCTGGAATTACTACTGAAAACTGCCGTCCTGTTGCTGTATGTGCTGCTGTGTTAAAAACGTCATTTAAAATATAGTTTACGTCGTCGGTAAACATATTCTCTTCCTCAGGAAGTTTTCCCCCGTTCATCTTCCCTATGGCAAACCTGGAGGGTTTTTTTCACCGGAAGGTGGTGTAGCAGAGAAAACTCCCATGATTCCTCGCCAGCCTCAACATCATCTTCTCTCATTGTATTGATTGAGAGCCCCCTGGTGGCAGAATCTACATTCTGTGCCTTTAACAAGTACACTTCAGTAATGTTCAATATGATCCCCATAACAGTTTGTCCTACCAGCAGTACTGCCAGCATAAAAGGTAATTAATGATGTCTGTGTGTATTTAAACTCGAAAATCTTCAAGAGCATTGCCCTCATTTACAATGACGTCAAGCAGATAAAAAAGATAAACAATGAAACCCCCCCCCCCCCCCAAAAAAAAAACATGAAACATCTATTAGTTTCAACAACAATGTGTAATATTTGAACAAAATCTGAAACTAAGTACTATAATTCTGCTGTTTATGTAGTATGTAGAAGCCATCTTGTATTGTAAATGTATCTCTCTGTGTCTAGGACACCGTCCCTGAGAGCCAAGAGGTTTCACGCTTCAGCTGAGAAACTGCAGAAGTTTCCAGAATCCAGTGTGCATGAGAACAACATGAGACCTCTTAAACGCTGGGGCGCACATAGGTGATTTACATACACAGACACACACACACACACACACACACACACACACACACACACACACACAAACCACAAAGACTCGTATCTGTTTTCCTTGAACCATGGTCGGTAAATAGGGAAATCTGACTTTCTCTGAGGGACTATTAACTTGCAAATTAACTTGCTCTTCAAGGGCAGTATCAACAAGTCGTCTGAAAGTACAACAGAGTAGAATGTTCACCCTCTGTCTGATCAAGGATATCAAAATCTAACATGTCAAAATCTAATCTAGCTTGTGGAGGTTGCACTCCGATGAGCAGGCTGTTTCCTCAAACAATAGGAAGAATGAGGACAGGCAGCCTGTGAATCACAAAGGGAGACTGTGTGGCTCACATTTCCTAAAGCATTGCCCCTAAAGATCTGCAACTGTATTCAAAATGTACTCGCTTTCTTAACCAGTCCGCCTTTTTTCATTTCAGGTGGGCAAAAACCTCTTTCCTTTTTTACTTCTTTAAACTTTGTGAGGTTATATTTTGAACACAACCTTCTGACTTTTGTGCGGCATGAAAAGATGTAGTGGTCCGCTCAGAAAAGTCCATACATGTACCCCACTCCGTCCTTTTCTTTTCCACTTTTCATTCACTTTGAGGAAAAACACCACGTAGTCAAAGAGAGGAGTTAATACAAGGATAGGAAAAGACAACCCCGGAATAACACTTGCAGTGTTTGCATATGTCTGGGTGGCTTTTAGCGTGTCGGTTGGTTTACACAATCCTCTTCAGAAAAGTGGATCCATTTTTATTGCACAAATACAACAACAATTATCTCATTACAATTTACATGATACTAAAAAGTCTTCACTGAACTTTCTGTTCAGTTAATGAAAGATACTGAACTTGAGTCCACCATGAACATGCGCTTGGCAACAGGAGCAAGATAAAGCTGGTCTTTCCTGTCTTATGATGAAGCTCGTTGCCACAGTTTGTAGATTCCATAGCTCTACATTCATCTTTCACACGGCTGATGTGCTTCGTCTCTTTCTCTTTGTAATGTCATAACCCGGCTCGTGGGTTGTGACAAAAACTGAAGGTGTCGGGTTTTACAAAAGAAAATGATTATTTTATTACAAAAAAACCCAAATTAAATCAACCCATAACAAGACAGATGAGGTGTGTTAAATCAGTATAATCAGTGGTGAATGTTTGGATGTGTGTAAAAGCATTATGATGTATGTGGTGTTGAAGAGTGCACTAACATAATACCTAAACTAAATGAATAATGGTGTCAGCTCAAAGCTTAGGCAAAGAAATGAAATAGCTGTTATATCATCAATCAGCACACTCATTATAAACGTTGTGGTTTGTTTTTGTGGGGGATGACATGTGGGAGAGGAGCCACAGGTCGGATTCAAACCCGGTCAGCATGGAAGACTATAGCGTCAGTATAATGGGGCGTTGGCACTAACCACTACGCTACCGGCGCCGCGTTTTGGTGCTACTTTGATCAAACACGGGGTTTCAACTTTCAGCAAATCATCTGGTATTGTTTTTATTTACGTTTTAAGTCCCACTCTTGGGGACGTTGGGGCTCCCTTACATCCCAGCTTTTTAGTTAGTGGGGTTGTAAAAAGAGAAGAGCTTATTTACAGGTTCAGCCCATGTTAATGAACTATACTTCTATCTGGTTTTCAGGCCTCTAACATTAAAGGGACACTCACCAAAGTGGCATTATCATACGATATATTTCATGATAAATGTCATTATTAATCAAAGTATAAAAAAATGTTTTATCATATTTTTTGCCACATTGTCCAAACTTAAGCCTGATGTCAAACACACCTCATGAACAAGCACATTCTTCTGATTTATAGATCCATCATTTTGTTGGGACAGCTTTGATTCTTTTTCCAAGGAAGGTTGACTACAGTGTCTCCTTGTTGATGCTTTAAATTGGGTTTTTTTTAATGGCTATTTGAACCTTGCACTGTTTGTCACATACATCATACAAGTGTTAAATACAACTTGTCAGAGCCTCAGTCCACTAATCCAGACGCTTCCTTTTGGCTGATCTCAACCATTGTGATGCTGTCAGTAGATTCTACACTTCAGCTTTTCTCCTTTTTTTTTTTTTAGATAATTTTAATTTGAAGATAAACTGTAAGCTCTTTCAAACGTGTTAGAGATTAGTACTACAAACTCTCAGCATGGTCGGTGAGAGGAGAGGCTCCTGTGTTAAGCTTGCAGGAGGCTCGGTCTTCCGCAGTGATGACTGTTTGTGGGGTAAATATTAATACAACATGCATACATATTTGCATTATCAGTGAAAAGAGTTGAAAAGGTCAACAGGAAAGTAGAAAGTCACACGCACACACACGCCCACACACACCCCCACACCTCATTCAAAAAGGCAGAAATTAACATGTTTACAGCCTGGTTCAAAAAAACAGAAATAGGTCTGATTAGCTGTCTCTAACGGCACAAACTGCACTCCATCAACATGCACTCTTTGTAATTCATTCTCTGCTCATTGGAAATGACCCAGACGTTGTACTCTGGAGGAGGCACAGTAACATCCTTTTAATTGATCACTCACAGGCAGCCTCTGTGTGTTCTTAAACTGCTGAATATCGCTTTGTACGCTTCACACGGTAGTTGTCCTTTCTTTCCTCTGTTTGTGTGCGTCTCTGTCTGTCTGTCTGTCTGTCTGTGTGTGTGTTTCTAGGTGGCTGTTTGTGCTGTGTGTGGTTTTAGGTTTCCTGTGTTTGGTGTTAGTCTATCTTCCGCTGATAGACACGGAAACAAGCAAACCTCTGGACTGGCATGTCAACCCTGCTCATAAAAAGGTGAGAACATATTATTGAACAGATTTCTTTTGTAATGTTGTATCGTGAAATAAAATGTATATGAAATGTGTGAAATATAGACCCAGAAGGTTAGTAATAGAAAGATTATTATTTGTGGTGTTAGAAATGAGATGAGTGGTTTATTAAGAATCACTCCTCTGACAACAGGCTTCAAGGATGACGTCATCAAATAAAACTATTCTGCCAATATAATATCACTTCAGCTTTTCGCTGCCCTTGTGTGTGCAATGTGTAGGGATGAGATCAAAACAAAATCAGGGTTAGCACTTCAAGTTTGCAGGGTCCTTGCTCCCTGCTTCAGACTTTCACTGGAGATAATTGCAGACCAACTAAATCACGAGAAACACACAACCCAAGTAAGCAGCCCGGTATCGTCAGACAGCAGCAGCAGCTTTGTGCGCAGCAGCTTGTGCACTCTTTGAGTCAGATAAATGTTTACCGTCTTCTGTACCTGGTAGGGGTGCAAACGAGTACTCAGGTATTAAATAATAATCGGTTACAAAAAAATGTAATCGATAATCGTTTTGTAGTCCACATTTTTGTAAATGTTTCTTGCTGCATTGTGGGTTCTTGGATAGGCCTAAATCAAAACAGAAAAAAAAGGAGCACGAGCGCAAAAAGAAAATAAATGACAAACAAAGCGCTGATAAAGGCTCTGTGCTGAAACGCGTCCGTTGTTGATCCGTACGCTGCTACCCTAACAAAAATATCCCTTTAATTAACCCCCCTATGAATTCACAATGAACAAAAAGTCCCAAACAAATGAAATATGCAATATGATCGATGAAAGTTCAGTTCAAATTGTCTTTTTAGTCCACAGAAAAAGAAGGACTTTCACTTTGCGATTACGGCTTTACTCCACCAAACCAAAGACGTTTGATCATCCAGAACAGAGCAGCATAAAGAGATGTTTTCCTATATTTTGGAATTTTAGATGATTATTCTTTTAATAACTACAAAATGGAACAACCTTATAGGGAGAAATAGAGTGTGTCATTACGCACAGAGGAGAAAGATGAAACAGTTCAGCTGTTCTATTGTAACTTCATTTACCAGAGTAAAGTGTGCTCTACACTGCAGACTGGAGTCTTTGTTAACACAATGTCTCTGTCAAAACAGCTTCAACGTGTGATGAGTGCGCACTGATGTCTGCACGTCCGCTCGCCACACTGTTTTAATTATAATAAAGTGTTAAAACGGTCATAAGATACGTCTGTGAATTTTTATTTGAGGTTTGCTGTTTGTTGAAGTAAGAAATGTCATATTTGAATGTTAATACAAAGGCCTCTTACTAACAATTATTAAAATCCTGAAGATTCAAATTAATCATTAGATACAGTTGGCATCGCTTCATAGTTGGGGGCGGGGCCTCCCGTGGGGGAAAAGAATCACAGAAAAAAAAAGAACTACAATACGATTACTCGAGTAGTCGCTTTTGCATTTCTGCACCCCTAGTACCTGGTTCCTGCTGCTTCCTGTTGGGTTGAAAGAGCTCACATACTGGAGTTGACAGTGTCCAAGTCAATCGATTTAATTGTTCAAATGAGCCAAGCATAAAACATTTCCAATGATTTTCTTGTTGTCCAATAAGTTTTGAGGGAAGGATGCAGTTCAACCTTTTTGACTGAAATAATTTTTCACCCATGAAGCCCCATCACAAGATGAATTCAAAATGTGTAGCTTGATGACCTCATTTTAACAAATTATTAATGATGTGAGCGCTCCACAACTTGATTGTAACTTGATCAACAAAAATGATCTGTCATTCTGTCGTTGTTGTGAGCTAACTCATGGGGGGGGATCTATGGATCATATAGCCAGTCCTGTACTGTACCATGACCACGGTTAATGACAGATCTGAGAATCTAATTTCTGATGCATAATAACAACAAGTCCTGCTGCATCTGCTCTTCTTTTCCTGCAGCGGGTACATGAGTACGTTCAAGGAGTTCTGGAGGGTCAGTGTCGTCCCGGCAGCACCAGGCATGGCTTGTTAGCTCGTCTTCCTGCCACCAGCAGCGAGACACAGCCTTTCTTGTGGAAAGACGTGTTGCTTGACGACGACCTCTTTGTGTATCCTCCGCCATTTGGATTTCAAGGATTTCGTGGCAAAGTAGAGGACCTGCTAAAGCAGGTGAATACAACTTCTTTCTTAAATTCTATCATAGCTGTTTAATCATAGAAACATGTTATCATTGTTTCTTGTGTAGCTATATCTATTAAATGGCATTTCTACAATTTCTAAATGATATTACTCATGTTGATATCAACTGTAGTTGTTAACAGTTATAATGCACAGTTATAATGCACTTGCACTTTAAAAATGACTCAACGCAGAGAGTTTCTTACATTTCAGAGTCAACAGGATTGAACTGTGAACATGCAGAAACATGCAGCTGCACCTGCGGTTGGAATGAAGTATAGACAGGGTTAGACCATGGCTTTATGTACTCCTGGTCATGTGACCATGTCATGGGGAAGTAGCAGTCCTACATTTGAGTCATTTCTTTTAGTCTTAGAAGTGAGCTGTATGAGGTTTTCTGACATGAGTGAGCGCTAACTATAATAACATTAAAGCTGGATTATTTGTTTCATTTCTTTAAATGATTTAGCCTCCTTGCTTGTGGGGGCAGCAAATGTAGGTCACTGGTGACTTACTTGGAGTGCAACAATTCTCAATATAATATTGAACCAGAGACTCCAAATCATCTCTTAATTATGTTAAAGTGTGTGTAGCGTCTACATCTGCAAAGACATGTGCTTTATCAAGTGTTTAATGAGTCGAATATCTGACTTAAGTTTGAGCACATTTTGTTGAGAAAAGTCAAAGATTTAAAATGTGTAGATGATGCCTCTCTCTTTTGGGGTAAAACAAACCAGAAGTGCATCCTAATGATTCTGTAAGTACAGTACTTTACTGAGTATATACATTATGTTTCTGTTTCTTTTTTCTTCAAAGCTGCCAGACTCTGCCTCCGCAGTCCAGCCAGGAAACACATCAAATAAATGTTGTCGCTGTGTGGTCATGGGAAATGGAGGCATTCTCCGAGACCTGGCACTCGGCCCACTGATCGACCGATTTGACGTTATTATCAGGTTAGAAACTCACATGTGATGATATGAGTGTATTAACCTTACACATGATAGTTCTCCACTTAAACCTAGATCAGAGGTGTCAAATTTTCGGCCCGCGAATCCGACCCGCCAGCAGGTTTCATCCAGGCTTTAAAAAAAACTCACTGATATTTCCAGGAGGAGCTGTATGTGTGAATGCCAACAGACAAATTTTTCACTCAGACTACCGGAGTTTCTCCTGCCAGCCTCCTAGAATTTATTATCAGCAGGCTATCCTCCAGAGAAGAGCTAATGGGAGGAGCATTTATATCCTGTGACAGCTGGACTCTGTTGCTTCAACCGCTACTTCTGCATCATTCTTTTTACGTTGCGTTTTTACATCAGGAGACCACCCCCCACCCCCTGTCTTGACAGGGATAGTTTCCCGATGTGAGGTGCATTATGTGAACGGCCAGGTCACATATATGCGAAAACGGCATGATGTGTACCAAAACCCAAACCGGATGGTACACTGAATCACACATTTTTAGTGAAGATTGAGGAGCCACAAACCAAATGAGTTAAATCAGTCCTTCCTCTTTCTCCCTCACTCATCCCCTCTCTCTCTTTTTTTTTACATGGTACTATGTTATAAGGATTTGTTTGCACAGAATTTCCGCTCACTTTGCCACTTATTAAAGGCTATTTGTTTCCTTTCTACTCCTGTACTGTTGTACATCTTCGTTCGTTTTTGTAGCTGTAACTTTCACCACATGACTTGAGCAAAGTGTATCTTGACTCAACACCAGAGTTTCATTTTGACTGTAGTGCTTCATTTCAGTCAATCACTGACTCCTTGTGTCTCCCTCCCGCAGGCTGAACAGTGGTCCTCTGGGAGAGTTCAGTGCTGACGTTGGAAATCGAACCAGCGTCAGGATGAGTTACCCGGAGGGCACGCCGCTCCAGTGGGTGGACGCAGACCCACACGCTCTGTTTGTAGCTGTGGTGTATAAGGGAGTGGACATCAGCTGGACCTCTGCAATGATCAACAAGCTGGCTGTGGTGAGACCGAAGACGTGTGTGCTGTGTCGATTTCATACAACTTCTTCCAAATATGACAGATTCAAATATAAAGCCATTTATTTCTACATGAATTCTGAATAACTGAACGCCGCCACATTTGCTGTGTATTACTTCAATTAAAAGCCCAGTCGTTAATTAGTTTCAACCTCTGAACTCCCCCTGACTCTTTGCCGGTCTTTTTAATTATTTAACTGATTTAACTGCAATGACGAGCCCAGATGAGCCCAGAAACTATCCCGCCCTTCCCTGAACCCCTTAACGGCATGCCCTTCATGTGAGCATGAGAGTGCACCCTTGCTCATATCACACACTCAGTGTCATTTCTGCTTAAAGCCTCTCCTTTCCTGTTCCTGTTTTCGATCTAAAATTAAATCTGTTCTCTTTGAAGCATAACTGCGCGTCTACATATTTATCTCATTTAACTGTTATCAACCCTTTTGTGGTCGACTGTTCCCAGTGTATGAATTGGAGTTCATGTCGAGCTATTCGCATAAAAAGCTGCTGGAGGAAGCTGCGATTGAAACCTGTGCATGCGTTGTGGTGTGTGACTAAACCGCTCTGTTAAGAGTGCTGTAAGACGGCTCAGGCAGTTCACACGGAGCTAAATGACTTGAGCTGAAGAACATTTTACCAAACATGGACTCCTGTACTGAATGGACAGGTCATGTTTAAAGAAAGTGGATGCAAAGATATTGTTATCGAGCCCCACGTTACCTGGGTCAGAGTCTGAGAAATATCCCATGACCTAACAGTACATCTTGGACCCAAAGGTTGAGTCACTTTAGAATCTTACAGTAATGTTATCAACAGCCCAAAAAAGAACGATCTCACTTCTCTTTGTACATCCTACCTGGACAAATGTCTGTTTGAAGTCTGAGGTTGTTCTCCACTCTTTTATTGATAGTGTGATTATAGCATCATAAAGTGAACTCTGTTGCTTTGTCCGCTACTTCCACATTTATTTATTTTTTACATCACTTTTTACCTCAGAAGACCCTGCAATGCAGAACCAATTCACATACGCTCTCGGTTATTCTTATCAGTGGAAGAACTGCAGACAGACCACAGGAGGAACTGAAGTGGTTAGGTTACAGTACTTGGTATACCAGCTCCCTCTCCTTCATGCACTTGAAACTGCCTTTCGGTTCCCTCCCTTGTCTGGTCAACAATAATCGAACCAGAGCTTGAAGAAGGGGAGTAGGCTAACACGAATGATATTACGTTTTGCTTTGGAAAAGGGAACTTGGTGGGCTACTGTCAGCTCTTTTGTTGACATGACTTCAGTTCTTAGGCCATCCTGCTTTAGAAACAACACTTCCAGGGAACTTCAGAGAGTTGGTGTCAGCCCAGTTATGAGCAGCCTCAACTGAAAGACCTAGCAGGTACACAGATGTGAGCAGTGGAATTAAGCCCTTTAGGCTACCAATTTTGTTGTTCCCATCCATAAAGCCCGAGGACATCTACCTTTTATATTCCCATTCAGCCAGACAACAGGAAAACCTTTCCTTTTAGCCTTTAATGTCAAGCGTAAAACTTCCCTGTCCGTCCTTTCAACCGGTCTCTGTCACATTTTACCAAAGGCACGCGTGGGTAGCCTGAGGGGAGTAAATATTTAACTTAAGAGTAACATCACAGTTATATAATGCACATTATACCAAGTGGCAGAACAGGAAACACTGTGAGGCACGGGGTATATCTGTGAACTGTGAAACTCAGTGTTATGAAGCCTGCAGGAGAATACGTTTCTAAATTGAAGACACAGATTTCTTTGACTCTGAGGAAGACACAGTGTATTGAATTGGTAGTCCTTTGCACCAAATTGGCCGAAAGTGATTTGTGTGCTCCAGTATTTTCTTTGGTTCCTGTCAAGATCAGCATGTGACCGGCCCTCACGAGTACAGCCCATTTGGTGCCGCTCAGATTCACACACACACACACACACACACACAAGCCGTTTCATGCCCTGCGCAGCGCACAGCGACACACACAACAAGCTAACATGTTAGCTGTGTAGACGTGGGGTGCCCATTAGCAGAGGAGAAAAAGGTTCGACATACAGGAGAAGAAATGCACAACGTTCTCCTGCACTCGCTCCCTCCTCACCGCTCACTCACCTCTGCTCTGCCAGTCTGCTCGCTCACTCTCTCTCTCTCAAATTCAAATTCAAATTCAAATTCAAATGAGCTTTATTCACATGACAGATCAACAATCTATGTTGCCAAAGCAGTACAGAAAACATTTTGAACAGCAAATGATTAAGATATATCCAATAAACAAATACAACAAATATGAATAAAAGACAATAACAATAACATGAATTCTTTTTGCAGTGTATTTCTATGAAACATTAGGTGTATTTTGTCTCAGTTTGTGACAATCATGAACATATTTAGCAGCTCTCTCTCTCTCTCTCTCTCTCTCTCTCTCTCTCTCGCAGGCTGGGGGAGAGCAGCTTGTTAACAATTTGAATTAATATTCCTGTAATAATATTTGGTTAAGGAGAGAAACTTAAATAATAGAACCTCATTGTATTATCAAAAAGTCTGACCTGATGTGAGTCAGTAAATAAACATGCAAACACAAATAGCGAGTGATAATGAGTGATCATTTCTTCAGGAGTCAGGGAGAATTCAGCTGAACAGAGTGATGAATGCATTACCATTGCTCTTAAAAGAACATTTATTTTAGTTTTAAAGTGTTACAGTTTCAATTCCTGCTCTGCATGTTATTTATTTTGAATAATAAATTTTTTGAAGAGACATGCTTGTGCTTTATAGCTACATGAATCTTATTATTTGACATGATTTAAGCCTTTGTGTGCTCTGTGTTGCAGCCTCTGTGGGACTGGCTCTTTTTCTGGCAGAAGGTTCCAAGTCAGATCCCTGTTGAGCCCCACAGGTTCAGACTTCTAAACCCTCATGTCGTCAGAGAGACGGCGCTGCACCTTCTGAAATACCCTGCGCCCAGACCACGCCTGTGGGGCAGCGACCAGGTAAAAGACACTTCCTGTTCTGCCGCTTAGATCTGTCTGTCTGTCTGTGTGGTTCTTACTAACTATTATTATCAAACTAACTATTTCAGTCAGTATGCAGACGTTTATTGCACAACCAGCGTCTTAATTCAATCTAAGATCTGTTTTAAAGTCACAGACATCATAAACTCTTTTCCAGGTCTCACATCTCAACATTAGTGCAGCTTCTCTGGGTTTCTGAGAGCCCTTGACATGAAGATACAGCATTATTATTTATTTTATTTTTTTAAAAAAGTGGTTCCCCCTTGTGGTTGAATCTTGTTATTGCAATTCTCCCATTATCACACAATCTTTATTTGTTTAGCGCCAATTCATAACAAGTGTTATTTCGAGACACTTTACAAAAAGCAGGTAAAAGACCTTACTCTTAGCTATATTACATTAATCAAACTGTTATAAAAACTGTTGTAATTGTAAAACCTTAAACGTTCTGGTTTTTCCATGCTTTAATTTATCAGTAGTAATATTATGGATGTAAAGGCAGAAAGAGTGGCTGACAATGATAACATCATGACTTTGCTTGGGTCACTGATACAGGAGATTTGTTGCATGTGTTTAAAGAGCAATCTCATGTTTCTACATTGTCCTCATTTGTCCTTAATAACTAAACCACCAGATGTATGTTCTGTAAAATGAATTTAGTGTTTCATTTATCTTTTTTTTGTTCTTCTTTTTGTCCCCCCACAGAATGTGCCCACCATCGGTGTCTCTGCACTCACTCTAGCCAGTCTTCTGTGTGATGAGGTCAGCCTGGCAGGCTTTGGCTACAATCTGTCCCAGCAGGGGGCACCACTGCACTACTACGACCACCTGTCCATGAGTGCCATGCTGCAGCAGAAGATGCACAATGTGGGCAAGGAGACTGAAATCCTACAAAGCCTTGTCAAAGAGGGAACCATCACTGACCTGACCGGGGGGATTCACTGCTCCTTCTGCCCCAGCTGATCCCAAGCCTCTTTCCAATAAAGCACTTTCCTCTCTTGCTTTAAGTGCTTCAAAGAACAAACATCACACTCTTTGTGTTTACAGAGAAGTGGCAATATGAAAGAAATTAGACTTTAGACTTTTTTGGACTTACAAACACTTGGCATGAAAGAGGTGATGGAAAAAAAACAGTTGAGAGTTAAACTTTGCATGAAGGCCAAGAAAATGGAGCGCAATAAGTAATATTTGTCTCAAATGACACAAAAACATCAGGAGAGAACTTTAGGAAACGTGAATTTCTCCTGGGATTTTAGTGTCTTTCTGCAGCAGATTCATTCGTCAACAATAGACTTTTAAACTAACCAGTGAAATATAGGTACACCCATGGCATCTACAAGTTCTCATCCATTGGTTTGTGCAATACGGTTGTGAAGCTTAGAATTAGGCTTGATGACAGTCGCCTTCTTGTGATTTGTAAGCCAGGAGTGACCATATTTGAATAAGAGGTTGGAGCCTGGGAGGGTCGGTATCACCTAACACCAGATGGGGTGCTGATTTCAAGTAAAACAAACATTCAAGGGGTGTCTTTTGTACAGCTAAATGGTTAGCTATGTTTTTCCTGTTGCCATGCTAATGACTTGCCAATCGCTTTATGTTCTTATTTGTTTGGGACCGTATTTCACAATTACCTCTGCAGTGTTTCCATTCCGTTGGTTAATTTCTTTTAGTTGTATACAGTCGAGTTGACTGTAGTAATACATGTTTAACTTTCCTCCTGCTGTAGTTAGCACTGCGTCAAGTTCTACAGTACTTCCTCATCGTTATTATGATGGTAGTTCTTCATGGTTCAATGGTGAGTCATAGTTATCATCAAAACGTGGTTATAAAGACATTCTGTCCACTTTCAGACTGAGCGTCGGAGCCTCTGATCAGACGTTGGTATTAATGTTCACACTGGAAGATCTAAATCTACATCTAAGGAAACGGTGAAACAGAACTGGTACTTTTGTGACATAGATCTGTATTTATAAGCACATTTATTAATTTATTGTAAATCCGCTCAATTATTTTACAGCTATTGTTTACTTTTTGGTCTGTGATTTTTTTGGTTGAGTTATACATGAAGATTTACATTAATTCATATTTTTTATTTGTATTTTGTCAAATAAACTGCTCAAACTAAGTTTATTTATAGAAAAGAAAAGTTTTAATTAAATCATAACATTTTGTATTTTTGTAATGTCGTCATTGAAAACTGTGTCATGTCAGATGTAACTTTTACAACGTCATGCTTTTAATCTGCTATTTGAGTTCTTACAACATGTTCTTCCTTCATTTTGAGGGGTCGTGTTGTCAGTAGAAGTACTAAATTGCGTACATGGCTGATAACAGGACATGCTTATTATTAAAAAAGGTAGATCTATGGAATAAAAAAACAGTGAAATGCTCAATTTAATGTGAATTTTACCTACGAGGTTTGTTTAAACTGGACTCTGGTCTTTCTGAGTTACTAATATGTACCACTCCCATTATTACTGTAAGACATCACATGAAAATGTAAGTTTATGATGCTGCTCCCTTTGTTACGCTGATTTTGTATTTCACAAGTCGTAATTTATTGCTCTGTTTCCCCTAATTAAAATGTAAATAAATAAGAACAAGAAAACATTAGAGAGGATTATTGTTGTGTTTTGTTTTTCTATGTAATTATTCTTGAAGTATCCATTTAACATCTTTGAGTGGACTATGACAACCAGCATTTATCGACTTTATTAGCGTCCTAGGTATAACTTCATTAGAGGCGGCTTTGACTCAGTTGGTAGAGTCGGTCGTCTCTTAAGCGGAAGTTTGGTAGTTCGATCCCCGCAGCCACATGTCTGATGTGTTCTTGGGCAAAGAGAAAGGTACATTGGTTAAATCATGTAAGGTTGGCACAGTTGGTAGAGTCCGTCATCTCAAGGTCAGGGGTTCAATCCCCACCTGCAACCACATCTCCGATGTGTCCTTTGGCAAGACACTTAACCCCAAATTACTCCTGCAGCTTCGTCAGCGGAGTGTGAATATGTATGAATGAGATTAGTTACTTCTGATGGACACTTTACAGAGCAACCTCTACCATCAGTGTGTAAAGTGTGAAAGCACTTTGAGTAGTCTGATGACTAGAAAAGCCCTAAACAAGCTCAAGTCCATTTAACCATTTACTTGTCAACCAGCAGATGTCGCTGCAAATCTTTACATTAGAGTAGCGTAATGTTATTATGGATGAGAAGCTTATTCATTGTTTATGATTTGTAATTCCAGCCATGACCGTTAGATAATATATATAGATGATAGATACTTAGAGTAGAAAAGATAAGAATAGTCAGATAATATATAAGAAGGTCATCTAATGTAACAGTATTCAGGATTGCACACAGACCAGGACTCTCCTCATCCTAAAAATGTTTTAGTATGAAAGAAAAGAACAACTACACTTGTATTAAAAATTAACTAACTGAATATTCTTAACTCCTTTACTGTTTTTATGAATACGCTAAAGTGTCGATTATTACGAAGAAAAGCTTTGTTAATTCAAATCAATGCTTTTATTTTGAAACTTGTATCCGGAAGTGGATTTTTTTTTGTGTGTGTGTGTAACAGTATTTAGTGCGCGTGGTCCGAAGTGAGAAGCCGGTGAGCTCTTCTGAACAGGTGGTGTGTGAGTACTTACTTCAAGATGTTCCTAACGCTTTGTTTACTCAAAATGCAGCAAATAACAGTGTTTGGTAGTTTAAAGACCTCACGCTTTATAACAGTACATTCAGCAGTGATACAGTCACACAGCTTGTTTAAAGAGAGCTCACACACTGAACTCCATTCAACTATCTGACAGCTTCATGTTTTCATGGTTCATGACTTGAAGCATAAACGCGTTACTGCACAAAAACCGCAAAATGTTTCTCACGGGTTTGACCTTTGAACTCTGTTAACATTCACCCTTTACAGTAATCACTATGGCAACATTAAATGCCTGCTCACACTCCAGCTGAATTTGAATTCATCAGTGAGAGTTGTTTGAGCACTTTGTAATGAATCTGTAATTAACGCTGCTTTGTAGTGATGTAAGACTGTACTACAGTAAAAATGAATAGACTTAGAAATGAATATTGTTTTCCAAGTCACCTTGCTCCGCTTGAGGGTCGTAAGAGGTCGAAGTCTAACCTGTAGATTAACGAGGACATTTGCATACAGTTTCAATCTCCTGGCTGGTGTCATGTCTGAATCTGCTTCTTGGGAGATTGGTGTCCCGTAGGGGGGGGGGGGGGGGGGGGGCATTATTTAATAAAATAATGACTGTAAAAGTTAATTTTGTGTTGTTGATGTGTGTGTCTGTATGTCTGTGGTGAAATCATTGTGTGCAGCAGAACTGTGGTCGACATGATAATCTATAAAAAACACTGAAGGTGATCTTAAGGCAGGTTGCAGGTTTTGAGGTGAAAGGTGACTTGTACCTGATTGGCTGACTTCCATGAACCCACAGTCCTTTTATTGGTTTCTTGGTATGCATCCCCCCCCTCTCACCCCCCCCCCTCTTGGACAGCGGTCGTTATCATAGGTCGTTATGCACGCGTGTGCTCTGACATGGTGGGCGGAGCAGACCCCGGATCAACGTGCTTGTGAGGAAGTAGCCCACGACGTCAAGATCTTGCCCTTGCTTTCTACATGAAACACTTCCTGAGCATAATTTATTCAAGTGATCCTGAGTCAAAGAAATGTAACTTCATGTGATTTCATGTTGGAACCATTGTGTATAAGATATAGAAGACAGCCTGGCTTGTCTACATTTTATCACAATAATATACAGTTAATTATACAGTTAATTTATGAAGAACCAGGGAGAGAACTACATCACAGATCAATATTAAACGGCACAATAATGGGAACTTTAGCATCTTTTAGCATGCCTAAAAAACAGTTGTGCATTCATTATGCAATTCCTCAATTGTGAATAATGTAAGACAAAATGAAAGAAGCTGTTGTTGATTTAAAGAATTATATATCATGCATGGTCAAGATTACTTTAATGATGGCTACATTTTAATACATGTAAACTCAGAGGTAAAGAAACATGTTTGCATATGAAAGGCAATTCAGACTTCAAAAGCTCGTACCACACACAAAACGTGTTTTCATAGATTGTTTTATCCAGTACAGTAACACCAGAGCTCAGAGTGTAATACTGACTAACTGAATCTATTGTCTCCGTTAAAGAAGACGCTTAAATCCAACATGAAACTTTCTTCATTCACTGTTTGAACAAACTTTACTGAAAAGAAAGGACCATTTACATTTGACGGACAATTTAAGCATAAAAAATGAGTTAAACGTACAGTCAGCTTTGTTCAGGCCTCTGTTATTATCAGATAACAGTCTTTTTAAATGGTAATATTATCAACCTATATGTCGGGGAAAAAAATTTATAATAACATTTAGACTTATGGACCTTTTGTGGGACATACTTTGAAATGTGAACACGTTTTAAGCCCACTACTCAAGGATTTCTAAAAACTGTTAAGGCCAAATTTTTGTCCAACTACTTACCTAACTATGGATAGCACGTATAGTTCATCAAATCGAAACTGATGCGTACAGTGTGGGGACCATAACTAATGAGACATATTTATTTCTCTGTACAAGGCTGTAAAAATGTTAATTTATGATGTAAAAACAGATTTTATGAATGGGGTGTTTGTGACTTCCCCGAGCCAGCCTCAAGTGGACACTGGACCAACTGCAGGATTTTGCACTTCCGCATTGGCTTTACAGAAAGAGACAACTAAAAGTTAGAAATATGTCCCAAAGAAAGATATATAATAGATCATGCAAAAAAAAAAACAGAGCAAAATATATTTGAAGAAATAATACACAAGTGGTTAGTTATCGGTTTAGTTGCTTCACAGATAATTGTCCCGTTAACAGGAATGCATCTCCTCTATTCTGCCGCTTTATCTTTGATCAGCTTTTATCTTACAGTGTCCAATCATCTCAGCCGACCACACAGGGGTCTTAGGTAATCAGGGGAAAGGTGAAGGGACTGAGATGATGATTGCACTCTGAAAAGTCACATGGTTTTTTTTTTTCCTTGATGAGTAAGATAGATTCTGCAGATGTGTAAGTCAAACAGTGCATGATGAGGAAGCGTAGTTTTGTGATGAGTTAATTCTACTATAACCGCTTCATATTTGACCGTCTGTTGTGACAGTGAAGTCACTTTGGTTTGTCTCTGCTCGTGTTTATGGATAAGTTCATTGATTGTTTGCAGCCAGTCTTTGAGTCTGTTCGAGCGTCTTGCAAAATCAAGCCAATCAGAGCCCTCCCTGAGTCCAGTCTGACCTTTGATTGGTAGATTGACCATAGGTTACATATCACCTTGTATCAGTGTTTGTGAGTGTCTTTTGTGCCAGTAGTGCATCAGTGTATGCATTGTGTTGAAGCAGAGCGTCGTGGGTTGCTGTAGCAGCAGACGTATCAACACACCCTCCCCCCCCCAGGGTCACGTTCGTCAGATGAATAGCTGAAAAAGAAAAGCAAGAAGTGTCTCACCTGTCTGCTGCTTGTTACAGGTGAGTGTTGAAGAAATTCAAAAGGATTAGATAAGTTCACTGGCATACAGAATTGGCTCTGCATTGGGTTTACTGGAGGTGGAGCAAACCCGGTAATCTTGTTTCTCTGGCTTTGAGGTTGGCAGTAACTTCTGAAGAATGTTAATAATAAACTCGCAGTTGTACTTTCATGCTCCCTGAGATTGAAGAAGAAGGGTTTTGTTGCAATATCACCCAATCGAAAGGAATATCTCACAGACTGAAGATAGATTATTCTGAGTTCCCCCAGAATGAGATGCTAATAGCCTCACATTGCCTTCAAACCTTTGTCCATACACTGGTGTAGGCTTATTTGTGAAGGTCAAAGATGTCATGAATGTTCATTAATATGGTCATTGGTTCCACGTGACGTAGCGTGTTTTTCATTTGTTGCCTCAGAAAAGTTAATAAGAAACAAAAATTAGATTTTTGGGGGAGAGTCAACCTCTAAAGAACTTAAGGCAGGATATTTACTTTTATAAGAACGTTAAAAAAAACAGATAGCTTCACTTTAAGCTACCCTGGGGAGTTTTTTGCTGGTTTTGAAACAGACTTAAATTAATATCAAAGCCTCTTTATGGCCCACAAGAGCAAACAAGACCATCGGCTGCGAGGTTAATTATTTCTGTTGAGTTGTTTTTAATACCTGAAACGGCTGGTGTCATGAAGTATTGGCAGCATGCTGCGGAAACAGCCGTTTGTTGTTACATTTTCTACAGCAAAGATTCTTAATGGAAGAATGTGCAACATTTTATACATAAATACATCAGAAATCAAGTATCTCCTCTGTAAATGTCTCTCTGAGTCATGACTGTCTACAATGAGTGAGAAGTGTGAGTCCTGCCAGCTGAAGTGTTGTTGGAGCTGTGTTTCCATCAAGTTTCCATGGAATAAAGCTGTTTTAGTCAAGGACTAGAGAAAAGAAGAATAGCCTACTCACTGCTTATTTTGATGTTGTGTAACTGTCTTTAGATCACGGTCATTCAGTGTCAATATATGTGCAATATGAAGCTATGAGTTAAAGTGTGCTAACATTAGCCTGCTAACACAACATTGCAGGCCACACAGGTAATTGCAGCTCAAGCGAAGAACAATTTCTGTCAGCCACTTGCGCTTAATGCTTAATTATAGGGCCTTCTAATTCATAACTCCGTCATGTGAGTGGAGAGGGGGTTGGAGGTGTGTCGCTGGAGGAGAGCGGAGGCTTCAGAATAGCGGAGGTGTGGCCAAACAGCAGTCTGTTTTGGTTTAATGCTGGTGCTGAAGGGCGACATCTACTGGACATTAAAGGTGCCTAGTCTTCCTTTGATGAATGATACATTTGAATGTTAAAAGATAGGCGGAAACTTAACACAAGTACAGGAGTCAGGCTAGTTCATCAAAGCGTTAATAGCAATGGCTTTGTCCAGAGCGGATGCCAACATCAACACAACCCGAAGGTTCCTCACAGGAGCTTTGAGCCTGCCTCAACGGCCTCTTTGCTTTTTTATGATTGAAAGTTAAGTTGAGATATAATTTTAAAAAAGGTGTCCAACATTGTTTGGTATCAAAACACTCCTTCAGCAACCAATGAGGCTGTGTCTGAAACCACACACTACACACTGCCTACTGCATACTCAAAATATATACTGTATACTAACCCGACCGTTACTATGCTGTTAGTAACAGCTCACGTGATGTACTTCAGTTCCCAGCCAGCATCAAGCCAAAGTTTGATACATGCATGTTATGCAGATGTTGTAAAACCAATGAGTAATCATGTTTTAATAATCGTGATCTCAGTATCAATAATGAACTTTTTCCATAATCAAGCGGCCCTAACCACAAGTCAGCGACCTCTCTTTATGTTGGAATATCATTTCTCACATGAACATTTTAACAAGAGTGTTAATGAGATTCTTAGAGGTCCCTTCATCCTTTTTACTTTGAAATATTTCTAATCAGTGGATAGAATGTTTCCCTTTGACCTGTTTGTTCATGATTGGCTGATTGATTTGACCTTTGACTCATTGTGTCTAACCAGAGACATCAGCATAGCTGTCCCTGATGTAATTAGTGTTGTTCCACAGTTTGTATTGTTAACATCAAATCTGGGCCTAAGATCTTCTTTGTTATCTTCAGGCTTCGATTGGAGGTGGACTTGTTCCTGTTCTCTCCCCCACTGAGTATTTCTAATCTGTTTACTGTTAAACAGCCTGAGTAGTGTGTGTGTGTGTGTGTGTGTGTGTGTGTGTGTGTGTGTGTGTGTGTGTGTGTGTGTGTGTGTGTGTGTGTGTGTGTGTGTGTGTGTGTGTGTGTGTGTGTGTGTGTGTGTGTCTTACAACTCCTTAGGTAGACACAGACACCATGGGAACCTGCCATACTAACCCGTACAGAGACAATGATTCAAATATACAGTGTAATTACACCATGAAATGAGTCACAGCCAAACAAGATAGCCTGTTATTATTCTACTGCCATATCAGCAGTGCAAAATGAGGTCATCGTAGTTGACCTTGAGTGAGCGACAGACTCAAGAAATTTAAAAGCCTTATGTCTTACTGAAGTATACTGATACTCTGAAATTCCTAGGTGTACATCATTTTTATGAAGGGCACTTAGAAATGAAAAAAAGCCATTAACTATATCAATCATTAATTATACATTGTGTCACCCAGGGGGTCTATTGCATTGCACCAACAGACAACAGGTTGTTGTGGCTATCTGCACCTGCAAACACATGTGAAGTGCTCAACGTAAAGCAGCCTAGATTCTCTGTTTACATCACGGTGGGAGAATGCATTTATTTTTGTTTTATTCAGTTGTGCTTTTTTTCTTTATTAGAGAGGCAGAGAGACAGAGGCAGGACATGTTGGGAGGAGAGAGTGTGTGGGGGAGGGGGGTGACATGCAGCAAACGTTTGAGGTTGGATTTGAACCCACGGCTGCTGGGATGAGAACTATAGCAAACATACATGAGACACGCAACATATCCACTAGGCTATCGGGCGCCCGAGGTGACAGAATTTAATGACATTAAACTACAACCTCTAATTTTGGTTTAATAAAAAAAAACAATTGCTCGTATTGTGCATGAAAAAATTACTTACTTAGAATAAAGATCATTGAAGCCGTTTTTTGTTTTGTAAACAAGCATCTCATAATGAGAGGTTGGGTCCTACCTCCTCTCAAGTTTTCTACTGTTTAGTTTTTTTTAATTCTACATATTTCAGCATTTCATTTTCTTTTGCTCATCATTTTACAAGTGGTAAAACTCGTTCTTCAACGCAATAGAGCCTTATTAGAGGAGATGAGTGTGTTTTTATTTTTACTCATGCATTTTCTTTTGATGACTTAAACTCGTGGAACGCCTTTCAGCAAACCCTAAAGATCGAGTTCTTCCTTCTCTTGCAGAGTTAAGGATGGCGAGCCAATTTGTGTTTTAAGTGATCTCAGTTGCTTTTTTAAGTGTTTGTTCTTGTTGTTTAGCTTGTTTTAAATGAGCTCGTAACCTCAAAGTTATTTGAAATGAGGGAAACCTTTCATGTCCTTTTGAGAATAAATTGATAACTGTCTCTATCTAATGTATATGTATTAGATAACAGCAGGGGATCCATGTATTTAGAAAGTGTGTCTCAGGAGAAAATTAATTGTCATCAGAGTGTGTACAGATATACGAGGTTTACATTTGTTCTTCTGAGTGGAATCTATTGATAGGCGTAATAGGGCTTGCAGCTAAATCTGTCACAAACACAGGCATTTCATCATAACATAGCTGACAGATGTATCTAGTCGAGTCTAATGGATCCCCTTGTATAGCATAAAGCATCACCTGCAGATTAAAAAAAGCTTTAGCCTAAGCTGCTTTCTGTGTTCAGTGCAAATGATCAAATAAAGCATTTGGCTGCTAAAATAAACTAACGTAAATCTAGTGAAATCTCAATTCCTTGGGAGTTGGGACGCTGTTCAAAATGTCAATAAAAACAGAATAGAGGTCATATATATTCAAATATATCCGTAGTTATGAACAGAGTGGAAAGTAGCTACAATGTGGTAGACATAAATAAAAATTGTAGTTCAGTAAATTCTAAATAAACAGTTACAGGGCAGTGTTGATTGAATATAAACATTTATATTGCAGTGGCTGAATACTTAAAAATGATTTAAATAAATGACATGTGTTATCTCTCTTTAGGTCCCCTCCTGGCCAGCCTCCGTCCACACACTCCATCCTTTAACACACGCTAACACTGCTGCCACCATTGTCAGAAACACCCTACCGGCACCATTCCAGCACAAAGTTACCACTCCATCCTCACAAGCGAACCAGTGTGCTCTCCACAAACACACACTCGCCCTTTGACCTCATCAGGAGCAATATGCTGAGCCAGGAGTTCCTGCAGAGGCTGAGGTTGCCAGACCTGGAGGATGTCAGCCAGTACATCAGCAGTGTCTCCGCCCCCATGTTAGTCAGCATGGGGGCAGTGGCAGCTGCAACAACCTACTACCTGGCCACACGACCCAAGCCCCTCCCACCAATCTGTGACCTTAACATGCAGTCAGTCGAGATTCCAGTAAGTTCCAGAGCAAAGTCTGTCTGTCAGCTTGTTTTATAACACAAAAGTGATGCCCTCATATAATGTCATAGTGGTCTTTAAATGATTATTAAGTAAACAGGATTAAAACAGGAGAGTTCTGTTGATTCAGACAGGGTCCAGTTTGTAATCATTTATTTTACATTCATTTGATCAGGCAGTCCCTTTGAGATTAAACATCTCTTATACAGGAGAGACCTGGCCAAGATAGCGGCCGTATGAAATGATGGAACACAATGAAAACCGACTTGAAGAACACAACATGATCATATATGACTCTAATTAAAAAGCTGTGTGGCCTCCAGTCAAGGAAAACTTTCATGTATTCATTTATAGCTTGATTTAGAAAACAGCAGAAACTACACATGTGGAATAAATTGCAACGTCCAGGTGATGCATATCTATCTGAGTTTTAAGTTGAATTCATGTTTGATTTCTTGTTTTTTATCAAGCCCCTGAACCAAACAAACTGTAACTGTGTGTTAATAAGGTACTAGAGATGCTGAAAATGTTGCCGGTATTACTTTTGGATCAGTGGTAACTCACATATTCTACGTTTTTTTGTCTTTGTATCAGGATGGAGAGTTTGCACGCCGGTCGGTTCTGATGAATGGAGACTCTCTCTTGACACATTACCACGATGATGCCAGAACCATGTATGAGTTTTTCCTCAGAGGGGCCCGAGTATCAAGTAAGTTACTAATGCTTTCGACCAAATACATTACGCTTTACTAGCTGTCATTGAGCTTCATGCTTTTTGCTTTGAAGCTCTTTGCATTTATTCCAATACAAATGTAAGTGTGGGGCTAAATAATGGAAATCATCATTTTGTTTTGAAGTCGTGAGAATATTCTGCATCTTTGTCATTAGTGTTTAAAGGGAGAATAAAAGAGACGAGCAGACCAATGTCTTCTGAGCCTGTTTTTTTTTTCCTAACAATATCACTTCTTGGGGTCATTTTTGCCTTTATTGGACATGAAAGCTGAAGAGGGACAGGAAATTTTGGGGGGAGAGAGAGTTGGGGTGACATGCAGTAAAGGGCCGAGGTCAGATTTGAACCTACGGTCGCTGTGACGAGGACATTAGCTTCTGTACATGGGGCGCACGGCAGAGCCACTAGGCTACTGGCGTCCCTATTTCCTAACAGTATAAACATTAGACTTTTGTCAGTTTGCACTTGTTACATCAGATCATCTTTCCAGCCAACATACACAATGTAGTTTTACACATTTGTGCCAAAAAAAGCATAGGTAGGTTTGGTATGTTTATGTTATAAGGGAGTGTGTTGTGATATCACTCTGTGTACTTTAAAGTGTTTGTGATAAATGTATTTCCTTCGTCTTCATCTGGCCTCATTTTGCTTCCTCTTTGTCCTAAGATAACGGCCCCTGTTTGGGCTCCAGGAAACCAAAGAAGCCCTATGAGTGGATGTCCTACAGCCAGGTAAGACTCTATATTAGAGAATTGCTTCATGATGCCTCAGAAGAAGGTTAATATGTGTTTTCGGACCAAACAGTTCTGGGGACTTTTTGAAGAGGAACTATCCACTAGGGAGTTCCCTGGGAACTACACACCATGGACACTTTTTCTATCTGCATTCGCACGGCCATGGTCACTTCTCTGAAGCAGGAGCTAAAAAGGTTCCTCTAAACGGGGTTCTAGAAACTAAAATAGTTCATAGTTCCTTATGCTGCACAAATGAAGCCACATTAAACATGCATAAAGAGCATAAAGCCTAAATGAAGAGCCACATTTAGACTGGGGGAAAATCTTATTCACTGTGCAGTTTTTACACTTCTTGCAGGAACAGGTAACTTTCAGGAAAAAATCAGTTGATGTGCAAAAACAACTTTTTGAGAATGTTTATAAATTACAATTAGATTTTGTGATATGTGAATACTCTTAAACATGTTGAGGAGTCTGGTTTTGGGTCTCGTTAGTCACATGTACAGCATGTTACAAAGAAGAGTTTACTCTCTTGAGGGACGATGGTGACACTGGCGGGCAAGTAGTGTAATTTCCCACCAGGTAACAATGTCTGCTACAGGAAGCCTAACATGATTCTGCTTCCAGGGCTAATCAGCAAACACAATCTATCTCATTTATACAACACATTTATAGCTGACAGTTAGCCCCTTAACTGTCCAGGAGAAAACAAGCCAAAGTCCAAAGCAGTTTCCTCTTTGTTTCTGAAATGTTGTCGACTCCTTTCTTTTGGCTCATCGTCATTTATTTTAAGTTCATTTTCCTCCTTGTGCAGGTTTGTTTGAAGTGTAGGCAGTATAGGCCAATGCTGGAAGAGTGTTTATTTCTGCAGGATTTTTCTTCCACTTTAATCACCTGAAGAGTCATATATACTGTATATATGATATTAATGCATATTGCATGTGCATCAGTATTTGCAGAACACGGCTAACGGGACTACCCACTCTCTGAAACAACCAAACAACAACAACCTTATGTTTCTGTCACAGTCTTTTCTAGATCCTGAAATCAAAACGTAGATGAGAGACTGAATTCGACTTTTCTCTTAGACCAGTTGAAGTCCAATAACCTGACATGGTGCACACATCATGTTAACATAAACAAATATGCCCAGCCCAAAACAGGCTTAAAAGACACCATTATTAATACACAGAGACTAAAGACCAAAAGTCGACACTTAATGATAATAATACCAACAAAACAAACCATCCTGACGTGTCTTCCAGGCTTTAGAGACAAACATGGCCGACTTATAAACACTGGGTGGTTTGGACTTTCTCGTTCCATGCCCTATTGTTTACGGTGAGAAGGCAGACTCATAGGGCAGAACAAACACCTAGCTGTGGGAGTGTCACCCACCTGGGGGAGGGGTTACTGCCCTTTGTGATGTCATGAAGGGAAAATCTCCAAAGGGCCTGTTGGAGCACACATTTTCTGAAAAGTGGAGCGGATGGGCTTTTCTCATAATTGGGGGGTTTATAGACAGACTAGGGACACATATTAGTGTTAGAAAAACATGGTGAAGTGTATTTTTTATAATATGTGACCTTTAAATCATTTAATGCCATTTAAGTGTTAACATATTGTTATTGTGATTGTTTGGTATTTGTGCAGTGTATAAATCAAAGAAATCGTTATATTCCTCATTTGTGTGTGTGTGTGTGTGTGTGTGTGTGTGTGTGTGTGTGTGTGTGTGTGTGTGTGTGTGTGTGTGTGTGTGTGTAGGTAAGGGAGCGAACAGAGAATCTGGGTTCAGCATTTCTTCACAAAGGACACTCCAAGACCACCGACTCCAATGTTGGCATCTTCTCTCAGAACAGACCTGAGGTACAAACTTGTCCGCTATCTGTGGACATCACAGAACATTCAATAAGTCACATTCAAGCCATTTAAAAACATTTAACCCATAACTCAGTCGGTTAACTGTAGTCTAAAAAGTTAGCAATTATAGAGTGTAAAAGTAAGACTTTAAATACTTTACCCCCACAATATTTGTTTTTCTTTGGTTACTTAATTGAATAGCTGTTTGTATGTAGAAACTCAGGTAGATATATTGATATATATATGACCTAAGTACTGACATTAACAAGATTCTCCTTGAATGATTGAATGTCTGTGTGTTTCTGTGTAGTGGACCATCAGCGAGCTGGCTTGTTACACCTATTCTCTGGTGTCGGTCCCTCTGTATGACACACTGGGGACAGAAGCCATCACCTACATTATAGACAAAGGTAAATAAAGTGCAGCATTAGTACACAATTTACTAACAGTTTGTTTGGTTGGTTGTTGTTTGTTTTGGCTCAAGATCTGTAGGTGACCTGATTCGTCTACATTGTCATGACCCGACTCTTAGGGCCTGGCAATAACAAGGGAAACATACAGGTTGACTGAACAGTATAAAAGTTCATGACAATAAATACCAAAAGTCATAATCATTTACACAGAGAGTGAGCTGTGGGTGTGTGTGCGCCAAGTGGTACATAAGCAAACTACAACAAAACATGGTGCAACGAGGAGCTGGGGATGATGCGAGGCTAAGAGAAAATATGTTTTTGCTAATGTTAGGATACTTTCTATAAATTCTCGTGTTGCACATCAACTTTTTGCTCAAATAAAGCCTATAACAGAGACGTTACACACATCTTCTTCATTGCATCCACGCTGTTTTTTTGCTGTTGTTACAACATTCCGACTTTCCAAACTGAAATCACATGAACACACTGAAGTCGGAAGAACGACTTCCCAACTCTGAAACTGGGACCATACGAGGAGCACATGAATGCAGCATTAGGTAGCCTACACCTGGGAGACTGGCCAGGAAGTCCCAGGTGTGGCGAAACACCGCCCACCAGCGAACCTGCAGGGAAACAAAACACACACAGAGAGAGAAGGGCACGACAACACCACACCCTGCTAGCAGGAGGGGGGTAACAACATGTGTTTGTATGTTTTTCCCGCAGCTTCCATCTCCACTGTTGTGTGTGACGTGGTGGATAAAGTGAACCTGGTACTGGACTGTGTGAAGGACAGGGAACACTCTGTGAAAACCATTGTAGTGATGGAGACGCCCAGTGCGGACCTGGTCAGCAGGGGGCAGCAGTCTGGGATCCACATCCTCAGCATGCAGGAGATGGAGGTCAGTACACCACTGTTCATCTCAGTCTTCCTTCTAGAATCATAAGCACTTTATTTATCGAGCACTTTTAGAAAATCTTAGTGTTATTTTTAAGTATACTTTATTTGCTTTTTCACTTTATTTATTTCTTACTTTATTTCACCAAGACAATATGATTTTTTTGTTGCACAGGCTATCGGGAAGGAAAACCATCGCCAACCAGTGGTGAGTTAACACTGGCCTGTCAAATAACCTCTTAGCAGCCCATGCTTAAAATGACAATGGTGCTGTGTTGATGTTTGGCTTTGTTTTAATCATTGTTATTGTCATACCGTCAGCCTCCAAGACCAGAGGACATGGCTGTCATCTGCTTTACCAGCGGAACAACAGGTGACACACACACACACACACACTTCCAGAATTGCAGCCACAACATAATTTCTACAATATATTAACAAAGTGCTGTTGAATTCTAATCTAAAGTTTTTTATTTTTTTTTATTTTTTATTTACCTTCAGGAAACCCAAAGGGGGCGATGTTGACTCATGGGAATATAGTGTCCAACTGCTCGGCCTTCATGAAAGTGACAGAGGTGAGGCACTGATGGTGGGAAAGTAGTTCTGCCTCCTCCCTCACTTGTGTTTATAGATCAGACGGTGACGGATAACCAAGATAGCGACAACTAAAACTCACAAGCAAATGGTCGAGTGTGGTTATAAAAGATCGGTGGGGTGAAGTGGAGACCCTGCATCACATTTTATTAGAAAAAATACACAGTTTAAGCGTTAACAAGAAGAGGTAAAAGAGCAATTTATATGTAGCACCTGACACTTTACCAGAAGTAGCTAAACAAAGGGACCGGATAAAAACATGACACATCATATTCAGTGTCACAGGGACATAAATATCATGCCTTGAAGCAGCAGTCTGAATACAGCTATAGTGTCTTCAACAGAATTAGAAAGAAGTGGAGCAAAATAGAAACCTGAATAGTGAAACCCTAAATGAGGGTACACATAATGTTGGAAGGATGTAACAATGAAAGATAAAGCTTAATCTGTATTTGTTTTAAAGTTAAAGGGCTGCTATAAACTCTAATATGACCTCTTTGCCTCCAGTCTTGTGCTCAGACCACCACAGATGATGTCATGCTGTCCTTTCTGCCTCTGGCCCACATGTTTGAGAGGGTGGTGGAGGTACAAACATTGAAACTAAAAGCTCTCCCTTGTTTCTGTGTTTGTCTGTGTTGTGTCCACTTTCCCATGTGTCTGTATACCTGTGTGTTTGTATACCTGTGTGTCCGTTTGTCTGTGTGCTTGTATGCCTGTGTATGTGTGTATTATAGGTTCGCTGTCCATTGCATCCCAGTGATGTCCATATTTCCTTCCTGCCCTTGGCTCATATGTTTGAGAGAGTAGTACAGGTATTGTGTCTTCCACTAGTGCCCTCAGTCCCCCTTTGTAGAAGACAGAGCAATATTCTGAAAATAGCCTCTGTGTTAATGTCTTTGATTGCATACTGATGTTGACCTGTTAGTTGTCCTCGTCTGTTTCTTTCTCTTGATGCTGTCAGGGAGTCATGATAGTGCAAGGAGCCAGTATTGGCTTTTTCCAGGGCGATATCCGTTTGCTGTCAGATGACCTGAACACACTGAAACCTACCGTGTTCCCTGTGGTTCCCCGACTCCTCAACAGGATGTATGATAAGGTAGGTGGGCAGTGTGCATCTGAATGTCTTCTGCATTAACATATTTTAAAAGTGTCACTGCTTGCATGCAATGTCATGAGGAAATATTCAATGAGCCAAAAAAAAAAAAGATACTGCAATGCCATTTTTTCCCATATTATGCGGCCCTGATAAACATTAGAGATAACAGCGACACTCGTCCTAATAATCATGGTGGGCCTTCGTGTGTGTCTTCTGCAGATCTTTGGGCAGGCCAACACCACCCTGAAGCGTTGGCTGCTGGAATTTGCTTACAGAAGGAAGGCGGCAGAGATAATGAAAGGTATCGTGAGGAGAGACAGTATCTGGGATCAACTCATATTCAGAAAAGTCCAGGTACGCAGAGCATCTACTCTTTATAAGCCATGTGTTTAATCATCGTTCTTGCATTCTGTTCTATGCATTGGAGTTGAATGAGTTAACTGTGAGTGTGCTGCCCTCTACAGGCCAGTCTCGGAGGCCGTGTGCGTCTCATGTTAACAGGAGCTGCTCCCATCTCTCCTGCTGTCCTCACCTTCCTCAGGGCTGCCGTTGGCTGTCAGGTAACTCCTACACTCAACTTTAATTAGGAATAATGTTTCACACGTTATCCAGTCCTTTTTATGACCTGTTTTGAGTTCTGCATGAAATTACTTTAAATTCTAGTGTTGTTATTGTGTAGAAATGTTGCTGTCAAATCTGCAATCATGACGTTTCTGTATCTCGGCTGCTCTGTTTCACGGTCGGTCTTAAGTTGCATAACCCCCTGGTGTCATGATCGCGCTGACAATAATTACGATAATCATTGTTTTGTTTTATTCTCAGTTCTATGAAGGCTATGGACAAACAGAGTGTACTGCTGGATGTACCATCACCCTGCCCGGAGACAGTACTGCAGGTAAGAAATAACAACAATGATACTCAACACTTCTCAATGACACCAAGATAATGGGATCACACTACACCAGTGTTTGTGTCACTGCCCAGGCTATATACAGTATGAACCTGTCTATATACAAGAACAACAACGCTAACCTTCACTGCATTCAACTTCCTTCTTGCTTTTCTGAATCACTTGAGGCATGTTGCACTCCCGTAGCTTTACAACAACTGAACATGACTTCTTACCGACAGGTCACGTTGGCGCTCCTCTGCCCTGTAACTCCATAAAACTGGTGGATGTGGCTGAGATGAACTACCTGGCATCGAACGGGGAAGGAGAGGTGAATAACACACACAACCCGATATGATTACAGATACTCTTTTCTCAAGGTAAATCACTCATAAATATGCGTGTGTTTTGTTTCCAGGTGTGTGTGAAGGGTCCTAATGTGTTCAAGGGCTATCTTAAGGACCCCGAGAAGACGGAGGAGACCATCGATGAAGATGGTTGGCTTCACACCGGAGATATTGGAAAATGGCTTCCTGTAGGTTAACTTAACAATGTTTGTGTGCATCCTCACTTTGCTCATTTTTTAACTTACATTTGACACTTTTAATGCATGTCTGTATTCATGTAAACCTGTTAATGCTTGGTAAGTACTCAGTTAAAAAGCCATCTTGTGTTTTTGTGTGAGAACAGAACGGCACACTGAAGATCGTGGACAGGAAGAAGCACATCTTCAAGCTTGCACAGGGGGAGTACATCGCTCCTGAAAAGGTCGAGAACATCTACACGAGGAGTGATGCAGTGGCACAGGTCTTTGTGCATGGCGACAGTCTGCAGGTGGGTGGAGGAACTCGTGTAGACTTGTTTTCTGTATGAGAACCATTTACAAAAACAGCAGGAACACCTAGTTACTTTTGGCTTCTTCTGACAAAGTCTCCATAACACAGTTGTTAAATAAGTTTAAATATCACTATTGTACTAACAGTGTCTTGTATGTGCTGTTTTTGTCTCCAGGCTTGCCTGGTAGCAGTGGTGGTTCCTGACCCTGACTTCCTCTCTGGCTGGACCAAGAGGACCCTAAAACTGGAGGGCAGCTACCAGGAACTTTGTGACAGAGCGGTAATACTTCTCTTTTGTTTCTCAGTTAACTCATATGAGTAAGCTCTGCTGTAGCTAAGGATTTTAAGAAAAGGTTATGTGGTAGATGGACAACTTTAATAAATTAAACAATTGAATATCTTTATTAAAACTTATATTTTTTGTATGTCAGTCAACTTCACAAATTTGTCTAACTAACCACTTAAGGGGCGTCTGAATTGACTGTTGAATTTTCCCATTGTTAATTATAAAACGTTGTGTCATCATTTTACTATCTCTGTTTTGTTTTGCTACAGGAAGTCAAGACGGCGATCTTGGAGGACTTGGTGCGACTCGGAAAGGAAGGAGGCCTCAAGTCCTTTGAGCAGGTATAACACGTACCGATAACTCAGCTAAGATTTGAACTCCCTTTCCACCACTAGGTAGCTCTTTAGTCTTCTTACAAGATGCTGTATTAACATCCTCTTATCATGTCTCCTATAGGTGAAGGCCATCTGCATCCACAACGAGCTGTTCTCAATCGAGAACGGCCTGCTCACTCCAACACTGAAGGCAAAGAGGAACGAACTGCGACAATACTTCAGATCCCAGATCGATGAGCTGTACGCAGGGATCAAAATGTAGAACGAGAGGAGAGCGACCAGAGAAGAAAGGAGAGCATGCACATGAGATCTACCTGAGATTGAGGGAAAGGGAAGATAAAGACAGAGAGGTTGAAGCTAAAGCACAAGAAGGGAAAAAGTGAAGTCCTTGAGGACCCAAAGGATTATCAGGAACAGTAACACAAGAATGGACAGGAATGGGGGATGATGTAGCTTTTAATGAAGTTCTGAAGTTGATTTTTGAGCATTTAGAACAAAACCAATGGACCATCAGATCTGTGGCATCTGAGTCCAGGCTAAATGTTATGCCTTAAAGAGGTGTGTCTATTGATGAATAAGTTTTCTCTTTGCTGCCTAAAGTACAAATTCTGTTATAAAGAGTTAATTCTAATCATTTGGAAATAATGTCTCCAAGAAGGGCTTTCAAAAGGGAATGTCAAAGTGCAGTTTGTAGCATCATATTTCTCAGGACTTCTGTGTCAGGTATCTCTTAAAGGCCACCTACACACACACACACACACACACACACACACACACACACACACACACACACACACACACACACACACACACACACACACCTTTTAACCTAACAGGTGATGAGAGAAGAGTGGACCACCAATAGAGCTTCACTGAGGGATCAATTTGGATTAGCAGCCATATTGATGAACTGATCCAAACTCTAACATTTCAGTGTCTGTGATGAGATTTTATTATCATATTTCATGATTTTATTTCACTGTGTTTTATGAATTTGTTCTTAGGAAGTGGAAAAATCAACAATTGTAATCAGGAGTGTTGCTGAATCCTTAAATCATTCAATGAATAAGCTTTGATTTATTCAGGACTCTGGGAACAAGCAAAATGAGCCATAGTGGGGACGGTCTAAATGAAGCTATCTATACACGGGTCATTCAGGTACCGAGGAACATTCAGGAAATATGGATACTGTCAATGTTTTAATTTATTTATGATGTTAACGTGAAGGGAAGACATTTTTTTTGTGAAGGAATCAAAAATGTAAAGTTATTAGATAATAGAAGAGTGAGAATGTACAACTTGAAGGAAATCCTCTTGTGTGTTTTTGGTTTAAAATTCATGGCAGTACTTTTGACGATGGTGTTGCAATAATAGTTTTATGTCATTAAAACATTTTTGTAAATATTTTAATTAAAAACTATACTAAAAAAACAGTGTGATTAATTATCATTTCATCATGTAAAGTAGAAAACAGTTGAAAAATTCTAGCTACATTTTAGTGAGTCCTATTTTACCAAGGGAACTATTGATATTCATGAGGCCGTAACTTTTTTAATTAATATATATAGTTTATATTTAATTCATTAAAGGAACTCGACTAATAAATTAATGAAAAAGTTACTCATGCTAAGGTTGAAACCGCTAAACATTTTGTATACATTGTTTTAATTTATACTTTTCCTCTTGAAGTAGAGGAACAATAAGAACATTTATTTTCTACTCATCCATACATTTCAGAGCTAAAAATTGTATTAAATGGGTTTTTTTAACAAGACAGATATAGACGTAAACTGCTTTTTTTTTTAAGAATGTCCTGAAACTGTTGTGTGTGTTGTATTTTGGTATTCCCCAACTTTGAAGAAGTTCTGGCCAAAATGATCAAATTAATAATCTGTTTTGTTTTTATCTGTAAGAATATTTTGTTTAGTCTTTGGAAAATAGTACTAAGAAAAACCTTTGTGTGTACTTGATACATCTTTGATTAAAATCCTTAATTCTAAATTCACATTCAGTAACAAGATCAAGTACATTAATTCAATGAACTACTCAGTAGACTGTTTAAAATCTATACATGGACTAAAACTGTATTTTTTCCTACACTTTTTATATAATCAAATAAATGTGATACATATTGTACATTCATCCGTGTACATGATTTCAATAGATATTGCCTCATTATATACAGATACAGCTGTCTGTTGTGAATAAAGGTGGAGGAAAAACTGGAAGAAAAATAGTATGGCTGGATGGTATAACCCTCACGCTCGCCGTAGGACCGGGATAGAGCTTTTCTAACACGGGGTTGACGCTTTTCCAACATTTTCAGCACATCCATTTTTCTAAGTTTACTATATCGCTATTATTTCAGTTTCGACCTATATCGTGATTGTGTGTATCTAATAAAATAAAAACAAACTCATTATATGTTTTTAACTTCGATGTTGTAACATAATAGTACCGCCACCTCCCCCCGTGTGTCTACAATGGTACAGTCTGAAACTTGAAGCATTTTGCGGGAAGCTGCTTCAGTTGTTTACAGTCTATGGTTTGTTTACGAACAAGCTCCGAAAATGAGGTGAGAAATACAAGATACAGATTTATAAACAGCCCAGTAATGTCGAAAAAACTGGTAATGTCTATAATGAAATTAGTTTGGTAGTTTCAATGTGGTAGTAGTGCTCTTTGGTACAGAAGTGAAGGAGGTTTGGGTTGAGGTCTCGAGCTGCTCGATTATAGACAAAATCATAATCAGGATTATTATTTAATTGGTACTGAGACGGCTAATTTTTCATCATTGTTAAGAAAGTGCTTTAGAAATGAATGTCAATATAAATATCTTTAAACCAAAATGAATAAATCATATAGATCCAGCCACAGCCGGGAAGTCAACAAGCAGCGTCAGTATGTAACCATCATGTTCCCTCACTGCATCGATGGTCCACATCCACATCGGGATCCAGCATAGAAATGACTCATTTCAACACCCTACTTTATAGATTCGTGGTCAACATCAAACAAAGGCTTGAGGCTGCAGCTTCTGTGTCAAGAAGACCCAAACCAACATAGAAACAGAATCCTTTGATTGTTGTCCTGTTTGTCTCCACAGTGCCAAAAAGGGCAGAAGAGCCAAAGCGCCGAAAAAAGATGAGCATCAAGTGAGTGTGTAAATGCTCCCTGCATCATTTTCACTGCTCATCCAATCAAAATGTAGTGCACTAAGATCTGAAGAACACTAGTGTGAGGAATGCATTTTTAAAATAGATGACAAATAGTCATTTTTATGAAGCAGCATGAGGGTGTTTCATTCTGATATCTGTGTCTGAAAATGTGTTGCCTTAAAAACAAAAAAGATTGATATATTCTGTTCAATCTCAGAGAGGTTCAGCTATGGATGATATGGACTCTCCTAACCTGTCTGCCATTGAGAGAGCCAGCTTCATGGAGGGACTGGAGCCAAATTTTGGTGAGTCTGACATAGACTATAGCCGTTTTCACATATGCACTCCGGATAATATCTAGATATTTACAGGAGGACTTCTCAGGAGATTCTCCCGACCTAGTCGTTCACATATGCTCCTCACAGCGGGGGACTTTCCCTGTCAGAGAGGAGGGGGGGGAAACAATGCGAAAGTAGCGAACTAAGCAACAGAGTCTGTTACACGACGCTATAATGAGAATATTTGCCTTTATGTCAATGCTTTGTGTAATCCAATGAAATGACAACATCCACAAAAGAGAGGAGAACAACATACTGACCAACAGAAAACATAATGCAGACCTTTAATTACGTGCACAGTAGGGGTGTAACGGTACACAAAAAATTTGGTTCGGTACGGTTCCAAGTTTTGAAGCTTCGGTTCGGTACATTTTCGTTACAGTAAAGGGACCTGATGCAACACTTTTCTTTTCTTTATTAGGAACATTTAGAATTTCCCTTTTACACATTGGGCTAAGTGCAGCATCGACAGTACAGACTTGTATACCTGCTCAGGTCACTTTTTAATAACATTTTAAATTAAACATTGTAAAAAAAATAAACTTATGCTGCATCCTTAAACCAAAAGAGTCTCCAATAAATAAAAGACATGAATGAAATGAAGTATTTTAGAATGAAATGAAGTAATTAATATAGCCTATATGTAAAAATATTTCTTTTAAATTACACTGACACCTTTTAGTTTATGAAGGCAACAGTTTTTTTGAATGCCCTTTGAGCACATAAATAAATAGAATAAACCTAATCACATCTGGGACAGTATAGATTCATTGCAGAACTATTAATATTTCTCTCTGTCGATATAAGAACTTTAACGGCATTTGTTATGGCTTTGGCCCGTTCAGAATTACTAGCAAGAGGTTTTCTGTTGTGGATGGAGGGTGTTCATTCTATCAAGCTGCAGGTTATGCTCCCATACAGACGTGTCTCCCCTTTCACGTAGCAGCGCTGCTGGAGCGGGATCATCGCTGAAACGAAACTTAAGATTAGGTCCGTAAAAAGAACTCCATCCTGGTTATATGCAACTGTCCAAACCGACAGGACTCGAGGAACTAGTAATGTGCCCAGTTTATGTTTGAACTTTTTCACAAGTTACTAAACTAAAAGTTGTGTCCCATATCCGCGGCCACAACGGTCCGGTCCGAGTACGTGTACCTTTACACCCCTAGTGCACAGAGACCGTAGTGATCGCGTGCAGACACTTTATGCACCGTGCAGCAGTGACGTCACTCTCCCTACCATTGGCTCGAGCTGAATTCTCCAGGAGGATGCTGCTGCGTTTTCACATCAGCCCACTCAGACTTTCTGCGGAAAACATACTCCCGATTATCTCCAGAGTGGTTGAGGAAATTTCCCTAAGTGTGACGAGGATTTATGTGAATGAAGTTGATGCTGAAACCAGCTAGACGCCTGTTGACTCATATTTTAAAAAGCAGTGTAGTCGCCCCCTGCTGTCCATTAGAAAGAGTACAGTTTCTTGACTCTGTCATTGGCTTCACTCTCAAACCCCAATGACTCAACGTCCACTTCTAATACACAATGGAAAGTCTTAACATGCCAGCACTTCTAACCTGTGTGTTTGAATGGAGGAAAGAGTTTTTGCTAATAATTATTAAATCAATAAAGTTCTTGGAAACTATTACAAGTGGACCAGTCGTGCATGGAGCTGTTTATTTTTCGATCTCGTCTGATTCTTGGGTTACAGTTTTCACAAAGCAAGTTCAGTCTGACTTGTTTCACTGCATAATCTGTATGAAGCACATTTCACAGCTACAACTCTCTTCATGTATTACTCCTACATTCTGTTCTGATGTCTCCATTTCTCTGAACATCAAACTAGGTAACCCTCTGCACAGTACGGCCGTGGAGGAGGATTTAAATGTCTCTGGGGGACAGAAGGAAGAAGGGAGGAAAGGCGTTCCTAAGACGTCAAAGACTTTTGTTAAGCATCGTGGAGCTGCCGTGAAGAGGAAGGAAACGGAGAGGGATGACGAGGAAGAGGAGAAGAAGAAGAGGAGTAGGAGAAGTACTGCAGGAAATGTCATGTAAGAGCAAATAAATGTTGTTTCCTACTTTTGTGTTTTCCAATTGAAAGGAGTTAATCATGTGAAAGCAGAGGAGAGCTGGTCTCTGTTAACTACAGCCACTCTTTCTGTGTCTCACAGGCCGGAGACTGAAGCAGAAACAAAGAAAAAGAGGGCAACACCTCAGAGAAAAAGACAACACTTAGATGCAGAGAGGAAGGAATCTGATACAGACGACAAATTCCAGAAAAGCAACTCAACCACGCCAACTGTGGACAGCGCCAGACGTCAGGTTGGGAAGAAGCCCGCCAAGAGGAAGAGTGCAGTTCAGATGTCTGCCACAAGGTGAGGTCACGTCAATGAGTTACTTTAAATACAATATTATCCTTCTCGTTTCTCTTCTTTGCTGCTACGTCCATGTCCATCCTATTCACTGGTTTGAATTGCGTCTAATTGCTGAATTGTATCCACTCCTAAACTCACCTGTGTGCTGTTGTTGACTGATGGAAACACACCAGCTCCCCGTCTATAAACGCCTTGAGTCAACCAATACAAACTAAAACATCAAACCAGTCAGAGGACGGGGTCTCTGCAGACACAGTCACCACCACACATGTATGGAGTCCCAGAACTCATGATTGAGCTGCAATACTTTTGTACAAGTCTTTTGCACATGGAGAGCTCAGCTTACTGAGATCAAATTCCTTGTACATGTGAGAAAACCTGGCCAATAAATCTGATTCTGACTCTGGTTTGTTTCAGTCTAAGGTGGTAAGGTTCAGGGTGAAGGCTTTTTGTCTGTAAAGACATGGTCCAGTAGGCATGGAAACCCATTGCCTTTATCTAAACCAAGCAGCAACCTCCGGTCTTGAAAAATGAAGCCAATGCAGGAAGTGCAAAATCCTGCAGTTCGCATAGTGTCCACTTGAGGCTGGTTCCAGAAACCCCAGAAGTCACATACACACCACAGCCAAAAAAGCCTGTTTTTACAGCAGAAATAAATGTTTACAGCCTGGTATAAAAAAAAAACGAACAGGGCTGATTTGTTATTGTCATCATGGGCACACAGTTCACGTGGGGTGAATTTTTTTTACAACACATCGTTGATTTTGACAATATTTCCTGAGTGTGGCAGAGTGTAGTGAAGTCTGTTCGTAGGACAGCTTGAAGAACTTGGCACATAATAGCCTGGCTCTTGTAACCCAGTTATTACTTTACACCCTGCCTGTCCTCTTTGTGCTTGTTTGTTTGTCTTGTATAATGATGTATCGAACTGTCTGCTTCTCCTCTCTTCCCATCAACATATTCATCCGTCTCTCTGTCCCAACAAGGAAGGTGAAAAACCAGCAGGTGACGGTCAATAAGAGAAAGAGTAAATCAGGAAGTGGAGAGTCTAGTGACCCTCAGTCACAGGTGAGAATGTCGATGATAACATCTCAAGCTTTGTTAGTATTAAACCTAATTGGACTAGTTATGTTGAGACGACGTGTTGCTGCATTATTTGTTTCAAGGAGGAGTCTGACACAGACACCGCCCGGCAAACACGCAAGACCATCTTGTCCTCTGATGAAGAAGTGGTGGACGAGGACACCAGCTGGGTATGAACTCACGTCAGCAGGCTGCTGCAGCAAAAAGCACAGAACTCATACGTATGGGACTCAAAATGTGGCTCACGTTTTCATCTTTTCTTAATGTCATTTCTTTAGAACCCGAGTCAAAAGAAGACCAAGGCAAATAGTTTGCGTGGAACCAGAAAGTCTTCACCTGGTAAATCCAGAACGTCTTCATCAGGTAAGAGCAGAGAGCGCAAGAGGTTAGTGTCATTGTGGACTTCTGGCCAAGAAGAAAGTTACAGGGGAGGAAATATCCCATCGTTTAATGTGTGAAGGGCTATTGGGAGAGTGCTTGAGGTTTTCAATTTTTTTTGTACACATAAAAAAAAAAAAAAACAGGATATAATGAGTTAAACTGTTAACACCGTGTTCTGACAGCGAGCGTTAGATATCCTGTCACATCACGCACAATTGCACGCTCGCTGTCCACACTGCATCCGTTAAATATTTCAGATCTTTGCTCTGTGAATTTCAGTTTCCCTTTGCAAACAGTATGACTTTTAGTGTTTTTGTACTGAAGGTGGACAAACAGATGTGTGGTGCTTTTTACGAGCTCATGACTCAAATCACAACACTCAGAGGCTCGTCAGTAAACGGCTCGCGGTGACATGTGTCAATAACACCAGAGAAGTTTCCTCGTCTCGAGGGTTCTATGCAAGCGTCAGGGAGGAAACTAGAAACAGGGTGTCGGGGTAAAAACAGCTGCTTTGTGCTGCCTAATTGCGTCGCGTGCTGTTAGGAGAGGCTGACACAGGGGTTCCCAAACTTTGCCATGCCAAGGACCCCCATATAGCACCAACCTCTGTTGGAAAACCCTTTAGCAAATTTGCACAAGTTCCTTTTATGTTACGATTGCACACATTAAACTTTAAATAAACCACTTAATATATTTTCATTTAATTTCATCCAATTCATTCGATGTATGTTTTTGTAAACAGCCTATTATAGATTCAACAATAATCAACAGTTATATTAAGAGTTACATATTGTCTTACAATTTTTCTCCCTCGTTAATCATTCATCACATAACATTTTTGGTTTTAGTTTTTTGTTTTACCATATGGAAAGATTGTCATAGAAAAAGAAAACACATTTAGATTTCTAGTAATCAATAACAAATAAAAAGAAAATCTAAGAAAAAAATTGTAGAAGATTTGTATTTTTGTTCCGGTTTCCCCCCACTCTACCCTCCAAGTTTCTGTGTTCTTGTTTATTCATCGCAATTTTTATTGTCATTGCAATATTAAACAAAGTTTTCACACATGGCATATTCCTCATCCTGTGCAGACCTAATAAAGTCCAAAAATACTCTACATTGGCCCTGCAATGTACAGTAGAGCTGAAGTATTATAACATGATTCTGGGGTTTGGATATGTAAGGGATTCAGGGATGGTTTAATAATTTGTTGTGAACAACTTCTAAAAAAACACACTTTGTTTTTTTTCTTCTGTTCACAAACAAACCGTGATTGTCTACCTGAAGGCAGTACATCAGCAGAAGCAGACAAGGCGGACACAGAGACACAGAGGAGTAAGAAACAGAGTGGTCAGACAGGAATGGAGCTGGAGGTTGTGCTGGACACCTTCAGACATTTCTGTGACCAGTACAGGTAAAACAAGACGTCTCTTCCTGCCTGTAGCCTGTTATTCAATCCTTTATATCCTGTGTCATGACTTATTTCATGATAGTTTAGATAGTTTTAGTCAATGTTTGTCATTAATGGTGTTTTGTGTTCGTTCTTTGTTTTTCAGAGAGTCTGTGGAGTCTAAAGCAGTCAAACAATCCATTGATTCGTTCTCAACGAATGTCAAACAGCAGCTCATGGAAAAGGTCAGACATCTCCTTCATTCTCACACTGACAAATATCATGACTGTGTAGTTTCTGTTGATGTTCAGAGTTTTACACATAGTTTTGTTCACAAGAAAGGAACATCTATGAGGCAGTATGTACTTTGAACTTCAGTCAGAGAAGAATCTGGCCCCAGCTGTAGAGTCTCTTACAGTATAACCACCTGATTTCTGAACTGTTTTATAATTTGTTCTGCACATAGAAAGTCATGGAAGCATTGTAGAAGGAAAATGGTGCTTTACTTTGAAGCTCTTTTGATTCATATGAGATATTATTTTGGGTCTAATGTTTGCAATAGTAAAATAAAAAGTAGTCTTTGATCTTAAAGCTAAAGCAAGATTTGCTATTTCAGAAGCATTTTTCCTTATTGTGTCGCTAAACTGACTGAGGAGATTCCTGCACTTCTCTCAGCCTGTGGACTTTTTTGAGGTATCTCCTCTGACATTGTTTTTAAATTTCCTCCAGTACCCACACACCCAAGAGTCACTTTTTGTTATTGACCTTGGGTGGTTGTATCGACCATGTCAACAGTGAATTAGAACGAACTTACACCGCAACATATCCAACAAACAAGACACCACTGATGAAGAAGAACATCAGGATAAATCTTTGAGAAGGAAACATTGATGTCCGCCGTTGTTCTTTTTCATTTCCAGATCTCTGCTAACAAGGAGCTCAGAGTTCTTAAAAGAGAAAACGTCAAGGTAACTATCACAACCAGCTTTATTTCCAAGTCTATAAGGCTTTTAAATAGTGGCTTATAAAACAGGACAGGCACTGGACTATAATTAGTCTTTTGCACTGGTATTTTAAGAACCTGATGTTATTTATATTCTTCATTATTTTCTGGATGTGATTTAATAATGTTCATTAACTTTTGCTGCTTTGCCAAAGTGCTCATGATGGATTAAGCCGGGTCTTTGTAACATAACAATGAGTAAGATCTTTTTACCTGCTCTTTTGTAATATTAAAAGACAAAGAGAAAGGTCTTTTACCTGCTTTTTAGTAAAGTGTCTTGAGTTAGCACTTGTTATGAGTTGCTGCTATACAAATAAAGATTGATTGATTGTCTGATGTTTGATGTGAATGATGTTTAATTGATTGTTGTTTTTTTATGGCTGCAGCGTGGGGAAAAGAGCCCTAAGACATATTTCTCACCTAGGGCTTTCACACTTGCAGAAAACTCCAGAAAAAATCCTGATATTTGCTGTATTATTAATTTTGGCATAACTTGTGTGAAGATATCGGGAAAAGAAAACCAATACCACTGTTCTGCTCGTGCTTTATGTGAGACATTAAAGTTCATCTTTATCTCTTTACCCATGCTATAAGCATCGCACTAGTAATGGAAGAACTGGGAGTCGTTCATGGTGCCCACAGGAGTCCTACTGACTTTTCTGATAGCACCACGGTTAAGTTGACATTTGAGGATGTGGGTGAATCTTAGCATGCTGATGTTACCATTCAGTCAAAGAACCACTGTGTCGCGGTAAAGCGTCATAGAGCTGCTAGCGTGACTCATACAAAAGCTCTTCTTCCAACTGGTGTGTGTGTGTTATGTGTGTGTGTTTCAGGTGGGTTCTTTGATCTGTAAAAAGACACAGAGACTGTTGGATGCCAAACATGAGACGATGAGGTGAGCAGCAGTACTGTGGCCCAAACACACTTTTTCATTTTCATAAACTAATTTGACTACAAGTGTAACTTCCATGTGTATACGTCGACAAAGTCGCCTTTTAAATAACACAAGTCTTTTAAACAACAGAAAGATTACCAGCATGATGCATAATCACATCCATAACCAACTGTGTTTTCAGAGTTTAAAAAACTCCATTAAACCTCCCCCCCTGAATAATAAAACTTTGTGTAGTCATGGTTACTCCCAATTAGTCACAATATCCTTTTCTTGGTGTGTTTTGTCAGGGCGGAGAGGAAGGTGTTTCTTCTGAAGAAGGAGAAAGCGGAACTTAAACTCCGATTATCTGATCTGAGACGAGGCCAAGCGTTCCTGCAGGACCTCAGAGAGCTCAACAGACAATACCTGGTCTGCAGACACAAACACCCCAAAAAGAAAGAGACGGTATACACACACACACAGATACACAACACTCATACACACGTTTGCTGTCCAATTATTGTCATGATACCAAATGTCCTCCATCCTCTCCTCCTCCCGTCCAGTACGGGGCTTCCAGCTTGCCGGCTCTGCAGTTGGAGAACCAAACTACAAGGCAGCAGAGCGTCACCCTAAAGAAAAACATACCAGTAATCAACTGGGGAAAAGACAGAAGATGAATGGGAAATAATACGGCAAACCACACATCCACTGTCATAAAGATGTAAACCAGTCAAAGACGTTCAACAAACTTTTAAAAAAGGAAGCATAAAAAGTGTTAACAGTGATTACTGCAACATGAAAGGCTGAATTTGAGACCTCTGGTTTAGGTCGCTTTGTACATTTTCACAGAATGAGTCATGCTTAAGGATGTCGAGGCCATAGAACCATGCTCTGATAGCAGTGAAAAGATGTTTGCATTGTATTTGTTAAGAATTGCCAGGCCCCCCAATGGACACGCTCCATTTTGGGAATGACTGTGATACTGTGTGTATAATAAATTAAAAAAAATCAATGTTTTTGTGTGTGTGTGTTTCTTGCAATAAGAATGCACAAAAAATATAATGGTATAAGGTTGATGTTAAGCCCTCTATGACTTTTTGTTTGTTTGTTTACTTTCACTTTATTTAGAGGCAGATGTGGCTCATTGGTAGAGAGAAGGGGGTTCGATCCCCAGCTGCTGCGGCCACATGCCGACATGTCCTTAGGCAAGACACTTAACCCCAAGTTGCTCCCGCTGCTTCGTCTGCAGTGTGTGAATGTGTATGAATGGGACTAGCTAACACTGATGGACACTGAACAGCGCAGCCATCAGTGTGTGAATGTGTATGAAACACAAGTATGACCTGCGGTGTAAAAGCGCTTTAAGTAGTCAGAAGAGTAGAAAAGCGCTATACAAGCTCAAATCCGTTTACCATTTATTTATACTTGACTAGTCATTACATCCAAATACGAAGACAAAACATGACAGAAGAATAACATGAGTGCTTTGGATCCTCTAGGACTTCTGTACAGTCATTTTCACTGACAGGTTGTTCCTTATTCAATTGTTCAAGAAGTTTCCTCACGCATGTACTGACACGCTGGGGAGCGAGTTGACTGCAGAGCTTTTTAATATATCTTTTTATAGGGCCTTGGCTGTCTTATCTCAGTTTTCCAAGCCAATCAAATGGAAGTTAAGCGTGACGCGTTGCGGTTTCTCCCGCCCATCAGGAAGCAGCGGTCATGATTGGCGGAAAGTTCTCGCCCTGAACTTTGAACATTTTACTAACTCATGCAGAGAAGTAGTAAAGACGGAAGGACTACTGATAACGAAAGCTGTATCTAGCCTTCGAACAACACCTGCAGACGAATAGGTATGTGTATCTAAAAGTTATTATTGTTAATAGTTTGTCCTCTGTGTGTTGTACATTAATGACACGACCTACTTCAGGTAACACCTGATTAACCAGTTTTCAGATGTAGGTCAGTTGATTCTTAGTCAGGTGTCATATCTAACTAATTAGTTAGAAATAACATGTAACTAATATATAACATATATAAATAACATAACTAATATGTTATTTCAGGGGCTACGAAAAGTGTTTTGAATTCGTTGTCATTTGAGACATTTTAGTTGGGATAATGATAACAAGCTTTGAATGAATCCTCTCTAAATATTTAACGATTCGTTTTATCCTCACATGTTAAGTTTGAAATCTAATTCACGAGTATTTGTTTATTTGTGATTACACAGCTTTAAACAGCGACTAATAGTTATTAGAAACTCACTGACCTTCATTTGTTGATGGGACTTGAATAATTTCCTGCTGTGTCTGAGGAGTTTCACTATGAGCCACGTCCAAACTTCATGACGTCACTTATAGGGTGCCCATTGTAAAAACGTTGTTATATATATTTTCAATATTTAGTTAATATCCTTCACAATAATTAAATTAAATAAGTTTAAGAGTTGAAGAAATATTTAATAATAAATCTAAATGTAAAATCTAAATGTAAATATTATATCTAAATGTTATATCTAAATGTTAAATCTAAATCTAAATGTTATATCTATATCTAAATGTTAAATCTAAATGTTAAATGTTAAATTTATATCTAAATGTTAAATGTTAAATCTAAATCTAAATGTTAAATGTTCAATCTAAATGTTAAATGTTAAATCTAAATCTATATCTAAATGTTAAATCTAAATCTATATCTAAATGTTAAATGTTAAATCTAAATCTATATCTAAATGTTAAATGTTAAATCTAAATCTATATCTAAATGTTAAATGTTAAATGTTCAATCTAAATGTTAAATGTTCAATCTAAATGTTAAATGTTAAATCTAAATCTATATCTAAATGTGTCGCCAAGTGTAAAGCTAAATATTTATAAAATATGCAAATCATGTAATTCCACGCCCCTTGGCTTAGCCTCAGACCAGCGCACGGCCACGGCCACACCCCTGACCTCGGATCAGTAGGTGAAACCAGGGAAGACCCAAGCATGGCTGCTTCCCTCACAGCAGGAGAAATCGAGCGGGCGGTTTTGGCCGGTGTGCGGGCTGCTCTCCAACGAGCTCAACCATTACCATCCACATTTTACAAGGATATTAACTAAATATTGAAAATATATCTAAAAGATATATATAACAACGTTTTTACAATCGGCACCCCATAGTCACTCTGATGGATGTTAGACACTCATACTGGATTAGATAAATTCTGCTAATATTTTTTAAATAAATATAAATGATACACTATGGGGGTTTATTTTCCATGAAAGTACTATGAAACTATGAGTCATTGAGTGTCTCATTAGGGGATCTTTGTTGATCCTACTTGTTTCTAATCTGACGCAGCATGCTCATTTACTCAGCATTTATTAACTAAGATTACCTTTGAGTTTAAAACCTGCACACCTGCAGACCAACAAAAACAGTTCACGCTCTGGTCTCTGTGGTTAATCAAAACATCAGCTGCTCAAAACACAAAAGAATGACTGGTTTCACACGATTAACAACATACCTCACTGTCAAAAAGCTTTCATTGGAATAACTATCTCAGTGTCGTGTCAGTCAAATTTATGCCCAAGATATCAAATGTGCTGTTGTAACTTGTGAATGTTTTGAGGACCAGCACAGTCCAGATATAAATAAAGAAAAGGTTTCCAAAAAAGTTAAAGGCAGACCAACACAAAAAACACATCCCAGAACAACAACAACAAAATTAAGAGGAGCAAAAGCCTTTTGAAAATGAGTGTGGGTGATCCTGGAAAACACTAATGCTTTAACGATAATTGGTTAAATTATTAAGAGTTTCAGCGACGACCAGCTTTTAATTTTTAATAATAGTAAATTGTACTGATGCTATAAAGGTCACATATTATCTTAATTTTCAATAAGTTTAAATAAGTCTCAGAGCTCTACAAAACATGTCTGTGAAGTTTCTATCTGCTCCTGTATCTTACCATGTTTATAAACCCTTCTATTTCAGCCCTGCTCAGAACAGGCTGTTTTTGTGTCTGTAGCTTTAAATGCAAATGAGCTGTTTCTGACCACGCCCCTCTCTGGAAGGGGATGTGGCTCAGGCTATCTCGCTCCATGCCCTACTGTTTACGATGAGAAGGCAGACTCATAGGGCAGAACAAACACCTAGCTGTGGGACTGTCACCCACATAGGGGAGGGTTTACTGCCCTTTGTGATGTCATGAAGGGAAAATCTCCAAATGGCCTGTTTGAGCACACTTTTTCTGAAAAGTGGAGCAGGCAAAAGACTGAGAGGATGGACTTTTCTCATAATTGGGGGGTTTGTAGACAGACTAGGGACACATATTAGTGTTAGAAACACAGTAAAGTGTCTTTTTGCATAATATGTGACCTTTAAAGATAATGAACACCTGGGAAGCAGAGGACAAATACAGATGCAAATCAAGTAGCATGTTTTTATACTGATGTTTATCTTTCATTCTTTCTTATCCATCAATGTCTGTAGAAACATGGCCGAACCTCGTAGCAATGGTGACAGGAAGGGAGGTGAAGACAAGCCGGACGCCATCAATTTTTTTGCAAAGAGGTATGTTTTGCACACAATGATGAGTCTCTGACTGCCCATATGTACCTACGTCTGCACACTCTCTACATGACAAAACAGGCAGTTTTTTTTACAATATAAGATGTAATGTGTTTTGTAATGGATCGTTGTTTTTAGAGATGGGACAGATCTGATCTAATATCAGTATCAGGTTCAGGTTCAGTATTGACGTCATTCACATATCAGATATCGGACTGACGGCGCCGATCAACATCACCGATCAAGAAAGATCGATTGGCACTTGAAACAGTCTCGCTTTGATGACATTCAGACTGAACTGTGCGGGGAAAGGGAAGCAACATGAAAACCAGATGGTGTTAAATTCAAGTTATTTATTACAAAACAAAGTAAAGTTGTGATGCATAACAAAAAGTGAGGCAAACCTAAAGGGGCCAACGAGTGCTGCTCTAATCAATAACTGAGTAAAACAGAAGGTGTCTTAATTAGGTTTCACATACTTAGTCTAACTGGTGGAAAGAAATGAAAATCAAACCCCAACTAACCAACCAAACAGCATATGATCAGCACCCCTAACCTAGTGTTTCTAAACAAAGACAAAAGCTAATGTGAGTGTGTGTGTGTGCCTTTTTGTCTATTCTCCAGTTTGCTGCAATGTAGGCTATGAACCATTTGTAAGCCTTATTTCTATAAAGCAGATTGTTTAACTTGTATAAGATATATAAAAGGTTGGAACTGACCCTACTCTCTGATTTATTGATTCCATGCGGCTAATGTTAGCTGCTTTCTTTAGCATGTTAATTGTTACAGGACAAACTTTACATCGGACAGTCAAGGCCAAGTCTATTTAAAGAGCTTTGAAAACATACAGGGATTGTACCAAAGTGTAATATTAAGCATAAAAATCTGACTTAAAAGAAAATAAACATATAGAGTAAAAACACCAATCACAAGATTATCACATGACAAGAATCGTTGACGGGAAAATGTGCACATACAGGCAAAAAACACTTGCACACAGCATTAGTTAAGAAGTGAACCTCAGCTTTCTCAGTCAACATGCACGCAGCGACAGACATCAGAAATACACATATATAGACACACACAGAAGCTTTCATCAAACAAGTAAAGATACAGCTCAAGTAAGGAGTCAACTGTAAGAGAAGGCCAGGGATTAAAAGTGAGTCTTGTGGTTTTTTTAAAGCAGTTCCAGAGAATCTGTTGATCTTGTATGTCACTGCAGGTAACTCCACAGATTCAATGCGGCTACAGAGAAGGCCCTGTCTCTGAAAAGTTTTCGATGTGCTCGTGGGATGGTTAGAAGTCCTTGATCTGATGATCTGATGGAGAGAGCTAGCTGTACTGTATGGTGATAAGAGTTCAGTAATGTAGCTTTGAGCACGGCCATGAAGGGCTTCAAATACTAACAAGATCACTCTGTATGGGATTCTTTACAGAACGGGGAGTCAGTGCAAGGATGCTAATAAAGGTGTAATGTAATACCTTTTTTTTTTTTTAAATCTGCAAAGCTGCTGCATTTTGAACAGTGTATAAAGACCTGGTTAATACCCAAATATAGTGAGCTGCAGGAGTCGAGTATGAAGGCTATCAAGGCATTGATGACTCTTTGTTAACCAGGAATAGCCTGATCTCAGGTTTGATCTTGAGTATGTTTCAAAAAGTAACAGTTAAACCTTGTGTAAGAGGGTGCAAACTGTGGAGTTAAGTTCAAGTTAAGACATCACTGAGCCGCCATTAAAGAGAACAGAAAGGAAAATTTCAGCTGCTTTTTGTTGTGTCTTTTCATTCTTCAGAGTGGATCCAGAGCCTGCAGGAAGTGCAAAGACTTCAGAGGAAACAGACCCTGTTCTGGTCGCCAGCAGCACTAAAGCAGCAGACCCTTTCCGCTACAAGATGGACTACCCCTGCATGGGAACCTGTCTTATCATCAACAACAAGAACTTCGACCGCAGCACAAGTAAACACACCCACTCAATAAGTCTCACACCCTGGCCTGAGGCATACACCAGCCTGCTGCTAATCCAATCATAATGATAAAACTGATCACAATGCATGTGGTCATATGACTTATTCAAACATGTTATTGTTCTGGCTCATTGTCATGGCTCTTTCAGATACCAACAAGAGCGGAGTCATTGTTAATAATGGTGATAACACCTGTGCTGTTTCAACCATCACAAATGAAATGTGCTGCCTGTGACAGACGTACTTGTTCTTTATCGATGCGTGTGTCTGTTAGAATTAAGATCCAATAGTAGCTATGCCATCACATTAAAAGTCAATGAGAATTTAAATTCAAGTGTTGCCGGCAGTCTAGTGTTGAGTGCTCGTGCTCCATGTGCAGAGGTTAACTTTAGCTAAATCTGTTTATTTTGGGTTCTTACCGCTGTAATAAGCAAAGCCACAATTATTCAGCTGAGGTATGACTTTCAAGATGCAGTAAAACTACCATTTCACAGAGACTCATGGCGTCCTTTCTGCGGGCTACATTGAACGTTTATTGAATCTCTCTCTCTCTCTCTCTCTCTCCTTCTCTGTTGTTTGTGTGTCTAGATATGGCTGCTCGTAATGGAACAGATGTAGATGGTGCTACTGCTCTAAAGACCTTCGCTGATCTGGGTTACAAGGTCAAATTTTTAAACGATCAGAGCGTGGCTCAGATGAAACAACTGATGATTAGCGGTACTAAAACTTCATTTATATTCATTCAAGGTTACATCTGTGCCTCTGCACTTGTTTACAATGCAGCCCAATGTATGTTCTCTGTTATCACTACTCTTACTACTCCCACTGCTAATAGATTTCACTGAGTTTTGGGAACCGTTAAGAAGTCAACCTGTCTAACTTTTTGAAGTCTCTGTACTTTGCAAACTTACCCAACAGTAGAAGTGAGAAGTGTGTGTGTGTGTGTGTGTGTGTGTGTGTGTGTGTGTGTGTGTGTGTGTGTGTGTGTGTGTGTGTGTGTGTGTGTGTGTGTGTGTGTGTGTGTGTCTAGTATCCCAGGAGGACCACAGCAAAAGTGCATCATTTGTGTGTGTGTTGCTAAGTCATGGAGAAGAGGGCGGGATTTACGGCACCGATGCCTTTGAAAAGTTTGAAAACTTCACAAAATACTTTAAAGGAGATCGCTGCAAGAGTCTGGTGGGGAAACCAAAGCTCTTCTTCATCCAGGTTGGTCAAATGTTCCTTAAACGCCACACACAATGCACATGTTGTGATTAAAAACAAGCCTGTTCATCTTCTGTCTGAGGTAACATTAGCAGATTTTTTTTACAGCCTGTTCTTTACTATTTAAATTTTGAAAATATCTGGGATTCTATTGGCTTGTATTTCTAACAACAAAACAAGGTGTGGAGTACGCACATCCAAAGAAAAAATGTTCACAGGTGCTGGAAAAGGAATTTATCGATCTATCTCCATCTATTGCTCTATTATAGACTATATGTAATTAAATTGAGAGGTTTATGGTCATAATGTTTTATTGTTTCATGTTTCAAGACAGATTGAAATAGCAGACAAATTACAGGCAAATGAAAAAAGTGTTTTTTGTTTTTTTTAAAGAGAGATCAGAACTTTTGGAAACTTTTTTTTGTGCCTCTGACTCATACAACGCCTCACTGTTCATGTTATACAGCTACAGTGTTAAACTGTAAGAAGATATGGTCCTCTAAATCTCTTCACATTAACTAGTGCTTAGCAATAAAGATGTTACCTGATGCTTTTCACAAGCCTTAAATGTAATGTTGGATCGCCCTCTAGTGGACAGAATGTAAAACAACCACACGCTGCATCTGCCTGGCTCTTCATAAACCTGCGTACTCTGTGAAGAAACAAAAAGAAAGTTAATGAAAGGCCAAATTTTAGCAAGGAAATTTAGATATTAATAAAATTGGAACAATACGAAATGAGTTGTGCTATAAGAGGAATATCAACAGTTTCAATAAAATACTTTTCCAAATGAGGTGGGAGAGGCACTGAGCACTGACGACTTCAGTATTTTCAAAATGCTGCAAAAGGCTGCACTTATAAATGCTTATTTTGTCATGTAAAGTTTGTTACATGATGTATACATTTTTAAGAGGGACTCTCACCAGTTAAATCTTTTGCGATTTTCCCATTTTAGACCAACCATTGAATTCTAAAAGTTGGGAACTTTATGTGAAAAAGTCCAAACTCTGGGCTCACTCTGGGCTCGCTCTGGCTCAAAACAGACATGTGACTAATAAACACTTACAATCAACCAAGAATTAACTTGTGCAAGTCAAGAGAACGACTACTACTGGTTGTTTATTGTAGCTCTTTAACCACATGCCATGTCTATAGCGTCACAGCTGACTTCCTGTCCTTTCAGGCGTGCCGTGGTTCAGACCTGGATAGTGGAGCCACGGTTGAGACAGACAGTGTAGCAGTGGAAAAAACAGAGAGGATTCCTGTGGAGGCAGATTTCCTGTATGCTTATTCAACTGCTCCAGGTAACAGAAATGCTTTTTTGTCCTTTAAAAAACAGAATAATAATTATCAAGTGACTGAATAATCCTGTTTTAATGAAAGGTAATCCACCTTCCTGTGTGTGAGTGTTAACCCTGTGTAATGTCTTGCAGGTTACTACTCCTGGAGAAACACATCCAACGGTTCATGGTTCATGCAGGCGTTGTGTGAGATGTTGCACCAGTACAGTCGAGAGCTGGAGCTGATGCAGATAATGACCAGAGTCAACCGCAAGGTCGCGACACACTTTGAGTCTGCCTCCAACCTCCCTGGATTTAGTGGCAAGAAACAGATCCCCTGTATCGTCTCAATGTTGACCAAAGACTTCTACTTTCCTGCTTAGATTAAAATAAGTATCTCCTACCCACATGTTAGTTCATCCATATATTTTAAATTCATATATAATTCATATAATCAATGAATATATAATTCATGTAAGAGAGGATGGCGTGTATTTAAATGTGACGGCAGGGAGAAGCGACATGCATTGTCAGCATTAAGAGGAAAGGGAATGTGTCAGCAGGGGTTATGTTGAGTCCAAAGTTAGAATAAAAGAAGGGAACATAGCCTCTTACTTTGAAAAGGGAAGTGTCTTAAACTTGAATTCTTTCAGTGAAGGGAGACTCCTCTAGTTGTAAATAATAAAAATAAAGAAAGTTAAATGAGAAATTGCCCCACTACTCACTCGATGAATTACTTCAATCGACATTTCCCGAACGAGTTTGTGTTTTCAATCACTAGTCTTCTTCTAAACAGTGTGACGATCACTTTGCAAAAGAATGTCTCCTTTAATGTTAAAAAAAAGACAATAAAGCAGAGCATGCTTTTGGAAGAATTTATAATTGCCAAGTCACTGAAGCAGAAAGAGGCATAGCTTGTCCAAATAGGGTTACTCCGAGAAACCAAGACAGCAACTACTAAAACTCCCAAACTCTATAAATCCAAGCAGCAGTCAGCTGCCCGATAAGTGATGTCTTGGTAGTGAAGTCCACGTTTTATGCAACTCTATGCTTGAGGCTGTTTCTATATTTATATCTTTTTTAATTATTGGGTCTTTTATCAAAATCTGAACTTGTCCTTTGAAATATCAAATGGGTGATTGGACAGTTTTTTCGGGTCATTTCACACATGAACATCATGTAAAGTGCTGGTTTACCAGTTTGATTGCAATAAATGCACAAGTCACAAATATATGTTTCTCTGTTTTTTACTATTGATCATATGATGTTATAGTAAAGACTGCAAACAGTTTTAATAAGTCTCAGAGCTCATGCCCTATTGTTTATGGTGAAAAAGCAGACTCAGAGGGCAGAACAAACACCTAGCTGTGGGAGTGTCACCCACCTGGGGGAGGAGTTACTGCCCTTTGTGATGTCAGAAGTAGGACTAGTGTTAAAAACAACTATTAGGTAAAAAAAAAAAACTTTCCAAAGGTTCCGAGTATTTTTTACAATTCAATGTCTATTTTATAATACAGGTGCATATGAAATATATGCACTGTCTTACTTGCAATTAATCAACTAGCAATATGTACGGACCAAACAAATTGCCAATTAATGTATTTTTGCAATTTTACTTCTGCAGGAGTTTGCATGAAAGTACTTTAAATTCTGATTCTAAATCCCTGAGGGAAATTCTGGTTGCTTCTCACATACAGAGGCCCAAAATACACACATGCACAAACAGCTGTGGACATTAGTGGAGAGGTGTCAGAGTGGGGCTGCTACACACTGCTGTGCTGCTATGCAGGGAGTGCGCCAGAGCTGTTGGGTGCAAAGGCAACGAGGCTGATATTGAGCATGTCTTGTACTTTGCTTTGAAATACTGTCAGTCTCATGTGAATGATTAACAGTTTATCAGGAGTGTTTTGTTAAGTTATTTGCAGCATTCACACATTTAACCACTAGAGGAAGCTAGAGAATCATTAGGCGTAGGCCAAGTTGTGATGGCCTTTTAATGAATCAGCAGTTTCACTGTTCCAGGAACTAAAATGCTCAATACATTTAACCCTTTGTGAACATATTCAGCCACTTCCGTAACTGTTTAAAAAGTAAAGGTTTTGTTTGTCCATGGCTACTGTTTGTGAATACAATCTGGTGAGTTAAGCTGTCACTCTTTTTTCTACATGTATAATGATGTCATGAGCAGTTCATATTCCTTCATGTTTGGTGAGACTGCTTTTGTTTTGGGTTGATCCGCTCTCCTCCAACAGTATCAGAGTTCTTGATAAGTTTATCAGACCTCTCCCTACTGTTGGCTGCAGCGTGCACGAGTGTGTGTCAGAAAGAGATGGCCCTGACTCCATGCAGATGGTCCAGGATTGTGGTCTGACCTGATGTGACTGTTCAAAGTTAACTCCTGGCACAATTTTTATGTTTTTAGTTCCCTGAAATCAAATACCAGTGCTATTCCAACATCCTACTTTCTGTTCCTATATTGTTCAAGAGGCAATACAATACTTTATTTCCATTAAATACTATTTAATGGAAATAGAAAGGGGCCGCAACAGGGTGGACGTTTGCAGAAAATTTAACTTAAAAAACAAAACAAAAAAACAGTATCGTTTCCGCGTCTGAAAATGGATGCACAGTCTGCATCTTAGAGTTGACACAGGAACAATGGCCTAAAAAAGTGTGAGGAGCCCTTCAATTTATTGCTGCAGCTTTTTGTGCAAGCTGAAGTTTGTACTGATGCAGGTGGCATAGAGACAGTTTATATCTGTGATGTAGGCTAATTGACATTTGTTCGTGCGTTATAAACAGAAACAACAGTTTAACATTAAATTGACTATGTTTCGTTTTTGAATCCCATACCCCAAGAATTTCAGTTTCACGCTTGAAATGCGTTGCAGCGCATCACTTTTCTCGTAACTGCAGGTGGGCTGCTGTTCAGTTACTGGGTTAAGTTTCTGGTTTCGTTTCCAGCACCAAACGCACAGAAAGTGGGGTGTAGGGGGAGGGATGGATGGAGGGAGGGAGGGGAGGGGGGGGGCTGTGGAGGAAGTGAAAATGAAATCGACCTCATAGATCGTCTATATTCGAGAGGAGACGCTTAACAGTTTTTTCACGTCACCGATTGCAGTTTGTAAGTAATTCAATCAACCTGTCATTTCCTTCTGTTTCATTTCAAAATGTAATCAGTTGTTAACAGGTAACATATCAACCATGTTTGTTCCTTAGTTTTAGCTTATTTTTTTATAGTCATTGGAATAAAGATTCCATAATATGACAGAAAAGAAATAAAAAGAATCAGATTCTGACTCTGGAAAAGGAAACCTCTCTTCGTGTTTCCTAAGGTTTAGGGATTTAGGGATAAGTGATTTTATTGAATTGGCCAAAAACTAATTGATCATTGTTGCACAACCAGTCTTGTACTAAAATTGCAAGGGGGGGGTTCAATTTAATTAGGTCTGAATAAGGCTGAATCTATACAGCCTAATGTAAAACATAAATAGGCAACTAGCTTTTGGTTTAACGAAGCCTGCTTTTAGGTTGATAACTAACAACTGTGTGGGATCTACAGATGGAAAATTAACGATAGCGAGCTTAAATTTTACGTGGACAGTTCTGGTTACTACATCTTTCTCTCGTTGACTCTGACTCGTTGATCTTTGACTCTGTTTCTGCTTTTTAAATCCAGCCTTAAGACACATACCGACTTGGCCTTTTAGCTGACAGATATTCTTATGAGAGCTCCGTTGTGCATACTTTAACTCTCCTGTCTTATTGTTTTTACCTTAATTTGTCTTTGACTCTTTCAGCCATGGTTCTGTTTGTCTGATTTTTTTTTCTGTTTCTGTGTGTGCAATTGAACCACTGATCAGTATCTACAACAGAAGAACCAAACTATAAGGACAACACATAGCCTCAGACAGCACACACTCACTCTGCCATCTCTACAACCGTCTCCCCTCAGGCCACAGATACAGACCTCTCACTTTCCGGACTAATCGGGCCATGTCAAGCTTTGGTCCCACATCTATCAGGCTCATGAACAAATGATCTATTTCTTATTTATTTTAAGACCACTCATTTAACCACTTCTAACAATTATTTATGACCTATTTATCATGCTTTTAAAAGAGCCACTTGTATGTGTCTGTTTCTGCTGTTGTTTTTGTGTCTAGCTGTATGCACACTGATGCTCTTTTCCTAACGGATAAAGTAATTTGAATTTGAATTGAATTGTCTATTGCTTCTGTAAACCACTTTGTGCTCCTCTCTTAAAAAGTGCTCTACCAGTAAAGTGTTATTATTAAATGTGCCATGCTGTTATCTTTTAATTCAACTTTTGTTGTGAAATGTATTTCTTTATTTAGTGGTACTCAGAAATAATCAGAGTGAGTCCTCTTAATGTAGTTTTTAGTGGTACTCAGAAATAATCAGAGTGAGTCCTCTTCGTGTAGTGTTTTTTTGTCTTCTGGGAGCGCGCACGCGGCCAAATGACTTCCGCGACGCGGCTCGAGCTCGATCCAAAGCGGGAGCACGAGAGCAGGAGGGGGATTTCCAGCTCGAGCCCCCACTTCCCCGAGCTTGTTTTGCTTTCGGTCTGGACACAGAAACAGAAATAAAGGACGGCCTCACTTTCCATTTATTCGGGTTTTAAAACCTCAAATACATTAATTTGTGCGTGACTGTGGCAGCAGGACTGTGAAGCTTCAGGACAGCCACACTGAGCAGGTAACATTTTGATTTCCGCATTTAAACGCTGTTGACTTGACGCCACACAGACTTCCTACAGGACGACATGACGGATCCCGAGCTCGCCCTGTAAGTGAAAGTAGTACTGTAGTTTTTACTCCACGTTTGTTGACAAGCTTTGGTATTTATTTTCACTTTTGACTCGGTTGTGTTTTTGCTCGGCAGACAAACACACCGCTGTTCACTACTTCACATGAACCCCTCTGCTAAATCAAACTTTTAGACCAAACAAATCTCTCTGCAACATAATGACAACATATGGCTGAATCTAATCTCTTGATAAGATAGTACAACTCACTGTGGACCTTTTTATTTACTGAAGCTCTAAACACTCTGTAAATGCAGCCTAACTCTCGTGTTATGAGGAGAAAGAGACTTGACTGTTGAACAATTGTTAATGTTGCATTCAATTCCCCCTCCATGTGTTAGTAAATCAAAGTTCCGTAAGGTGAGTGATTGAACTGTGTCCTGTTTTTCAACTTAGTGACGTGTTTAGTAAACCTTTAAGACATTTAATAAGGAGTATGCAGAGTAGGACACATGGTCTTGGTTACACATTCACAATGATATAAGACTTGGTGAGTTGTAAATGACAGAATGTGAAAAAACACATGGGTTGCAAACATTGTTGTTGTTATTGAAATTATTCTTACATTCATTTTATTGTATTCATCATCTTGCTTATATTACGGTTAACAGTCTGACTAATGGTGCATTTTATCTGTCCTGATTTATCCAAACGAACATAACAAAAGTCCCTCATTGTGCAATCCCTAACAACTCACTTTGCCTCCTTGTGTTCTAACTAGTAGGGCCTGACTGATGTGGTATTTTTGGGGCAGATACAGATATCTATACTGGGGAAAAATGAAAAATGTGATGCCGATATATCTGTCTTGGATCTATGAAATCTGTAGAGCTAGATAGAGAAACATTTACACAATTATTGCGTTGATCCCTCCAATGCAGGTATCAAACACTTGTGAAGAAGATATAAGATGATCACTCAACTGGAAAGTGCATGTACGTGCGTCACCTCTCGACACTCTGCAGAGTGATAGTGCTTGTTGTAATCCATAGTGTACACTCTGCTGGAGACAGATAACTGCTAGTGTACTACAATGAAACTCAAATCAAAAGCTTTTTGACTGGTGAATACATTTAGTAACATTGGCGCATGTCAGCGATAGAATAGCCGATACTGATAGTCACTGGATATGCTAATAATCAGCCGATTTTATCAGCGTGCCGATAAATCAGTCGGACTCTAAGAACTAGTCGTGTAAGTCTGAAACTTTATTGACTAGATTGCTTTTTTAACACATATTCATTTATTCAGATTTCTTTTAGAGCACTGTGACGCTGAAATGGAAAACAACACATCCCTGTTCGGCCAAGAGAAAACAACAATTGAAATGAAGTCATAAAATACAAATAAATACAAATGTTTGACAGAGTTTAAACAACAGGATGTTTAAATAGAAAACACTTACAAATTGTGTGGTCTCACGGTCACATGAGGAGTTGACTTTTCAATATAAAATCACATTTACAGCTGGTTAAACAAACGGGTGACTTGATGAAAGGCTTTTGAACAATCTGATATTTGACCCACAAATGGAAAATCTCCTCCCTTTCTTTTAGCGTGTCATAGTATCTGTGATCCAGTCTTTAAATGCTGGATGGGAACATTAATCTTCATGCTACAAGTTGAGTTTAAATTGTCTCTTAAGTAGAATGCTTTTTATTTATTTTCACCCTTAAACTCATTACTTTTCAATGATGCAACAATGCAAACTACAACATGCTAACTTAGTTCAGAGCATATTTTTAATTGTACTGCAGTCCAGCTGTGTGCCGTGTTTCACTGAGCTGTGAACCAGATGCTGCTGGAAGTTTCAACTCTGTGCCTCATGAGGGAGAATATTTAGTATTAGCTGTGATGTGCTGAGCCATGTCACCCTGTTTGACCTGTTAGGGAGCTCGTTCTCGCCCCGGGTGGCAGCGTGTTTTTGGCTGCCTGTCGCATTTGTGGGGAGTGTCAGGCCACCAGACTTTGATCATTTCAGACCCGGCTCTTAAATCAAATAGCTTGGAGTGGGTAAACATTGCTCTCGCTTTGTTTTTATTTATTTCATTTTTTTGTTGAGCTTTTTGATTCTTATCAACAGGGCAGTGGATAGAGTAGGACACCAGGGAGGGAGAGAGAGAGAGAGGGTGGGGAATGACTTGCAGGAAAGGAGCCACAGGCCGGTCTTGAACCCGGGCCACCTGCTTGGAGGATTGCAGACCATATATTTTCCCATTCCTTTCCTTAGTGCGCCCTCTTGTCGTGACCTTTTGATATGTTTAATGAGACACAGAAGCTCCATAATGGGCTGTGCAGAGGCGCACACGACGGCTGATACAGACATAATTTGTCAGTTGTATTTTTACGAGCCCTTTTCTTTACAACATAAATTAAACTGTAAACTTGTTGGAGACTTTTATCTTTACGACCCAGGACAAAATGGACTCTGCTGTCTGCTCGGTTTTTTCTCATAAGAAGGACTGTGTGGGAGATCACCTTTCTCTCACACAGGCAGTCAGACAAGACCACATATCGTTATGTTTTCACATGTGGTTATTTGTATTATACGACTTCAATATAATGCTTCTAAAATGGGCCTACTACAAGGACCTCCAGGGGCACATTTGGAGAACTGCATGTTATTCTGAATGATATGAGCCATGCATATTTCCTTAATAATTCCTGAAGTTCATAAAAAATACAAATGTATGTTTAAAAAAACAGGTTTTATTTTTTCATATTTTTACTATAATCATTGACTCAGTTCTTCTTCTTTTTTAAGGTTTATTTTTATGCCTTTATTTTAGAGATAGGACTGTGGATAGAGTCAGAAATTGGGGAGAGAGATAGAGTGGGTAATGACAGGAGGGAAAGGAATCACAGGCCGAATTTGAACCCAGGCCACCGGCTTGGAGGACCACAGCCTCCTTGGGGTGCGCGCACTAGCCACTACGCTACTGGAGCCCTGTAAAAACAAAACAAACATGATCACATAAAGTTTTTTTTTCTTTTCTTGTTTCCCTTTTCTGAGGCAAGTTTTGATTCTGAATCACTGATGTGATTGTATTTCAGTTTGAATAGTTTCAGCTACACGGCTGAAAATGCAAAAAGAGAAAGAAAAATGAAACACAAATTCAAAATTGAGTCTTTAAGGGGGGCACTCACACTAGGCCCAGTTGTCCCATACCATGCTGAAGCACGATTCTCCCCCCTCCCCATTCCCCCGCTGGCCTGCACTCACACTGATCCAGGACTAACGTTACCTCTGTACATAATGTCACAATACAACACATGAATGGCATTACGTAATTATGAAGCGTTCTTAGTTTACACGACAGACGCACTAAAAAGAAAAGCAAAACAAAATGGGATGCATGATCAAGGCCGCGTCTGCACATCAGTGAACAACACAGAGAATATGACAGCTACTTCACTAACTTTGTGGCTTATTTTGAGTCTTTTTAGTCAGAAACAGCCACAGCACCCCAGGATTACTATATAATGAGGGCGGGATCAATTCTTCTTCATGTTCAAGTCGTGTGTCTGTGCTTGTGCTCGTGCATGAGCAACTGTACCGTGCCGAAGCAGACCTCTTCCATCTGTGCCAGGGCCAAGGAAGTGTACTGTGCTTGAGCTCACGCTAGTCAAACGAACTGGACTTTGAGGGTGCCTAGACGGTACAGATTGCCTAGTGCACCCTAAAACACCCTAAGAATTTACAGTGTATGTATGGTTCTTCTCTTTAATGTCGACTTTTTAGCTGTACCACTAACACTTAGCAGTGGTCACACCTCAAACACAGAATATGTTGCTATCTCTAATATGTTTGTGTCAATGCGTGTATGCTCACAGGACAAGATGCCAGTGGAAAGAATGAGGATGCGACCTTGGCTGGAGGAACAGATTGAATCCTGTCAAATACCAGGGCTGAAATGGGTTAACAAAGTAAGTGTTAGGTGGTGCCTACACACGCACACACTCAGATACTTTTTTAATAGTTCAAGAGCTGACAAAATGTGACTATCTTTATATCTCTAGGAAAAGAGAATCTTTCAGATTCCTTGGATGCACGCTGCACGTCACGGCTGGGACCTGCAGAAAGACGCCCCACTCTTCATGAAATGGGCCATACATACTGGTAATTCAAAGAAACCTCAGTTATTCTCCATTTCAATGTGTTTAATGTTCCTGCCTACAACACACAACCCCAATTTTATTCAAAATGTTAATGATTTTGATTTGCCTTTTATTTTAAGGAGGAAATAATCACATTGAAGGAGGGCCCTTTTCATTAAGACATTGATTTAGCAGTGCTTTAAAAACAAACCAACAGCTGCATCAAAAAGTAGAACTTCTTCTCTCCAGCAGGTCGCCGTGTGTGTAGGAGAATAGCTCATGCCAACTCATGTGTAAACAAAGCATTTCCACTCACTGTTTGTCTTCTTGGTATAGAAGTCATTACCATTGCAATTAAATGACCTTTACCAATGTTGGTTTCGTGTGTCTCATACAGTTAACACAAATGCTTTCCCAACATAGCAGGTTTTTGTGATATTTGTCTAATCTCTATCAGAATAGTGTGCAAATGTTAGCAGAATAATGTGCAATGAAAATCATATCTGGAAAGGGATTACTTGTGACACAGGCTATCTGAAGTCCCTCTTATGTGATTTTCTGGTGTTGTTATCGTGTAGGTAAATTCCAGCAAGGCATAGATCGCCCTGATCCAAAGACATGGAAGGCTAATTTCCGCTGTGCCATGAACAGCCTGCCAGACATCGAGGAGGTGAAGGACAAAAGCATCAAAAAGGGAACCAATGCCTTCAGAGTCTACAAGATGCTCTCCTCGTCAGAAAGAAGCATGAAGAAAGGTGAGTGCTGCTGATCTTTGGCTAGGTGACAGTATGGACTGATCCATTTATAATTCCATATTTACCCTTCAAAGACTCTCAAGTCAAAGTGTGGCCATTCCTGAAAGATGTGTGTTTCTGTCCATGCAGGAAAGAAGAAGGCAGACAAGGAGGGGAAAGTCAAGGGAAATAAAGAGGTATAAAAAACATTTAAAAGCCTTTTCACACATTCAGGAGAGGGTTTGGCTCGTTAGGACACTTCACATCAAACTCTATGAAAGTGTGTTATTACATGTAGATTGTTGAAAATGCAATCAACACCACATTCCTCTCACCATAAATGGCGGTACTGCTGCATGATGCATGATAATAACGTCATTAAAGAAGGACCTGTTTATGATTTGAGGCCATGCAGTAAACTGTCCTCCCTGCTAGTTTGGTAGCATACGACACATCTCATGATTCATTTCACAGAAGAGTACTCCTGGAAGTCTATCTCAGTACTGACCGGGCAATTTGCCAAATTATCCAACATGAGCAACACAGTCTGGCTTGTTTGCCGCCGCATGAAAGAGACATTTGCCAGATGGCAGGCGCAGTTACCAAGCCAGCCTCAACTATTTGATTTAGTCTCTCAGAGCTATGCTACTACGTCAACTTGTTGGAGTTGTTTCCACTATCAACAAAAAAGAATACAAAATAAACCGACTTAAATAAGCTTATGGAGATAGTTTGTCAGTTTGAGTGAACAATTCATGTCCACATGTTAATACACCTGCTCAAATACAATATTTACTAGCACACAACCATAAACTCACTGTGTAACTTTAAAGTAGTAAAATGTAACTCTGTAACAGGGGGTCATTGATCCACATTCTCATTTCTCATTCCATATCATCATATCAAAGAAAGACAATATTTGTCTTTCTTAGGAATAACAATTTATTCCATGATAGGTCATCGTTTTCCCCCCTCATTAAGTCTGCATTAATGTGACCTTATAACAATATTACACATGTCCAATAGCAGCAGGCAAACACACTGACGGCCCAGTGTGTGTCCAGGCCGGACCACAGACAAACAAACAACGTCTTTTAATTTACCATTTGAAGAATTACTGAACGCTTCTGAACACAATAATCCACCAAAAATGAGTCCTCACGCTTTAAATCCAGTGAAAGATTAAATCCAAACACTTTACATCCATAACGATCAACAAAACTGTTCACTGATTCACTGATTCACTGACCTTTTGATGACACTAGCAGGTCTGACTAGTGTCACTCAATAGTGACGTCACAGTTGCACGCGTTCCAACCTGGATGTTCAGACTGAGGTTGCACTGCAAAAGATCTGTTCTATATATTTTAGATTTGAAAAGATCAGATTCCATGTGACTGTTTACATTGACAAAAATCAGATGGGAGTCACATAGGAGCAATACAAATCTGATTCAGGTTACATACCTGCAGCGTTATTGCAGCCTAAGGTAGATGTTTATGCTCTGTATGCTCTATTGTTGTTTATCACAGTGTGAAACACACACAGATCTTCCCCTTTCCTTTTTTAAAGAACACATAACCTCTTTACATCTAATATTGATAATAAAATGATTGTCTTTCTCTTTCCACTCCCTGACCGTCTCACCATCAGGCAGCATCTCCATCTCCAGACAGGACTCACTGTGATGCGGGAGCTATTGACTACTCCAAACAGGAGACGATAAAGCAGGAAGTCTTTGAGCCAACAATAACAGATTGTGCCTCAGGTATTCTGTAGTTTTCTGTTTAGATATTCTAAAACTTTTTCTAGTCAAATCTGGCTGCAGGTCTGTGTTTGAAAATAATTGTATTACCCTGTTATTGTGAAAAAGTTGACCCCGATTAATATATTGTAAGGTTTCTGGCCGTCAAATAATTAATGCATTCATGAAAACGGTGGTATATTGTTCCGTAAATAAACCTTGTCCAGTGCTCTTTTGATTAAAGTAATCCTATATAAAAGTTAAAGAGTGACCAGCGGAGTGGTCAGAGAGCTCACAAGCTAGGGGTCTGCAGGCTTAGAGCTCAACTACCGTACTGTAGCTAGTCAGAGTGCAAACTCTACAAAGTGAAAACAGACAGAACTAAAATAGCGACACAGCTGCACATAAACTGCATGTGGTAGACTTCGCAGGAAGTGCTCTCTGAGAGTCCTTCAAAAACAGGGTGCGTCTTGTATACCGGTGCGTCTTGTATACCGGATTTTACGGTAATCGTAATCAGTATAAACACTTTTAAGGTTAAAATATCAGTATGTTCCCTACTCCCGTCTTAGGTGTATGCAGGGAATCAGGAGGGGCAGTCACCAAGCTGTCCATTTGTTGTTTTTTTTATTTTTTATTTTTATAAGGCCTTATTTATTTAGTGTTCATTGTTTAAAACTTTTGTGCAGAAAGCTCAGAGAAAAAATGATTCGGTGATAACAACTGTTATTGTGTTGAGATAAGTGTCTCCCTGATTCTCATCAGCAGAGCTTTGTCGGCTGATTGAAGAGTTTTTGAGGTGCTGAAAAAAGGAACAAATAGTTTTTTTTATGTAGCTGACAAAATTCTGAGCAGGGTACCAGGAAGTGTTTGGATGCCACGGTTAAAGCAGATGTACTTTTATTAACTTTCAATAACATTGCTTTGTTTATTAAATAGGGTTATGAAGGGTGGAGTAATGAGAATTAATAGTGACTTTTTATCCTACAGACTTGATTGGAAATGTATCTAGATTCATCAATACATAATTGAATGCCATCATGACTTCTCCTGTCCGTCCATTCACAGCCATTCACAGTTCAGTAGACGACCACGTGATCACTAGCGAGCAGCTGCCGTTCGTCTGCCAGACCATTGAAGTGACCACTGAGAACGAAGAGCAGACTGTTAGCTCCTCCCACTCGTATCCACTTCAAATCTCTCCTGTGTCATCATGCTGCGGTGAGACCACACACACACACACACACACACACACACACACACACACACACACACACACACACACACACACACACACACACACACAACTTTTATGACAAGGAGCCTAAATAGGTTAGTTACGTGGGACTGCGCTTCTAAAAGCAGCGGCTGTCAGAGTTGAAACCACATCTTTGACCACAGTTACAAAAGGCAAACTTTCACCTAAAGTGGTTAACACAAAAGTCAAGGATCAACTCTGCAGGGCATAGTTAGGGCGGCTTGTGACAGCTTAATATGGCTGTCAAATCATTTCTTATCTTTATCAAATTAAAGTGTCTGCATCTCCTCTATCAATATCCCCAGAGTTTGTTTCCTTGAAAACATTTTCCATTCCTCTGACCATTACATTTTTAAAGTTGTCCATTCAGGCGTCTCTGCACCTTTAGTGTGAGAGCAACTTGGAAGTGTGTAAAAAGTCCAGTTAGCAACGTTAACACCATCAGTAGTTTGGTTACGTCTGTCATTGCACTAATCTCATGTAAACTCAAGTCACAGCGTTGCTCAATGACACCAAATTTTGCCAATCTCTGTTTTTCTCGTCTACACATACACACCTTCAACGGAGTTCTGAAAATCTGGAAGGAGTTTTCAAAAAAGGTTTTCAGTGACCTATAATTCAGTTTGTGTACAAAAGATCAAAACACACAGAAAAGGCTTGGTGTAAAAAATACCTGCCTACATGTTGACTCGGCCTGAGTTTCAAGTTGCTCGTACGACTTTAATCAATTTGAATTTGAATTAAAGTTCACGGCTAGGAGTGTGAACCACAAATCGATGACTGTAAATACTCGACCTATTTACGCCTCCGCATCCAGAAGAAGCTGTGACGGGATTCTTTATGTCTTATATTTTAGGTCCATCCAAATTATTGTGAAGACAAAATCTCAGGGACGACTGTAAGAGATACATTAAAATATGACAAAAACATCCACTTCATGGACGAACCAATGTGCATTAGTGAAGCTGGTACCTCAGAAACACAAAGAGGAAAATATGTTGTTACAGTAAAATGTTCCACTTGGCATCAAACTTGAACTGATAAAGGTTCGGTCAAAGTCACTTTGTTCTTTCGTAACTTGTTTTATAAAATAATTATGAATAAATTATTCACGAACAACTCCAAATTTAAAAAAAGTGCCCAGTAGAATAAAAAGTGGATGCTTCTCTTTAACAAGTGGTCAGGTCATCTTCACTGAGACATCCTTACGTCCTGCTAAGCCCCTTTTCTGCATATTACTGCCTCACCAGTATTCAGGATCGCCTGGAGGTGATTCCTTTTTAACTTCACAAACCTGCACTTGGTGTTCAAAGGTCTCTCTCTGTTAGAGAGCGGGAGAGAGATAAGGAGAGGTGTGAGTTTGATGGGACCTCTCCTGCTAACATAGGCCTACGTACCACGTCGATTTAATTTTAGCAAATGTGTTTTTCAGTATGATTACATTGTCAGAATCAGAAATACTTACCAGGGGGAAATTCGGTTGTTTCCGTTGCTCTAAGACACTTTACAGAAGTAGGAAATACAGAAATAATTTAAGAATGTCAAAATAAAATAGAATAGAGATAATAAAATAACCAATAAGTACCAGGTGGGACTGGAATGATGTGTACAAGCGCAGTGACTTAAAGATCGAACATAAAACAATATTTACAGTTACTAATATGTATACTGTATAAAAAGGTTACCACATCCTGACAGTTACATTTTCACTGAACGCCTTCTATTGGAATGAATGGATGCATACTTTGACTTGACTGGTTGGCAGAGCTGTTCTTCTAGTCATCTAGTCAAATCAGCCCCTCTGTGTGTATCCGTCTGCTCTATAACAGGTCATTCAGGCAGAGTTGGCTCTACCAGTTTACTGTACTAATCATACCATCTTTGTTTTTCTGTTGGCGAGGCGAGGAGTCAGCGTTCAAGTTGAATCCTTCATCAGCCAGTTTTCCCCTCCTTCTCAATATATGCATTAAATAATGTGCAGGTGTTTGATTTGTGTTACTTTGAGCATATGTTTTATCTCTTCAGACATTTAGAACTCTTCCTCTTTCTCCTGATCTCCCCAGAATTCTTCCTCTATGATTAAATGATGACAAAGCAAAACTTCCACTTCCTGAATAATACTTCTAAATGCTGGTTTATGTATATATATGTAAAATTGCTTTGTGTCTGTGTATTTCTGCAGGCAGCGACACGGACAGCGACACAGAAGACACCAAAGAGGTGAGCTGTAAACTGCAGAGGAGAGAGTGATGAATGAATGATTAACCGCTCTGATCTTCAGATGAACAGGTTTTGACCTGACTGCTGAAACAGGGTGTGTGTGTGTGTGTGTGTGTGTGTGTGTGTGTGTGTGTGTGTGTGTGTGTGTGTGTGTGTGTGTGTGTGTGTGTGTGTGTGTGTGTGTGTGTGTGTGTGTGTGTGTGTGTGTGTGTGTGTGTGTGTGTGTGTGTGTGTGTGTGTGTGTGTGTGTGTGTGTGTGTGTGTGTGTGTGTGTGTGTGTGTTCTGTGTGCATGTTGTGTGTGCATGTGTTCCTTCCTGTAATGTTGCGAGACACTGAGAAAAGGGAGGGCCTTGTGTCAGGAACTGAGGCTGTCAAACATTAACAATTTGATCTGATCTTGGCCTTTGTGTTCAATGTGGGTACAATGTTCTACACACACACACACCACACACACCACACACACATACACTATCTCCTTTCAGTAGTAAAAGTAAAGTTTGTTTATCTGTTTTTTTCTGCTCTTACTCAAATCTATTCCTTATTATTGTGGTTAAGAATTAAAAAAAAAACAATCATTCATCTGCTGTTACATACAATGGGCGGCCTTAACATGAATGAACAATGAATGTAACGATACCAACAATAATATCATGGTAACAAGTCCACACTATGATATTTATGCGATATTACAAGTATAAGACTTGGAAAAAAGTGCCATTTGTTAAACAACGATTTGACATAGAAAGTGGTTCAAATGACCTCAAAGTCCCTTTTTATAAAACAAAGCAATATTTAAGAGTTTTTGTCTGTTGAAGGTCTAGCACACAAACGTTGCCAATAAATGTTTGTTACCCACAGTGATGCAGGAGTTTACCTCAAAGTTTTTGATGGACACATTGCTCTCCTTATGAAATGGATGTGCGAAAGTATTTTCTGTTTTTAATATAAAACAAACCAGAGGCACCAACTAAACCCTGTAAACAAAACAAGTCATAGTCATACAGAATAACTTCTAATATCTTTACTCCCTGACCATCCAGCTAGTGTGATATGTCCATTGTGAAGGTCAGGGAGTGTGTCCGTAAAATCTGGAATATAAGCCGCACTGGTATATAAGATGCAGTCTTGTTTTGTGGGGTGTCCCAGAGTGAAAAAGGTTTAAAATGTACATTTCTGTTTAGCAAAGTCCACAACGGGCAATTTCTGTGCAGCTGTGTCGCTCTTTTAGTAACATCTGTTTTCCATTTGTTTGCACTGTATGTTGGTCACAGCCAACTCTTTAGATGAAAAATAAGAATTAAAAGTGTGTATCATACACAAGATTTTACTGTAATCGTTTAATCTCAATTGTCTTGTTTTCATGATCGTGGGAAGCCAAATTCCAAATTGAAATTGAATCTCAATGAAATGCCCAGCACTACTATTTACAGTATTCTGCAAGTCTGATACTGCATCATAACCCCTCCTCATGGAGCCAAATCCCAGTTTTTATATAACCCTAATACTTCCAGCATTAAAATGACAGTTAACACAGATCAACAACGTACATACATCAGGATTAGTCCACCATCTCTTTCTAGCTGTGACTGTGTTTCTGCTTGTGCAGCAATCTGACTTTTGTTTTATTCTTTTTTTTCCCCCCTCCAAAGGGTGTCAGTGCTGTCTGGCGACGGGACTACAGCACATCAGTTCTCAGGGTTCCTTCATATCCCCTCCCCAGCATGGCAACCTTTGTCAGTGGAAGCAAGCCAAACTTCAGGGTCACCAGCACTCGAGACCCATCCCCACTTATCAGCTACCACACAGACGGCTGGATGCCAGCCTACAGCCAAAACTCTGAGACAAGCAGCCACACCCATGAGATGCGTGCAAGTGTCATCATGAAAACCTCTGACATCACATCCTCCTGACCTCTGACTTCAGACCACATGTATCATCACTGTTTCCAGGGCATAGGGATGAAAGAAATTGTTTGAGTTCTCCATCAGGGCTGTGAGGAGCCCAAAGAGGCCGAGCTTCAAAACCTTTGATATGATCATAGAGTCTGATGGGCCAGAATCCTCCCACCTTCCCTTTTTAATTGGAGACGCTCGCTCTTTGTTGACTTAATTGGTGAGCATTTAAGTCCTTATTTATTGTTTCAGCATCTTTATGGATGTAAGGGTAAGTGTGATGTAAATCTAGCATGAATAAATAGATTATATATGCGCCCCCTGTACTACATGTGGTAGATCGTTGGTGCTAACACTTGAGCTCATGAATGAAGTTTCCTATTTTTATCTAGAGAAAGAAAACCATCATTTTACAACTTCTAAATGATTCCCCCTCCTCATAGTGAGGTTAAACCAAAACTGCTCTCACTGCATATACAATGTAACAATACCAAAAGCACCACCTCACCTGTAATTATGATATGAAATCATAATTGAATAGTCTGTGAATGTCACACATTGCTGGAGTCAGCATGAGCTGTGTTGTCAGGGTTGGTGGCAGATTTGTTTGCTTGTCCACTGATTTGGACCTTGTAGCCTTTTTCCTCATCATCACCTGAAGAGTCACAATCAAACGTTTAGCTGACACGTACGAAACGAGTTCACGCTATTCATTTTTTAAAAGTGAAGCAGTCACTAACTGTCAATCACATAGATATTTATCTCCTCACATCATAAATCTTCTTCATAGAGTTTCCAGATTTTAAACGCGTAGTTTGAAGTTTATTCTTCATGAAGTGTTACGCATAACAACACGCCAACCGAAATCATGTGAGCTCAAGTGTTAGCTGCGTTAGGCTCATGAATTGAACAAAGGTCATTTACCCTGAGAAGCCATCCTTTCTCATATCAGAGCATTAAGTGTAAACTTGAATGAGAGGTTTGAGAGGACGTTGATCGAGAAATCAAAGGCTGGGTATTAAGACAGAGCTAGACAATCATTCGGGAGCCCTGGTTGACCCTGCAGTGGAAAGCAGTTGTGTGTGTTTGTTCTGTATCTGTCTGTTTGTCTGGAGACCTCAGGATAAAGTACCCGCCTACACAGACAGACAAACAGACAGTGAGATAGACTGACTCACTGACTGCCAGACTGTGAACAATGTTTTCATGTCTTCTCCTCTCTTCTGCCTACTGGTGTTAATAATGTACATAAGTCATATGTCAGTATGCCTGCAAGCCGCTTCAGCACCTTACGGACCACACACACGTGTGTGTCAATAAGTGTGTGTGTGTCAATAAGTGTGTGTGTGTGTATGTGTGTGTGAGAGAGAGAGAGAGAGGCAGAGAAAAAGCCTTATTGAAGATATGTGCCTTTGATGAAGTGCAGTTGGATCAAACTGTCTATGCTTTACTCTGCTAGTGATGTGCCGCTAGCTTTCTGTAGCAGCGGACAGTGTTGATGTGGGGAGCATGGAGGGCCATCATTGGTTTAATCTGCACATTCAAAGAGAGTGTCTTTCTATGACAATAAGAAAAGGGAACTGTTGGCTTCAGATACATCCCAGAGGAAGGTGTCATCAGCAGCAGACGCGTCACTTTGTTGTTTTTAGATCACACTTGTTTTTAAAGTTTAGCTCTACAGTTCCCATCCCCACTTGACTTCAGTGAGCGGATGAAGCAGCGCAAGTCTGCCGTCTGTTTCGTCTCCATTCTTCCCAGCTGTAAGGACAGTAGCCTTGCGTGCTTGTATTTCAGAAGAAATACCCTTGATAAAGTGTCATTTTAACAACATGCTTTGTAAGTGACCAAATATCAGAGTCTTGTTATAGAGGCCAAAGTCGCAAAAACTGCAACATAGGACATTTCACCTAGCTGCCATTGGGGAGCATTACAACGAGTTAGTGAATCATTAACATCAATAAAATGTGAGAGAACACACATTCATATCATCATCTTTATGATGTAGCAATGATCTGTGTCGCTGTTTACGTCCTGGTTGGTTAGATTATGAATGATTTTGACATTTGGCTCCAGGTTTGAATCATGAATTATCATACTGACATCAAACTTGATTTAAACACCTAATATTGTTATGGCACGAAAAACACGAGAAAACATGCTGAGTTGAAGAAGAACATGATTTTCTTGTTTAATTTACTCTTCATTATGGGCATGTGTGAGTGTTGAGTTGTTACTTAGAGTAATGCTTTATCTTCTCTTATGAACAGCTTTTGTTTCAGACATAACTAACTGTGCTAAGGATCTCTGTGAGCCCCCCGACCTGAAACAAACTGCGCTTATGGTTTTAAGTTTAGATGTAGAATGAAATTTGCCCTTAAAGTACCCAAATATGAAATCATTTCTAGGTATATTTTTGGGCTTTTGGGGCCTTTATTCAAAGACAGGACAGTGGATAGGGTCTGAAATCGGGGAGAGAGAGAAAGATAGTGGGGGAATGACATTTGGGAAAGGAGCCACAGGTTGGATTCTAACCTGGCCGCCTGCTTGGAGTATCACAGCATTGAACATGGGGTGCATATTAACCACAAGGCTACCGGCGCTCCAGAATATGAAATCCCTCTGAGATTCCCTGCTTGCACCATTATGAACTTTGTTGAAAGCATCAGAAAACTCAGCAGTTAGCAGGCTAAAGCACAGCTCTCACTCCTAGCCTGCATGTAGCAGAGCTCCAGTGGGAACAGCTCTAAAGGTTCCTATAGGAAAAATAAAAAAAGGAACCCTCTCTGATTGTGAACCAAAGCACTAGAGATATTTACACTGGATGCACATTACTATCATGGTGAATATAAGATTTCCACCGAATCAAAGGGGGTTTGTGCGGATGTGTTTTTAATGTGCCTTTTTTCTTTGTTAGAAACTTGCATTGCAAACCGAAAGACTTCTTCTTCTTCTTCTTCTTCTTCTTCTTCTTCTTCTTGAGTTGTTACCCTTCATGAAAGTTCTCAATAGGCCACAATATTTACAGCATACATATTTACATTATTTATGTCCGCAAAAACATAAATCCTGCCGTTTTTTAACCATGTGTTTGTCCTTGTGAGTCTTTTTATCCTCATTAATGTCACCGCGATCAAAACATCTCTGAGAACCATTTTGAAAGAATAAAACATTTACATAAATCTGGTTGCAATGAACAAATGAGATGAAGATTTTTAAATGTTTCTGTGGCTTATTAATTCTATGAGTGTTGCTCTACATTTAAAGCAGTGTGATCCATATTAGGCCTTTGCAACAGTCGGCGTACAGGTTGAAAAGGCACACCTTTTTTTTTCCCCACACCTTTTTCACACCTTAAAAGCAGAATCAATCATGACCTTCAGTCATTAACATCAGTTTTATTCAGGTCAAAAACCCAGCCATGTTATTTTCTTTTAACAAGAACCAACTGAAGTGCTCTTATCCGTTGACACATTTTGTGCTGCATTATGTGTTTTAAAGGGACGTCACTGCAGCCAGAAGTCCAGTTTTAATGGTATGAAGGTGTGACAGTGTTGTCCAGCGTTGACTTTATTTGTCAGAGCCTCTCGTGCTCGTTCATTTGTCTCTTATCTTAACGCTCTGCTTGTACCATGAAAGACGTTTTTACCATGCAACTAAAAGCAAAACGAGAACTGCTCAGCTACTTGCAATGTGTCACCACTGTTTCTCGTCTGTACGTTATGAAGAGTCCATGTCAATCAACATGTTATTCTAAATAAATAAAGAGTGTTTTTTTTTTTTTTGTATTTCTTCTAATGTGTTTCACTTGTTTTTATGACACATACTGTAGAGGGGGAAATGTGCAGCGCTGACACCACTCATAAAGGTCAGAGTTCAGTTTTATGATTGGGAGAAGACAAAGACTTGTTGCTGTTCCTTACCGGAGAGAAACGGGTACAGAGCTCAGGGTAGATAAGAAACGAGATATGGTGATGCGATGTGCAGACCTGTGAGTACATGTAATACCTGCTTTTGATATGGAGATTATGTACTGAAGGGAAAACACTGTTTAAGTGCCTTTTCCTTTCTGTTAGAGCAGTTTCACGGTGTGCACTCAATCCGAGCAACAACAGCCCCAACTGCTGTTTCAGTTTCAGTTGATGTTCTCAGTTCTTATTCTTCTTCCTGTTTTTGTCTCAAAGGCCCCCGATGGCAGTCCAGTTGCCTTGACAACTATGAACCACATGCCATTAGTCATAGTACACAGTGCGTCTTTTAAGTACATGTGCTTTCTTTTGCTCTTTTTGACAGGAGCCTTTGTTTGCAGCTCTTTCTCTCCCATCTGTTTCCTGTTCTAAATTATGACCCACCAACAACAAGCGTCACCTCACTTAAGGTTCCCCTCTTACCACAAATCCCTCAAATACGATGAGAAACAAAGGAAATATCCTCTTAAAATGTCTGAGTATAAGTTGTCATTGAGTCATCGTCAGAGAGTTTAAATGAAAACATGTTTCATTCAAAAAGTCGACATTTGTAAACTGTAAGGTTTCTATTGTGTCGAGGTGAACTTTGGTCCACACAGACAAGGAAGAGAGTTTGCAGAGATGTACCACCAGTGCCATCTAGTGTTTAAAAGTAGAACTGCAGCTTTAATTTTGACCGGGCTATATTTAAGAATCTCATTCGTCTGTGTTTCAGGATTATCCTCTGAATCGTTCCTCTGCATGGTTTTGTCAGTGTGACATCATGGTAATATGTATTATGGGGATATACAATGTGTTTCAACTCATAAAGCACGGGTTTTTCCACATTTCAATCCTTGCATTGGCAAAGGCCGAGACAGGTATCGAAGACATTTTAGATTTTTTTATTGCAGCCTCATTGTTGACCAAATGAAACATTAATTAATGTTTTTGTCATCGCAGCCGTAGAAAAAATGGATGTAGGATCTTTGAAAGAGGTTAGTTGAGACCCTCTTCTGTAAGTGCTCATTCTTATTCTCTGATAAGAATTTTAATCCCACCTCTCCACACACTCAGCTCCAGTCTCAAATAAAGATAGACTTCTGCTCGTCCAAGGATTACCACGACGAGGGCTGGAGTACAGCGTCGATGTTCAGTCTGGGCCATGAAGTCCACTTGGTGGTCGGGGGTCTTTTACCGCCTGTAATTATGATACATTGGGTAAAAGTGAGTTACTGTTATTACGGCGCTTGGAAAATAAAATCACACATTTTCTATATCGCTTCTTCATTAGCTAGTCATGGTTAGAAGTTGAATATGCTAATGTTTTGGTGACAGTAGCTCGGTCTGCAGGGACTTTGGTTGGGAAGCGGAGGGTCACTGGTTCCAAAACAGGTGTGGACCTAGGCTGGAAAATTGGTCTGATAGCTGGAGGTGCCGTTTCAGTTCCTGACTCTTGCCGAGGTGCACTTGAGCAAGACACTGAAACCCCAACTGCTCAGGCACTCTTCCATGTGCAGACCCTCACGCTAACATCTCTTCATTAGTGCATGTTGTGTGTGTATTTCATCCTATGTGTGTGTAGCATGTCTCAATAATGGAGTGAAAAACTCATTTCTCCCCCTGGGATTAATAAAGGATATCCTCTTCTTCTTACAGTGTTTGTCTCTGATAAACACATTATATACTGTATACATATTCCTCAAATCAACACATGTAAGCCAAGTTAATGTGTATGCCAACTGAAAGTAAAACCAAGTTTTGATAAAGGAAGAATGTGAGAACAGTTTACACATAAATACATCAGAAATCAAGTATCTCCTCTGTAAATGTCTCTGTGAGTCATGACTGTCTACAATGAGTGGGAAGCCCCAGCTGTACTGTTCTTGGAGCCGTGTTTACATGAACTAGAGAGAAGAAGAATAACATACTCACTGCTTATTTGGATGTCAGGCAAGTGTGTTTAGATCACGGTCATTCTGTGTCAGTTTATGTTCAATGTGAAGCTATGAGTTAACCGAGTGTGCTAACATTAGCCTGCTAACAACCATGCAGGCCACAGGTTATTGCAGCTCCAGAAAATGACAATCTGTCCGCCACTTGCTCTAAATGGTGCTTAATTATGTTGCGTTCTAATTGATAACTCCTTCGTGTGAATGCAAGTGGAGGTGTGCCGCTGGAGGAGAGCGGAGGCCTCAGAATAGTGGACGTGTGGCCAAACAGCAGTTTGTTTTCATGCTGGCTGGTTTGTTTCACCCTAAAAGCAAAGGAGGCCGAGCATTTGCTGTTCAGGCTCCACGGCTATGGAACGACCTTCCTGAGGATCTCAGACTTGCAACATCAGTATCTTCTTTTAAATCCCCTTGAAAGACTTTTTTTTTTTATCAAAAGGCTTTCTTGTTATTTTTATGGTGATATTTAATTTTATTTGTTTATTGACTCCTTTCGTCAGCACTTGCTTTAGTTTATATTTTACTCTCTATAGCCGTTTGCACACATGCACTCCTGAAAAGACAATTTCAGGAGGAGTGCTCCAGAGATTCTGCTGATCTGGCTGTTCACATATGCTCCTCACAGTGGGAGACTATCCCTGTCAGAAGGGAGGGGGGGGGGGTCTCCTGAGGTAAGACATGACAGGAGAAAAACTACATGGAAGTAGAGGACGGAGCAACATGTACTATGCTATAATAAGAATATTTGCCCCTCTCCCATTGGCTTGAGCTGAAATCTCCTGATAATATCCTGCTGCGTTCTCACATCAGCTCACTCAGACTTGCTGCGGAAAAAATACTAGTGGTCTGGCAGGAGAAACTCTGGGTGAAGTACGACTGAAAAATTTGGTTGTTTGTGTTCACATATTCAGCTCCTCCGGGAAATATCCTGAGTTTTTTAGGAGTTTTCTGCAAGTGTGAAAGCCTTATGTCTTCTTGTTTATTGCTACATTGTTGTTTTTCTTTTGAGGTTTTATTTAGACTTTATTTTTGTGTATTGTTGGGATTTGTACGTTATTTAAAGCACTTTGTAGCGTTGGTGTTTGATACGTGCTTTGTAAACAAACGTTATGATTTCTAATGGATTTAAACGACAGCAGACTTTCACTTTCAGTCTTTAAGAAGGTGCAGTGTATTTTATGAAAAACACATTTTATGATATACAAGTGTAGAATTAGGGCCACGTTAAAAAAAAAAAAAAAAAATCTAAAATTTAGAGATTAAACTCATAAATTTACGAGAATAAAGTCGTAAATTTACAAGATTAAACTCGGCCCTAATCCTCTGTCGTACAAGTGTATAACAAGCAAACAAATATCTGAAAATCCACAGCAAGAAAACAAGGGCTAAATTATTGATAAAATAAAACCAAACATATTTGGTACCACTTACAAGTTTTATTTATTTTAAGACAGAGATAATGCTTTGTGGTAGTGTATCCATGAATGAAACTGTATTGGAATATATCTTTACTGCCTCGTATGTCTCGTACTTTTATCACTGATGTTTTTCCGACTGCCGTAATCATTCTAATTGAACTGACTTTGACAGGGAAGTGTACGGAGTGTGGAGTTCTTCATGTTGGACAAAGAGCCGGTGAGAGACAGGGGGCCTTGGGAGAAATCTTGCACGAGAATCGAGATGGGTGTGTAGGAATCATTGTGAATAGGTAGTCAGTTTTTGGAATAATTGTCATTTTAATAGTTGCTATTCTGCCTAGGATGGATAGTTGGAGGTTCATCCAGCGGTGGAGATGACACATGGAGATCGTCATTTACTGGACTGAAAATAAGACTGATCAACTGCCTGAGGGACACCTTGATCCCTAAATAATATATATGTCTTGTGCATAAAGGGATTGTGTGGGCGGTGAGGACGAGGAGCCCGGGGACGGCTCAAGCTGGAGTGGACTGGTGGTGTCTGTGCTCTCACTGTTTGCCTATGGACACAGACATGGAGTCTGTTTTCTGCCCTAATGTTTCTGGTAGAAAGGCAGCCTCAGAGGGCAGAACAAACATCTGGCTGTGGGAGTGTCACCCACCTGGGGGAGGAGTTACTGCCCTGTGTGATGTCATGAAGGGAAAATCTCCAAACGGCCTGTTTGAGCACACATTTTCTGAAAAGTGGAGAAGGCATAAGATTCTCCGTCTTTGGATGGACTTTTCTCATACTTGGGGGATCTGTAGACAGGCTAGTGACACATATTAGTGTTAGAAAACCATTATAAAGTTTATTTTGCATCATATGTGACATTTCTTCTTTGAATATGCCCTTCAGGTGGGGAATACACTAAATATCCTTTTTACCTTCTTGTAATATTTGTGTGACAGATGCAGCCTTCAGGATGATGCATGCTGTAACAATCTCCCCACATGAAGTGACAACGTGAAAGACTGAGACCAAACATCCAGGATGTTCTCCAGACCAGATCAGATGTACTGGTGAGCAGAGGACGGACTGGAAAGCAGGGGCCTCCTTGATTCATTTGAAATAGTAAGTGATCCTCTCAGTGGTGCTACATACATTCAATCAGACATGCTGATGACTCTTGCACTACTGATTGAACCAGGTTGTGAATCTGCTGTGTGCATAACATGAGCTGCCTTGTTAAAGTCAGACTTCAAAACCAAGTTGTTTTATGCAGCCGCCTTGTGTATGAGTTAGTATTACATGACAACATAAACAGAGGTCTCCTGCAAGTGTTTTAGTGAAAATAAATTCTAGTCACTGGGTTGGGATTTCATGCTTACCCAGCTTCACACTCAATGCAGATAAGAGTATTGTGAAGCAGCTTCCTCTCTGCACTCTCACACTCAATTGCACACATGCTTTTTCTCTGGACCATGTCTCAGGTGAGGAATCTACTTAAGATGAGAGACTTTTTTGCTGTTGTATATTTATTTTCTGGCCTCAACTTCACCTCAACTTGCGTGTCAGAAAAGTTCCTATTCTTTTTCCATCTCTGTGCCATTATTTAGCATAAAGAATCAGCTGACTAATTTACACACTTCAGTATCCATGAGGTGCATTGCATTGATGGTTAAATGACGCATGATCAATGTGCCCACATTTCCAGTTGTGTCGTGATTTCTTAAGGCAACATGTTTATCTCTTTAGGTGAGGTTTTGAGATAAGCCCTCTGGGTTTCTACCTCACCAACACGTGTTTTTTTTCATTTTTATTTGCTTTTTTCTGTCTGACTTTACATTCAACAATGTGCAAAAAATAAACTAAACTTAGCATTTCGTGTAGGTGTGCATGCAATTATTTTGGATGCACACACACTCACTATGTTTCTACACACTGTTTTTTAAATTACCACTCAGCCAGATGTTGAACTTCCCCCACTGGTGTTAACGGAAAACTAGTGATGGGAAAAGCAGTTATTTTCAGTGTACTGAATCATTAGAATCAGTTCAGTAAAAACATTTGTACAAAAGATTCGTTCACCGAATCGTTCAGTGCTTAACCAGAGCTCTGACCGCGAATCAGAACTCAATGAGTTGAGCTGTCCCTCAACACTCGTAATATAGTTACTTCTAATCAAGAATAATGTCTGATAAAAAGTTGAAAATGGCACTGGCGTTGCCAGCCCTTGGTCTTTTATTAGTGGACCAAAAATAGAAGAAGTGCTTCCGTATTTCTTCTCGTGCACTGGCTCTCCTGTTTCGCTTAGCTGAACAGCCAATCAGAGAGATTCCTACCCCCAACTGCGCTGGCGACAGCTCACGGCGAGTCAACATTTGGAATCAGCCAAAAAAAAGACCAACTGAGGCCAACGGGTAGCGACGGAGCTGGACACACCACAAAAACTATGGGCCACGACTGCTCACCGACGGCCGACGGTCTCCTTGGTGTATCCTGGCCTTTAAGAGAATAGTTAAGAAGTCTCCTGGCCTGACCAGGAACTTTGGATGCCACATTACCGTTAGCACTTATAAGGTCATTGGGGTGTTTTAATCAGAGGTGGCACTAGAACGCTGATCCTTGTTTGAGTATACATTCAGACACCACAGAGGTCTGCTTGGAAATGCTGAATGAACTCAGGAATCTTGAATTGAGTCACTTTTCTTGACGATCTTGTGCGTGAGATTGTACATCTCCATGAACACATCATCATGAATTCTTTAGACATCTGACTTTGTGTTTCCAGAAACCACTTCAGAAACACATGTTTTTAAGTCTGCTATAAAAGAGTTGACTCAGTCCCTTGTGATAACAACTCTCCCCCTCTCTGCATATACTGCTGGTCTGAATTATATATCACAGGTTTCATGTTTCAATCTTCCTCTTTGTTGCAGAGATATAAAAAAAATACCAGACAATTGGACAGCACCTGTGTTTTTGAATTGTAATCTGTTATCACAACTTGCACTTAATCTGTAAACTGATTATCACATTTTAATTGTTGTTGCTCTGAACTTATTGTTTTTAAACTGTTTCTTAATCATGTAATTTTTATTCTGACGTGTGCTGCTGCCCTCATGGCCAGGTCACCCTTGTGAAACAGATCTTGATCTCAATGAGTCAATTACCTGGTTTTTTATTTTTAACCTGGGTATTTCACGCTCACTCCAATTTTTTAACAAATTTTGGGTTGAGCTGAGCCGCAGGTCGGACTTGAGCCCAGGCCAACCGCTTGGAGGACTACATCCTCTACACACGGCACGCGACCTAACTGCGAGGCCATCTGAAACCCTCCCTTTTCATTTTCTACAATTCTACAATTCACTAAGCAGACGCTTTTATCCAAAGCGATGCACATCAGAGAGTGAGTACAACACAAGCAGGGATCTAGAGTTGAGGAAGTGCAAGTCTGATCGGACACACAGGTGCTGACAGGAAGTGAACAGAGGCAAAGAAAAACATCGGCAGCTGTTCTTGAGAGTTGTAATCAGCATCAAAACCATCCTACATATCGTCAACTTCATTATCATCATTATGTGCAAAGGCGTTCATAAAGAGCTGGGTCTTTCGCTTTTCCTTAAAGGTGCAAAGGTACTCTGCAGATCGAATGTAGTTTTGTAGGTCTTTCACCACCGGGGGGCGACAGAGGAGAAGACAGCTGTGATGTTACGCTATTGCGTAGCTGACGTGGCTATCACAATCCAGCTTACACGCCGCCTACCAAACAAGGGTACGGTTTGCTGTGGAGACGCAAACAGGATAAGGGTTTACCGAACAAAACCGTACCAAACTGTACTGAACCATACCGGACCACTTGGTGGAAACAGGGCTTTAGAGACTTAGGGCCCTGTTGCGAAATTTGGATCAGACGTGGCAGATCGTAGAGGGCAGGAGGAAGTGTAGACCTGGATGATAGAGTTACAGTGTTAAAGTTTGAAGGGTTAACGTATCGTCTGTGTCTGAAACTGAACACTCAGGGTTTCCCGAAACTCAGAGTTAACTAACTTTTTGCTTTTTGCAACACCCCACAGGACCTTCTTTCTGGACTTAAAGCTTTGCAGTAAAAAAAAAACAAAACATGCCTTTGTTCCTTTTACTATACAGTATGTGCTGAGACACCAATAGTCTTGTCTGTATAGCAACAGAAGTCTCAGCATCCACATGTGTCTAAATATAAAACATTCTTTTGTGACAAATCAAAGCTGATTTCCCAAAGCCTGCAGGAATAACATGAAGTAAGAATATGTGTTTTATTTATTATTGAGAACACAGAAATGCAAGTATGAAGACTGAATAGAAAAATCCTTGAGGGAGACTCCGTCGTGGGCCCTGCAGGGGGAATGCAAAGTTTCAGAGGAGACAACAACAGTGTCTGCATGCTCGCTGCTACTTCTTTGCTCTTGCGTCTTTCACTTGTTTCCTCTCTTAGCGCTTACATTTCCATCCATCGTTCTCACAGGAATAGGTTAAGGTGAGCTCTCTTCTGACTTCAGACGTCTGGATATATAGATATATATATATAAGCTCAGCTGCTGGGGTGACAGCGTGCTAGAGACGGCACTGACGGAAGCAGGAGAAGATGCGAGGAAAGAGGAAAAGGAGGACGTTTGAGAAGTTTAGGAGGGATGACTTGAGGTCAAATGAGTCACTCAGAAGGTAGAAATGTAATAATTTCTTTAATCTGCTTCACACTCTGAGACTTGTCATGGTTCAGATTCAGATGGGTGTGCAGTGGAGGAGTTTTCAATAAATATGCAGGCACAACAGAGATATTTTTTGAATGCATTTTTTCCCCGACACTGTGTTTACAGGAGATCAGTCAAAATCCAAAGTGAAAGTTTTGAAAATAAAGAGCTACAGATGTACAGTATATGGACATGCATGCAGGAGAGAGGTTTATATTATGTTTCAAATGTTTCAGCATTTGTAGCCGGGAGAGGAGGGAAGTTATCTCTTTAGTCTGCTCCCTGTTGGTTTGAATTTGCCCGCAAGCCTATTTGATTCACCTGCAGGTGATAAATATCTTGGAACTTGGTTTTATGCATCACCTGCAGGAAGCAGGCTGTAGACTGGACTCCTCTTACCTGTTTTCCCAGAAAGGATTCTACAAAAAAACAGGTACAGTGCTTCCTCCTGATATGACACTGTATTATAGAAAAAATGTTTGAATTCCAGCAGAAACACATTTTAGTAAGAGCTGGTAGAGCAGAGTTTGTCTGGCTGTATAGTATGAAACTGAAATTGAAAAGCAACACAGGCACATTCAGTGAGCCATCAGCAGGAAGTGAAAAACTGTTAAAGGTAGAATATGTGTAATATCTACAGGATTAATGATAAAATGACCTCACTATATGATCAGACATTAAGGAAACATGCTATGTTGAAGTGCTGGTTTCTCTGACAACAATGCAGCAGCCAGTAGTTCTCCTTCTAAGTTTATATTCTGGTCCTGAATGCTCTGTTTTTATTTTGATCAGAGAAGGTAGGCGGTTTTAAGGCCCACGCACATGGCCGTTTTTGGTTAGCCAGGCAAACAGCAAACCAACAGGTGTTGCAGCGATGGAAGAGAGCAAGAGAACTG